CCGACGGCTCTACGTGCTCTCCGAGGCACGGGGTGAAACACCGCCAACTTCCCAACTACGGGCTGTTACTGAGACTTACTATACAGAAAGACTCAATAACTAAACTTGACCCGACCCGGGACTCGAACCCAGGACCCCCGAGTGTGCAGCCGTACATGCTAGCCACTACACCACCGAGGCAGTTAGTTTTTTTTTATATGTATAGATAAGTATACGACGACGGTCAATTATATTTACTTTGTTTTATGTACATATATTCTCGTTCTCTACCATTCATTGAGTGCGCAAAATGTTGTATCTTAATAAAAATTAAAACCGGTTTGAAAAATTGCTTGTTGAAGTGCCTACATGCGTAGAACAATAAACGGCTTATTTTTTAGGATCAAGGATTTTTTTGTTACAAAGTTTATTGTTTAAAAGAAACTTATTTACTTGCTATGGCGATTTATTATTGCTAACGACGTAAATTTTAATATTTTTAAACGACTTCAAAAAGGAGGAGGTTCTCGATTCGATTGTTTTTTTTTTACTTATGTACACCGATTACGTGATTCTTCTTTAGTTTGATGCGGAATAGTTTCCATTTGGTCCCATAAAAATTTAACATAGTTTGGCCTTAGTAGTTTTCATTTTTTTAACATTTTTGTTTACGTGGACGATGTAATTTTATTTTAGTTTGTGTATGGCTTTTTTAGGAGTTTTCATTTAGGTTGATTATATATTATTATTTATTATTAACCCGTATCTAGATAAGTGGGTATTAGGCTACCTTTCATTGAAGCGGAGCGTGCGTGAGAGTAGAGAAATTGAGAAATATTATAATCAATCTTTACATTATTACCTACTGTAGTTTACAGAACAACCTATTACAGACACTAATAAGTAAAAAATACACGTATCAATAGGTAGCACCATGAACGAATTAACCACTGGACCAGACATAAGCGGACGTGCCTTTAACGGTCATGTCAGTAACCAGGGAATTTTAGCCTAGGTCGTTTGTTTTTTGTGTCAGTCTCAAGCACTTACTTGTCAACAAAACATCTCCCAAAAATGACTAAATGTTCTGTTAATTGGTGTAAAAACTATAACGGTGGAAGCAGCACTATTTCTTGTCACTTGTAAATACATTATTTTATTACATTTATTGTTATTTATCACAAAATTTAATTAAATGTAAAATAAAATGTCATATTATCCAACTATGTTAAATATAGTCGATATTTCTATGTATTGTTGACATCTGAAAACCATCATAAACGGGCTGGATTATACCATTCAGAACAAAACTGTCGAGTGAGTCCATTTGACATTGACTAGTGCTTAACAATGTCGAAAAATATATCGATATTTGACGAAATAACTGAACGAATTGTGTTATTTGTACAGTACAATAACATAAAATACTTTTATCACAGAATCCTACAATCTGATGACAATAAATTTATAAAAATATTTTCTAAATCAAATAAAAATATAAATGCAAAAATTATAATTAGTATGTGTACTTAATTTTTTATTTTATTTTATACCACATTTATATACTTTGGAATATTATTCCATTGTAATAATAATAAAGATCATTTTATTTCAACACATAAATTACACAAAATCAAACAATAATGTTTTAGCACTAAACTTCTGGGTTGGCGATTTGTAATAAAACACTTTACCACTTGCATTAATTATTTTACTTTCACGATCCAACACTCACTTTTTCACAATTTGCAATCACTTTTTCTTTTTCCTAATTTCACAAATGTTTATTAATAACTGAGCAATATTAGGACAGTGTCACATTTTTATAACTACCCGAGACAATCAATTGCCAATTAAAATAGTTCAATAACAGAATCAACAAAATCACTTTATTTAATTAAATTAGCTTAATATTTTTTTAATCTTTACAAAATAATATTTATTATATATTAATGGAATATACACCCGATATTCATTTGTTTATTAACATTATTATAGGCCAACAGAATGTTGCCATCAATGCCATCGTATTTATATAAATCAAATTAAAAAATAATTATTATTTGACACATTATTATTGCCTCTTTAATTCATTTATTTTAATTTATTATAATAAATACAGATATTTTAAATTAAAAGATGTAAAATATGATGACTATGCTAACTAATGTCTAAAATGTCATTCATTGGTTCATCGATATATGTATTTCATCGATTACGTTCAAGCACTAGAAATATTGTATTGTGTATCAATGTTTATAATAATGTAATAAAATCTTTGTGTGCGTTATGCGTCACTTGGTTGAACTAGTTTTCATACATTTGTATTTTATGTCAGGTCCAGTCTCTAATTCGTCCATGGGTAGTACATACAAATAACAGTATTTTATTAATATTAAAGGTATTAGGTTTGCATAAGATGTATTAAATTGAATCATTATTAAGTTATTTTATACTTTTTAGTTTTTGAAGTCGGTTTTTTAAACGTAGTTTTTTTATGTACATATCGGTAAATTACAAGAATATATATGTAGAATGACCGTAAAGTTTTTTTATGTAGGTAAAATGTTTACATATCTAATTATTTTATAAAAAATAATAACAAAAGACATGAGCTCTTTACTTAAAAATTTAAAGTAGAGCCTTTCTGGTGTTAAATAGATCCCCTTCAAATTGAGTGAAAATACGCGAGTGATGCATGCAGCATTTACATCTTTACTGTACTGTTCACCATAGTATTTACCAACTTTATTATGTACGAAAAATATGATATTGCTCATATTAAACACGATCGGTATTTTTGGACTCGAACCTAATAAACATGCGCATGCGATGTCACAAGACTGCTATTTTATTAGATACGTAATTATGGCCGGTTTACACGTGTTAAGTAGTTTAGTAGTTAACTAAATTGTAACTTAATTTTAAGTGATTAATTGCGTGTTATGGCCGGTTTACACGTGTTAAGTCCTTTAGTAGTTAACTAAATTTTAACTTAAGGCGCTACCCTGACCAAATAACCTTGAGCATTCGTTCCCTCTTTGCCGCACCTCACCTCTATAATACTTCGTAAAGCAGTACTAGCGCCATCTAGCGATCACCTTCCGAATACAAGTAAAAATCGCAGACCTAAGAATTCACAGACATGGCATAATGGCATTCAATAAAAATATCTTTTTATGAAATGTTTATTGGTGCGCCAAAATAATTTTGATCATGATGAATCTAGTGACTATACTTACGTTCATGAATACTTCTAACATTTATTCATTTAAAAGTATTAAAGGTATTCTATAATAAAGATTGTGCGGTGTTTATTTTTTAGATTGAAGGTTTATTTGTAATTCAGACCGTGGGTGATTGATAAAAGCAGAAAAATTAAATAACCAAGTCAATTTTATCATCATTTATTATTTTTTAGTAGGTTTTTTAACAGGTATTGCTAGCAGTGTCAAATAAAATATTCTAGAGAAACTCTGCAGACGTGATATTGACCACTAGTGCTGTTGTTAATAAATTGAGATTTTTTTTATCGTTACCCATCACGTCTATGAAGTTTATACAAAAAAAAATTAGGTTTTAGTCTGAAACATCATTAACTGTGGTCAATGACCTCACAAAAAATCATCTAATCATGTTATGGTTCATTTTAGCTTGTTTATACAACGTGTAAGTAAGGGTATAGTCATATGAAAGTGTGTGCTGGAGACAATCTAACTGAGAACTTTATCGATGGGAACACCATCATAATCGAAAAAAATTATCAACGGCCCCATTCAAAAAGTATGTATAAGAAAGCTGATATTTTTTTACGACGACTATACGCTTTTTGTTACACGTTGTTTAACGATACTCATCATATTCGATCATCGATATTAATTTCTATACATTCTGTATACTGTTTCGAGTTTACATTTCATAAAAATCTAAATATCGATGACGAACGACACGTGTTTCACCCTCGAGACCTTGTGGCACACTAACTCTGCGCAAGAGTTACGTAGCGAGTACGCTTAGATTTTAGAATAAAATCTTTATAAAATCAATTTTTTGTGTTTTGAAAAAAATAAAACTACCAAAATGTTCTCTATTTAATTACCTATCCATTAGTTAAGGAAGCAAATCAAAATAATGGTTAATTTAGGAGGAGATGCATGTTATAAATAATTATTTCTCATTTCTGTGGTTTTTTTGTGGCCCTTTAATTAAATATTATGCTGCTTAAAAAAAAAACTACCATTTTGGAGTCAAGATTATGTAGAAATTTAATGTATTTTTTATTAGTTGTTATTTCTTTTAGATAAAGAGAAGTTGGCTCCCAAAAACAGCCTAAAAACGGCTAACGCTGCGTTTCGCACGGGAACGCGCCTTAATTTTAAGTGATTACTTGCGTGTAAACAGACAATTTAGTAGCAAGTTGCAAGTTAAAATAAAGTTAACAACTTAACTACTAAATTAGAATGTTTTTTATTTTTTCGGTTTAGTTGGTGGGCGGGGCTTGTCATTTGACACGTTTGGACACTTAGACAGTACAATTTAGTTACAGACGCATAAGTAGCTTAGTAAAATGCATAAGTAATGACGCGCTAAGTTTAATTTTTTTCTCACCCACAGTCTTTTGGATATGGTTATTTCTCTAATTATTTCATCTTTTACTTCGTCTATAACCTCGCTTAAAACAAATTTAAGCACTGAATTTACGATTTCATTACGTTATAAAGAACGAAATAAAGACCTTCAAGTCAATTCTTTAATTGAGCACAGATAACAGATTACTTCATAATGGAGAAGACAACTAAAGAGCTTAACTACTTAACACGTTTGGACAGCTACTAAAATATAAGTCACTTAAAATTAAGTTAAAATTTAGTTAATTACTAAACTACTTAACACGTGTAAACCGGCCATTAGACGAAGTATGCTGCGGTTATTTACCCATCTACGATTACTCACAAGGAGTTGTTTTTACGCCTGTATAAATAGGTCGTCTCAATCGGTAAGATCATAATGTGCAGTACACCATGAAGGCTGTAAGTATTAGAATACATACCTATCATATACTTTTAGTGTTGTTTTATTAATAATTTACATTTAATATATTATGGTATGCCATTAGCTTCATAAACATTTACTTATTTTATTATAGCCAATAGCTATATAATACTGAATTATTATATTATGTTAACGATTGGTCAAAAAACTAATAAATTTAACTTCAATTTTAAATCAGACTAAACGCATATCAAATTAAAGTTGTGCTTATTTCATACCAAGCTTAAAATTAGGTTAGCTTAGATTAGTAAAAAACAAAATTATTATATGTCGACGTAGTTTTTTTTTAGTTTTCTTGCTTTAAAATATTCTATTTATCAAAAAAATCCTCAAAATTAAATTAAATAATTATTATAATTAATTAAAATATACTACTTTTTGTGAGTGATTGACGAATAGTTAATACGTTAATGCTGTGACAGTCCGTGTTTTTTTGCAGTTGATATTCATCGGTCTGCTGGTATTTGTGGGTATGGCATACGCAGCAGCGTTGCCTGACCCCTTGATGGTTGAGGCTGCCCCGGTTGAATCTGAAGTATTAACCCCTGCAGAGAGCGGATATTATGGTGGAGGCAGAGGTTGGGGAGGTGGTGGAGGCAGAGGTTGGGGAGGAGGTGGAGGCAGAGGTTGGGGAGGAGGCAGAGGCTGGGGAGGAGGCGGAGGCTGGGGAGGAGGTGGAGGTAGGGGTTGGGGAGGAGGCGGAGGTAGGGGTTGGGGAGGAGGCGGAGGCTGGGGAGGAGGCGGAGGCTGGGGCCGCTAAAACTATCCACACTATATAAGCACAGTCATAATAACTCATAATAAAAAGTAAATTAATAAGTATAAATTATGTATTTTATTTAACCTTTGTACCTAATATTTTACTGAATTACATTTATTCTACATTCACAGAGTACCTTTAGCGTCTTTGTTATTTACAATCGCAAAATCTATTATAAACTATAATAAAATCTACTATACTTATATTAATTAACCAACACTAGAATTTCAAAGAAAGTTCCCAATTCTCAATTTGGAACTGAATTTAACTTTCATGTATATTTTTGTTAACCCAAGACGTTATGGTTGGTTAATATCAATAAATTATTATACTAAATCTACTATATAAATAATAATAAATTAGTATACTAAATCACTACATGAATATCCATACTAAAATAGTATAAACTAGCGATCAAGTAATTCTTTTTAATACATATTGGATTTTTTGGGAGTTACTTTAGTTCTCTGGTGAATGACTGAATATGACGTAACTTCCCAAAACTTTCGTCGACGACCGTCATCGTAAAGATATAATATATATATATTGTTGTGGGTATAACTATATTATATTAAAATAAACATATTGTCATGTCGGTATTCGTAACTCTCGAAGAAGGGAATTATAATAAATCAGTCGTCATCCAGAAGTCGTTTCATTTAGACCTCATTAACCACTACATGGTGTCAGGTGTGATATTATAGAAAATATATGCATAAGGATTTAGTGAATTTAAAAAGTAAATAAATTGTTATATCATGGCAAAATATGATAGCAAGGGTGACAGCAGCATCTGTGCGGCTATTCAACAACCTCCACCGATGCAACAAGATGGCAATATGGCTGCCAACTGGAGAGAATGGAAAACGGCGTTTAATTATTTTTTAGTAGCTACAGGCAAAGAATTTACTAATGATAAAGAAAAATGTGGATTATTTATGCATTGTATAGGAAAATATGGACGAGAAATTTTGGAAGAATTAGAAATATCGGATAGCGATGAAAATGACTACAAAATCTTGTGTAAAAAATACAGTGAATATTGTGATCCCAAGAAAAATATTAATTTTGAACGTCATACTTTCTTTGAAACCTACCAAAACGAGCAGACGATTGATAAGTTTGTCGGATCACTAAAAAAGCAAAGTAACAATTGTGAGTTCGGGACTTTAAAGAATAGCCTCATATTAACTCAATTGATACGTGGCTTAAAAGACATACAAATGCGTGAAAAATTATTAGCGAGATCGTCGATAACATTAGAAGAGGCAAGTGCGTGGTGTCGCGCGGCGGAGCGAGCGAGCGAGCAGGCGGCGGCGTGCAGCGCGCGTGCCGACCCGCCCGCGGCGCTCGAGCAGGTGCGGCGGCGCCACGTGGCGCGGGGTGACGTCGGCGCGGCCGGTGGCGGTTGGCGCGAGCGGCGCAGCCTGCCCGCCGGCACCTATCAACGCTACAGTGCGAGTGTTTGTGAAAAGTGTAGCTTTAGGCATGGCAATAGTATGCATTGTCCGGCGTATTCAATTAAGTGTTTTCGGTGCAAGAGAGTAGGTCACTTTGCGAAGTGTTGTAAAGTAAAATTTACGCGCGAAGTCGTCGAAGAGGCGGGGGTGAGTTCGGACTCGATAAAGAGTAAGAATGATGAACAGACATACGGCGATAACGGTGAGTTATTTATGTACAATGTTTCGATTGAGGCGGCAGGGGAGTCGTGTAGTTCATGGTGTGAAACTATTAGTGTAAATGGAGTTTATATTAAATTTAAACTGGACTCTGGAGCGGAGGCTTCGGTAATGTCGCTTAAATCTTTTGAAAATGCCGGATTTGATAAATTAAATTTAGTTAAATGTAATACCGTTTTAAGAGAAATTAGTAAAAATAAGTTGTCTGTAATTGGATATTTTAATAGTGTTTTAATATTTAATAATACTAAATGGTCTGAAAAAATTTATGTCTTAAGCAATGATTGTAATAATTTATTAGGTTTAAGAGCGTGTGTGAATTTAAGGCTTATAGCTAGGTTAAATCAGGTGTCTTTAAGCAAGGAAATATCTAATTTATCCATTTTTGAGGGCGTTGGATGCTTGCCGTCTGTTTGTAGGATTGTAATAGATAAAACGATAATGCCTGTTGTTAGTGCTGCGAGAAAAATACCAATAAAATTAAAACCCCGTTTAAAGGAGGAATTAGATAATATGGTAAAATTAAATATAATTAAAAAAGAGGATGAACCGACAGACTGGGTTTCGAACATTGTTGTTGTTGAGAAATCGAATAAAAAACTTCGTGTTTGTTTAGATCCGCGTAATCTAAATAAAGCTATTAAACGGAGCCACTTTCAAATGCCTACTTTAGATGAAGTACTCAGTAACTTATCGGGAGCAAAATATTTTTCAAAATGTGACGCAAAGAATGGATTTTGGATGCTACGTCTAGATGAATATAGTTCAAAATTATGTACATTTTCAACTCCCTATGGCCGATATAGGTTTTTGCGCATGCCATTTGGGATTAGTTGTGCTCCGGAAATATTTCATTATGAAATGTGTAAGATATTTAAAATGGAAAGGTGTTGAGGTTTTCATTGACGACATTTTAATTTGGGGACGTACTAAGGAAGAACACGATAAACGTTTAAATGAGGTCATTACTAGAGCGAAAAATAACGGAGTTAAATTTAATAAAAATAAATGCGAGTTTGGCGTTACGCAACTTACATTCTTAGGACACATTTTTAATTCTAACGGAATATTACCGGAAAAAAGCAGGGTGAGTGCCATTTTAGATATGAAAAAGCCTACGGATAAAAAGGGGTTGGAACGTTTCTTAGGGGTAACTAATTACTTGTCAAGGTTTATCCCTAGATATTCTGAGTTATCTTCACCTTTACGAGAGTTACTTTCTAAAAAAACTAATTTTGATTGGTCTCAACCCCACGACGACGCTTTCAATTTATTAAAAAAGAAGATAAGTTCTGCTCCGGTATTGAAATACTATAATCCACAAGAGCCGGTGACTGTGTCCGTAGACGCGAGTGCGCACGGCCTCGGTGCATGCTTGCTGCAGGCGGGCCGGCCGGTCGCGTACGCGGCGCGCACGCTCACGCCGACGGAGCAGCGGTGGGCGCAGATTGAAAAGGAATTACTCGCGATTGTATTTGGATGTACGCGTTTTCATCAATACATTTATGGTTACGATAAAATCACAGTTGAAAGTGACCATAAGCCACTAGAGGCAATATTTAAAAAAGCACTAAACGATGCACCGGCTCGACTTCAAAGAATGTTGTTAAAGTTACAGCACTACTCAATTAATTTACAATACAGACCGGGTAAAATGTTGTTTATAGCGGACACTCTGTCCCGAGCCGCGATGGAGAAAGGATGCGATGAAGACGTGTGTAGTGATGTAATTATTCATGCTAATACTTTATATGAGAATGTTGAAGCTTCACCGGAAATGTTAAAAAAAATTAAGGAAGAAACGGCTAAAGAAGCAGTATATGCGGCTATTTACCGCTATTATAAAGACGGCTGGCCGAATAATAAAAGAGATACCGATATTATTGTAAGGCAGTACTGGACGGTCAGAGGCGATCTTCATTTTATTAACGGAATTTTGTTTAGGAATAATCGAGTAGTTATACCGACTTCTCTACGCAAGGAAATGCTAAGACGAATTCATGAAGGTCACATGGGCGTAGAAAAATGTCAGCGCCGAGCAAGAGATGTAATGTGGTGGCCGGGTATGAGCTCGGACATCGAAGTCGCAGTGCGCGCGTGCGAGACGTGTCAGCGCCACCGCGCCGCCAACCCGCGCGAGCCGCTAGCGCCGCATCCAGTACCCGCCCTCCCATGGGAAGTATTGGCAGCGGATATTTTTGAATTTCGTGAAAAGTATTTTTTGCTAGTAGTTGATTATTATTCAAAATTTGTAGAAGTCGTGCATATTTCAAACTTAACGAGTTCGTCCATAATTAATGTATTTAAAGATATTTTTAGTAGATTCGGGATACCTTATAAGTTAGTAACTGATAACGGGACTCAATTTACGTCAGAACAGTTTCAACGTTTCACAAAGGAGTGGGGATTTGTACACGCTACGAGTTCCCCTCTGTATCCACGATCTAATGGACTCGCTGAAAGAAATGTACGAACCATAAAAGCGCTTATGAGTAAGACTAATGAGAGTGGAGAGGACTGGAAACTTGCATTATTAAACTTTAGGAATACACCAGTCACTGGTGAAACTTGGTCCCCAGCACAACTATTAATGAGTCGACGATTAAACACTAGATTACCCGTTAAAAATTCTCAATTAAAGCCACAAGCGATTCAACCGCAATCTACGTTAAAAAACCGATCAAAAAGAATAACTCAATACAAATCATATTATGATCGTGGTACTAAAGACTTAATTCCATTGAAAACGAATGAATCTGTTAGAATGAGACACAATAATAAATGGATTAAAGCTCAAGTTTTGCGTCCCGCTAGTGGAGATCGTTCATATTGGCTTCAAGCTGAAAATGGAGGCATTTACAGACGAAATAGACAACATATAATGAAATTACCGAATTGTAACATTAAAAAACTTAATAATAATAATAATAATTCAATAAGTAGATTTAGTAGCTTAGACTATGATTGTTTTAATTACGACTACGGCCTAACAACAGACTTAGTAAAAGATCAAAGCCCCACGCAGGCGCAGCACCCTTCGCCATCATTTCAAATGACTAGGAGTGGACGAATTGTGCGCCCTCCTAACAGACTTGGCTATGATTAGGAATATAGCAGATGGTAATGGTGTTGATATTAGTTTGGTTAAATAATAAATATATAATTGAAAAAAAAAAGAAAAAAAAAAACAGAAAAAGGAGTGAAATAGGTAATATTTATGTTTCATAAATGTATTAGGTAGTATATTAATTTTATGTATCAAAATATTTTCTATATATACATATATTACGCGCTTAGTTAAAATGTAGCCTTTGATTTATTTTTATTTATAACGAAGGGAGATGTTGTGGGTATAACTATATTATATTAAAATAAACATATTGTCATGTCGGTATTCGTAACTCTCGAAGAAGGGAATTATAATAAATCAGTCGTCATCCAGAAGTCGTTTCATTTAGACCTCATTAACCACTACATATATAACCCCATAAAAATATATAACCTGTTTCTTATTTGATCCAAAATTACGTTTTTTTTAAGGATTCAATTTAAATATATTTTTAGAACATATTTTTTACATTCAAAGTATCCAATATTTTATTTAAATATTATGTATATAATATATATATATATATATATATATATATATATATAATGAAAGATAACTTACTTAGTTACATGATGACATTTTTATTATAATTTATAAAGACACCCAAATGAATTACTCCCTTAATTAAGATATCTTTCAATAGAAAAGTAGAATTAACTTATTAAAGAATTTTGCCGTCTGGATTTTGGGCACAGCTTACTCCGCCAACGTCATGTGGAATGGAGACGTTATTTATTTATTTATTTTGTTAATTGGAAAACAGACAGCATTACATCAATATCCAAACATAAAATGCAAAATATATATATATATATGTATATATAAATATATATATATATATATATATATATATAACAAATCTGTTAAATATTATCTATACATATAATAAAATTGCAACTAAGTCGAATCTGTACATTAAATATTTTTTGGAAATTCTTATTGAAATAGACATTATTATCGATACAGAGGCCAAACCTATAGGTTTTCGAATTTTTGTCATTCTGTTTGGGGGGTTTTGATGAAATTTGGTATGATAGCTGGTTATCCGGGTCAATATAAATAGGACACTTTACTGCGGGAAAATATCTATGAGAAATATATACTAAATGTTAAAACGTAAGTACCTAGAGACGAAGAGGCCCTAGTTTTATTATATTTTTCTTTTCATTTTGTATTATTATATTTTTCTTTTGTTTTTGTTTAATTGTACGTTTACTCTGATGTGTTTATGTATAAGTGGAAACTTTATTGGCTAAGTGTATTAATTCTGATGTACATATTTTGCATTTTATGTTTGGATATTGATGTAATGCTGTCTGTTTTCCAATTAACAAAATAAATAAATAAATAACGTCTCCATTCCACATGACGTTGGCGGAGTAAGCTGTGCCCAAAATCCAGACGGCAAAATTCTTTAATAAGTTAATTCTACTTTTCTATTGAAAGATATCTTAATTAAGGGAGTAATTCATTTGGGTGTCTTTATAAATTATAATAAAAATGTCATCATGTAACTAAGTAAGTTATCTTTCATTATATATATATATATATACATATATATATATATATATATACATATATATATATATATATATATATATACAGAATAACTTTAAACGTAAAGTTTTTAAATATTTGATAAAAAATTAGATCAAGAGACATGCGTTTTTTATGTGAAAAATTTAGAGTAGAGCCTTTATGTCCCTTGCACTTTAAGTGAAAATCCGGAAGTGACTGTGATGCATCGGGAATCAGCTACATTTATATCTTTATATGAGCAAACCCGCCACAAGCGGGTGTGCAATTCGTGCATACACGTGGGCGGCACATTCAAAGGAACAGCAAATCGAGCGATGATGATGATGAAAGTCATTTCATAATATTTCTAGTATTAAAAAAAACGCGTGGAATAAAAAAAAGTGTAAAATTACCATCAGATAGATTACATTTTAGGGTAGCCAAAAGGCTAAAACGGAACTTTTATAATTTAATTATATAACTGTCTATATGTCACAGTAATTTTACTCGGAGACTTACGTTTCTGAATTTTGGCAGGTAGGTGTCTCCTGTAAACCGTTAAAAATAAATAAACTACTTCACGCGCTTGTAACTAAGGAACACGTATAACTGAGAAGCCAATACCTTAAGAAGACCTATGAATGAAAATATGAAGTTGCTCTTGAGGATAACATTCTCAAAATGGCTTATATTTAGGATATTCAGGAATTATCTAGTTCAGCGAAATCCTGGGAAGAATGGGATGCACCAAGACTAATTTAGGTTAACTGCGTACCTGGATTCTTAAAAACAAACTAGGACGTCAAAAAAAAATTGATTACGTGAATCATCTAATAGCCACCATCACTATGAAAGCAGCTGCGGACCTCAAAAGAATGCTTGCAATAACCTAACCCTCGTGACGCTCATTAATCAAAGGCTGTTGAAATCATTCAAAAATTCTAATACTATGGATGTAACTTACGTTTTAACGAGTTTTACGACAGAATTTACACATCTTAGCCACAATCTCGCTCCCCGAGGAAGAATACATTCACGGATGAACTGCTACCAGCAGACCCCCGAATATCTGTATATGATACATAACCAAACATTGAAGGAATACTGATGAAGTATTCCTTTAATGTTCAATGTTCAATGCCGAGGTAACGAGAAGGAACAAAATATACGCACATCACTTTTATCCTCAATCAATTACACGATTATCGTGATTCCAAGATCACGAAAGAAAGAAGAAAAGACTTCTTTAAGGGCTATTATAGGCTACAATGAATAAAGATAGCAATGACGCTGAGAGACGAAGAGGTAATCGGAATGCTGGCATCCCTCGCAAAAAATACCTACGAGCATAGGGAGACGATGAGATTAATCGGGAAGCTGGCTTCCTACACCAAAAATGCCAGCAACCCACACAAACAAGATCTGAGAGCGTATTACCAAGTTGCAGCACAACTACTTTCAAAGCTCCGAACCAATGGCTCATTTAGCCTAATTTGTCTCTGAACGCAAGATTATATTGCGTTTACAAATTTTTGAATCAAAAAATAAATCACGACTAAATAAAACCAAATCTCAAAGAAAGACACGTAAAAAGTCCGTAATTTTTGCATAGTCATTAAAAAAACGTTCTCTCTGAGTCTCTTTGAGACGAGGTAAAACTTCCTCAACTTCCCAACTCCAAGCTGCTACTAAGAATTTTTTGACGAATAACATATCTATCATATCATCTAATATATAAAATTTCCATGTCACAATTTTAGTTACCGTACTCCTCCGAAACGGCTTTACCGATTTTTACCAAATTTTATATGCGTATTCAGTAGGTCTGAGAATCAGCTACTATCTATTTTCCATACCCCTAAGTGATAAGGGTGGCCCACATTAGGGACGAACCCGAGCGGAGCGAGGGTGAGTCGCTAGTAATTTTATATAGCAATGTAGCTCTAATTAATCTTCGAGTAAAATTAAATAGACAAAGGACGATGATGGTATCAAAATTTTTAAGGTCCCGTTTGCACCATTTGTTTATGAAATAAATTGATACGGAAGTAATAAAAATAAATCGTTTTTCTTTGTCATGGTTTTTTCACGCAGTTATTTTTTAAAATAAAGTGTGTATGGTAATTTTAGGCCAATAGATTAAATAGGGAGTATAATAACACGTGTTTCTCGTCGTAACCATAACATTCCCCAAGTATATAATACAAAAAAAATTATATTGCTCATATTAAACAGGATCACAATTTTTTGATTCGAAACTAATCTACGACAGTGTGCGTGCGACCGGAGACGCCACAAAAAACTATTTTAAAACGAAGTATGCTGCGGTTATATATCTGAGATTAGTCACAAGGACACGACTCCTTATCCTAGACCTGTATAAATAGGCGGTCTCTATCGCTAACATCATTCTGTGCTGGTCCATCATGAAGGCTGTAAGTATTACAATATATATATATATATATATATATATATATATATATATATATATATATATATATATATATATATATATATCAATTCATTATACCATATTTTTATTGTTGAATTATTTGTTATTATGTGAATTAATTACCACATCTGTTATATCTGATCGAAATATATCCCATATTTACTACTGTGTCAAAATCTAAATTAGCTCAATTGCAAGTCTTACACGCACAGTCTTGACTCATATGCAGGTTATCTATATATATATTATTACTAATAAATATTAATTTTTTGATCAATTGTTAAAATTGATCAAAAAATTAATAAAATTAACTTAATTTAATTTAAAATAGACTAAACGCATATCAAATTGAAGTTGTGCTTATTTCATACCAAGCTTAAAATAATTATATATGAATGTATATGGAGTTTTAGCTTTGAAATTTTCTATTATCAAAAAAAGCCTTAGAATTTATAAAATTAAATTGATTAATTCAGCTTAAAGAACTTTATTTCTTATTACGAACAGGTATTTTCTATGAGAATCTTATATGTAACCATAGGGAGTTATTACAAAAAATGATCAGTAGAACTGAGAATATTAGAAAGAATATATTTATATAACCTTTAGTTAATACTTTCTTAGATTTACTTACTTTCTTAGTTGTTAATTGTGGGTAGGCTGTCTGAAACGACTATACCTTCGAGACATCTAACACCTCAGTCTCTCCCATGACCATGGATGCTGTAAAGCATTCATAACGTCGGGAACCCAAAATCAAAATGAATCCGCGAAATAATCCGAAGAGATAGTTTTATTTAAAAAGTTTTAATTTTTTTTATTTCTTTCATTAAATTATTATAAAGTTTTGCTCCCAAAGGTTATAGTTTCTTATCCAGACTTGGTTCTAGTTATAGGTAGTACTAAGTGGCTAGCACGTCGAGTAACATAACTATGTGTTAGACCTATTTTTTACAAAAAATATCTCTACAGTATGAAACGTCTTATTTATTATTTTACGTATGAGTGTACAGTACAGTGTAGTAGTGCATTTGTTTTATGTTCATTAGCGTATTTTCTTTGTAATTTTTTTCGGATAATGTTAAGTAAGGGTAATGAAATAATAATTTTATTAATTTGTTTTACGAAATGAAATGAAATAAACTTTTATTCAATTAGACTTATTACAAGTAATTTTGAATCGTCAATTTAATGAAAGCGTCAGTGTAGTCAGTCCGTGAGGGAGCTACGAGTACCACCGGCTCGGAAAGCAGTTCTGCTGAGGAGAGCCGGCCAGAAACTCAACAGTTGCGTTTTTACATATAGAGGTTACATTTATTTCATTAACATAACATTATAGATAGCCTGCATATGAGTCAAGACTGTGTGTGTAAGACTTGCAATTGAGCTAATTTAGATTTTGACACAGTAGTAAATATGTGATATATTTCGATCAGATATAACAGATGTGGTAATTAATTCACATAATATTTTAATTCTTGTCAGTGATTGACGAATAGTTAATACGTTGATGATGTGACAGTTCGCGTTTCTTTGCAGTTAATATGCATCGGTCTGCTGGTATTTGTGGGTATGGCATACGCAGCAGCGTTGCCTAACCCCTCGACCGTGGAGGCTGCCCCAGTTGAATCTGAAGTATTAATCCCTGCAGAGAACCGACATCACAGTGGAGGTTGGGGAGGCGGTGGAAACAGAGGTTGGGGAGGAGGCGGAGGTTGGGGAGGAGGCGGAGGTAGGGGTCATGGAGGAAGTAGGGGTTATGGAGGAGGTGGAAGAGGCGGAGGCTATGGTGGAGGCTATGGCGGAGGCTATGGCGGAGGCTACGGAGGAGGCGGAGGCTATGGCGGAGGCTATGGCGGAGGCTGGGGGCGCTAATACTATCTCACTGCTACTTACTCATAATAAAAAATAAATTAATAATTATTATAACTTATGTATTTCATTAAACCTTTGTACCTTACATTTATTAATATTTAACTAAATTTCAATTACCTAGCGTCTTTCTTTTCTACAATCACAAAATCTATACAGATAAATAAAATTGAAGTGTCTGTTTGTAATGTCAAAATAACAGCTTTTTACTAAATGCATACGAAATATTACGAGTCTATCTCAGAAGTAGGTCAGATAGGCCAAGTAAAGTTCAGTGTAACAGCACACAGTTTTTGTTATTTTATACAGAATCAAAGTAACGCCTCAAACGACATTACAAAAAGGAATGACGCATCACGCATATTTAAAAGTCATGAAATAAAATACAACGCTGCTCCCGCCCTTTTTCCACTCAAGATGACAACGTCAGAAAACTCAAATAAGTATTTTACGTAGACAGATAATTTTATCCTCAGTCTACGGTATTTTATATCAGAATAACAACATAAAGAATAAAATAATAAATCTACAATAATACATATAAATCCTATTTTATATAATTAATTATTTATATATATTATTTTTAGTATAACAGAAATTACATACGGTACTTATAAGAAAAACACATTTTTTTTTTAATTTTCTATGTCTGTCTGTTTGTTCCGGATAATCTCTGAAACGGCTAGACTGATTTTGACGGGACTCTCACTGGAAGATAGCTGATGTTATAGGGAGTAACATAGACTACTTTTACTTTAGAAAAAGAATTAGGGTTCTGCTGAAAAAAATTAAAACGTATCTAGGGACGAGCCCGAGCGAAGAGTGGGTGAGTCGCTTGTCTATTATAAACTATATTACCTAATTAACCGACACTAGATTTCGAAAACAAGGTTCCCAATTCTCTTTTTTTTAATAAGCAAATACTTTTCGGTTGAAAGATAAAATATCACTTAAGGGAGTAATTCATTTAAGTGTCTCTATAATTAATGTCATCTGTAACTAAGTGCTTGGCAAAGTAACTGTGTTCAACAAGACAAACCATATATATACAAAGAATTTCATTGAACAGATTATCAACAAAGTTTTATGAAATTTCATAATATATATATATATATATCCATTAGGTATATTAAATTAAAATATTGGATACTCGGAATATAAAAAATATGTTCTTAAAGTATAAGTACATATTTAAAAGAAGAATCCTAAAAAAATAATGTATCAATTTAAAAAAAAGGTTATATAGTTTTTAATGTGCTAGTTATTTAGAACTTTAGGAGGGAAAAATACCTACTTGCTATTTTCCCATTATCCGTAGAAATATAATATTTTAACTGTTATATTATATTTCAGACTCAGACATACATTTTACTGTTCGTATTTATGTATCTCTATATTTATGCACAAGTATTACTGAATCACGAACCTAAAGAATATAAGTCACAGTCGAAATGGTAGAAACACTTTGGTAACATATTTCATCATGGTTATAAACATGATTTTCCCTGGCATAAATGGTTAAAAATATATCCATGTTGTAACCAATATTAATTACTTTTGCCTACAGTAAAAAAAAATATCTTCTTTTATTAGGCATTTTTAATTTTTATAGACATTTGTTACAAATTTTCTCAGACTAAGAAATAAGATAAACAGATCGTCATAGGACTAAACTTGAAGCCAAACAATAATGGTTTTAATACTATTATAGTATACAAATAGTAACGAGTAACGACTAATACCTATATTTTTCGATTATTCTTTAAAGAAAGTAAACTTTATGTACGGACGGTAAAATCAAAAATACTAGCATAATCAGCAAATGCACGCTACTATTTTTGCTTTGGCATTTTTTGGCGGACTCCATCTATATTATTATTTAACGTGAGTAAATTTTATAAACAATAGTATTATTGTGGTACAGATATTTTTGTTATGGCAAATATTACCAATGGGAAATATTTTTGTTCAAGAAAATAAATAAATATGTATATACAATTTTGTAATTCCAAAAACCTATTTATTATTGTTTTCATTAGATAGCGGTCCTTTTATATTCGTATCAAAGACATTTTATTGTTATAAATTATGTTAGCCATTAAGGTACAGGTAATAAATGGAACGAATCATAAACGAATGGGGCTTTGCATACAAAAGTACTCATTAAAATATTTTTTCTCTTCAAGAATAAACATGAACTGTGTAAGTTATTTAATTTTTATATTTTTAAGTTAAAGAAGAAAGACTGTAAATATATAAACGTTGCCTATTCTAAAATTTTACAGGTCTTCATAATTTTCAACCTATATTTTTTTGTTACAACGGCAATTAACATGAAATACCAATTATTCGCTAAACATCATCTAGAGGACACTGAAAGCATCTTTGGTTGGGGTGATATAGCTGCTATGTGGGGTTAAAATATAGTTGTAAAATATAAAATTAAAAATTGTGTACCCAAATTCGTACTTTATAAATTGAACGTCTTTGATTGTTTTGATTATTAGAAAAAAATATAAAATAAGCTAGCTTATTAAAAATTATTGACTATTTCCTTGGTTTTCCCTTTTAATTATGCGAATATTTTATAATATATAATAAAATATTGTACAAAATATATTAAACAAATATTTAATTCGATAAAAAGTTATAGACAATTTATGCTATAGATTTTTTAATTATCCCAGAAAATAACAAGACACAAATCCCTCTTTATATATATATATATATATATATATATATATATATATATATATATATATATATATATCTTTATATATATATATATATTGTTTATTTATGTAATGTCGATATATATTTAAGTTTATTTATGTATATTTACTAAGATAAAAAACGTAGTATTACGGCGCCACCACTTTGCCACTTAAACTTTGAAGATGACGTAATGCGTACTTGAGCTTTCACTCAAATATAATGTTATGGGTGCCATTAACCGTCCTTGACGAAGGTTAGAAAGAAACCGGAGCAAGGAGAAAGGTGTTTCATTCCCTAAAATCTATCCAGTTCCCATGAGTCCCATTTAGGAAGGAATTAGTAGTGCTTTAGGTGCTTTAGAAGAACAACACTCATTGATAAAAAGAAAAAATAATTGGTAACAATGCATGTAAGTACACTGTGTTTTTATTTAAGATCGATAATTATATCATAAAATGATTATGTAAAAATAGAATATACAATATATATATATAAAGGTATAGTAATTTTTTTGGGTATCTTGTATATTCTAAAATAAATAATTAAACTATTTTTAAAATTTATCAACAAAAATATATTTTGAAAAAAAAAATAATAATGACAGTCTGTATAAAAACTTGAAGTTCTTACACGTTAATAATGTAGCCACTAACTTGATTTCTTAAATATTTTATTAAACATTAAATTATTTTACGTAGCAAAAAAATTATTGTTGTTAACTTTTTTTGGCTGTTATTATTCTAATGAATAGATTTTAGACTGCAATATGATATTTTTCCTGCTTTAACTTCGGCCTTCTAAATGTAATATATTTAAATGAACAATTCTTGTGTGTGTGTGTGTGTGTATATATATATATATATATATATATATATATATATATATATATATATATATATATATATATATTATGGCTGGAAAAACGCGTTTTCGAGTTTTCATGCGGTTCTGTTTTTGGTTTGCACGCAAAATATGTTCACTAATTCGCATCGATATAAGCATCGTGGTCAAGCGGCCAAGGCGCAAGTTTGACTACCACAGGTAGCATAGGGTTCGTATCCCGGTCGGATACAAAGTTTTTACATTTGTTTTTGTATTTACTCAAATTTTTAGCTTGTTTTGTTTTTAATGTTATTTTGGCCAAAAACTCCGAGCGAAGCTCGGTAGCCCAAGTACTGTTAATTAAAACAACAATCAAACGACCTTCTTAACAATTTATATTTAAATTAAAACAAAAAATCATAATTTTCCGTATTCCTTAAAATTTAAATGGATTGCTAACGAGCTAGTCCGCATCGGATTTAAGTTTTTCACAACATGTAACGCAGATTAACAATTAATTAAAGCATTTTTTTTATTTAAATTAAAAATTTGTTTATATAATTTAATAAAATTAAAAATAACAACTTGAATTACTTGAACTTACGAGTTGAAAAAGATAATACTTTTGTATTTTATTACAACTTTTATTGATTAATAATATTTACATACACATAGCTGTAGCCTGTACGTATACATATATAATATATTAAAAAAAATCTCTATTTTCATGCCTTGAGATATTTTGTTAAACTTAAAAATAAAAAAAAACAATTAACAAATACATATCTTTACAGACACATCAGATTATTATTATGATATGCCTGGTGACAATAAGTATTACTTGTACTGAAATGGTAGTACTAGACCCATCTTTATATTTATCTCCGAGTCCTCCTTTAACCACGACGAAAGATAATGACGTCCAAAAATTATGGTCACGAAGCGTAGATTCTGTAACTAAAGAAAAAACAAGAAAACGGACCCCATCAATTCATAGTAAGGATAAAATTGCTTATTTATATTAATTAAGCACTTTTTGCACACTTGCCTATGAGTAAATATAATAATTAAAAAAAAAGTTAAAAAAAAATTGTCCACGTAATATTTTATAGCACCTACAATTATAAAAGGTAATAAAGGTACACCTACAATTATAAAAGGTAATAATTAAAACCGACTGCGTAAAAAGAGAACAAGTTGACGAAAGAGCATAGTATTTTCCAGTCGGAGATTTACAATAAGTAAAATTAGTAAGACTGGTAACTAGTCTAAATATGTGATGATGATGATGTTCTCCTAGCCGATTCCGGCCACGGCGGCCAATCTCAATGAGATTAGCCAACTGCGCAGGAGATATTATAGTGCTCAAGTGTACGCGCAGACACAAGTGCACTCTCTATTCCTATCACTCTCATACTCCGGTGGGACGACCACTCGACACGACCGGTGAGAGTTAAGGCGCAGGACCGACGGCTTTACGTGCTCTCCGAGGCACGGGGGTGAAACACCGCCAACTTCCCAACTCCGGGCTGTTTCTGAGACTTACTATACAGGAAGACTCAATAACTAAACTTGGCCCGACCCGGGACTCGAACCCAGGACCTCCGGGTGTGCAGCCGTACATGCTAGCTACTACACCACCGAGGCAGTTAAAATGTAACATTTGTATATCTCCAACTGCATAATACTCTCACCTTTTCAAATCGCTTTTAGCGGTCGCAGTCGGGTATTTTTTTTTAATTTTATTTTTTTTTATTTACAGCTTTTTAGTTTTGTCAGTTTAACATTTTTAGTTTTATTTAACAATTTATTATCCTAAATAACTTTTAAACATATAATATGTATATATTTTTGTAAACGCCTCTTAAAAACATGTATTTTGATACCCCACTCGATTGATTCTGACGAAAAAAAGATTTTTAATAATATCAATATAGCATAAGACACTCGCGTTACCAAGACAAATCGAAGGACGTATGAATCATCACACAATATAGGAAGGAAAAGGAACATGGGGTCGGACATACATACATACATACAGGTCAAACAAATATCCCTCCTTTGGGCTTTACCGCAGTCAGGTAAAAAGAATTCTTATTACTTAAACTACAAAAATAAAAACCGATTTAAAAAACCATTAAAAAGTAAAAATAACTGATTGCTAGTATATTACTATAGATACCTAATCAGATATTTTCGAAGTCGGTGTGCTTTGACTTGTATTTCTTTCGAAAATATTTGATTAATTATCTATAGTAACTTTGAGATATATCCTATCCAATAAAAAAGAATAATCGAAAACAGACTACACTAATAAAAGTTATGCGTGCTTAAACATAAAAAAATATATACGTGTCGAATTCAGAACCGGTTTTTCATTTTTCGTCAGTTAAAAATTATAACTGGTTAAATGTTTCATAGCCTGTACGAGTATAATCTTGAGTTCATGTCACATGTTATCAGAGGTGATTTTTTAAGTCTATACGATTATATTTTTACCTGACCGCGGCGTAGCCCAAAGGAAGGTTATCTGTTTGATCTGTATGTACGTAATATTATGTATATATGTCTGACCTCGTAATTACAAAACGGCTTAACCAAATTTTAACCGACTTCAAAAAGGAGGAGGTTCTCAATTCGGAGGTTTAATTTTTTTTATGTACATAATATGTTCGTGCTTAGCTCCATCACATATAGCCGGTTTTTTTTAAGTTTTTCGATATTCGTACGTCATTAGATTCGTCTTGATAACACGAGTATTATAGGAAGTGTAGACATTATTAAAAATAGAAATGGAGGTTTTGAGTGCTAATAATGTGTCTTGAAAAAAAATCGTCAAACCTATCAAATACCGTATCAAAATAAAGGTTTTCAAGAGGTGATTACAAAAACATATAATATGTACTTAAAACTTAATTTTTAAAAATAATTTAATATAAAAGATATTTTGACAAAAAATTATAAGTTTCTAAGAGACCACAACTAAAGAGCTATAATAAAAAATAATATATTTATACAATTAAAAGTAATAATTAAAAGCCTCAATTTTTGCAGGTGATGAAATTACAACCTCGATTCAACAACATGAAACAATGGAAGGTTCAGAAACATTTTGGCCAAGTTTTCGTCCTAATGTGAGAGGCATACACATACCATTAAGTTTTCATATATCTGGCACATACGGTGGAAATTCCGGTACTGGCGTATACACTAGCAGTTATATGGATATGGCTACCGGATATGAAAAGTTGGGTAAAGCTGTTCTAGCAGGAACCAGTTACAAATCTTATGGGAGATATCCTGGGATTAGGATATACGGTGGTGATACCAAGCCAGCGTGGAGTGGATGGGGAAATGGCAAATGGGGTCATTATGGCAAAGGATAATCGTGTTTATTATGTAAATGTACGACACTAGCCAGTAAATAAATTACCTATATAGAAGCAAAACAAAATGCTACGAATCATTGAAAATAAATTTATATTTACAAACTTAGCAGGAATTGTGAGCCACAATATTACAATTAATATAATCATTAATTCATTTTTAATGGCTGTCCGATTATTGGTTTCAGATAGACAATACGAGTATGAGTCTTACTAATTTATTATAAATTGATGAGTAAAATTAAGTGTTTACAGACGGAAAATCCATCCATTATTCAAGGCGGCAGATGTGTCAATTTGCTTATATAATAATTATATTTACATCTTATGATGTATTTATTGAAACACCACATATGAGTACAATAAAACTGCATTTACATTATTATTTGCGTATATATATTTTTTTTCTAACCTTTCAATTATAGATACTTATATACAAATATTTTTTTTTTCCTTTTTTGTTATTTTAAAGCAACAGAAGTAAACCTGAGAAGTATCTCCAAAATCCTTAATCCTTAATCAATATCGACTTTATTTCCAAGGTACTGAAGTGCAAAACAGATTCGCATAAGTTACGATATGAGTTATCATTTTCATAATATCTTCATACTAATTTAAGTTTTGAATGCTCTAATAAAGAAAATATATTTACTAAAATGTACATATAAATAGTATATATGTACTTATAAATAGGAGCAGGTAACGAAAATAACATTAAAGAATAAAAACCAACTTCCAGACACTGAAAAGTAAAAAATAAGTCACAAAATAGATGAAAATATCTGTGTATTATATATTAAATAAAATTGAAGTGTCTGTTTGTAATGTCAAAATAACAGTTTTGACTAAATGTATATGTAAGTATACACGGTATCTATTTACTATTAAGAAAAAAATCAATTTTTAAAATATTTGTCTGTCTGTATGTCTGTTTGTTCCAACTAATCTCACTGGCAGATAGCTGATATTATAATAAGTAACTTAACTTAGGCTACTTTTATTGTAGAAAAGTATCAGAGTTCCGCGCAAAAAAATTAAAACCTATGTGATTTGTGAACAAAATCGTACCTAGGGGTGCACCCGAGTAAAGCGAGGGTAAGTGGCTAGTATACTATAGATACCTAATCAGATATTTTCAAAGTCGATGCCAAGTCTAATTAGATCTGTTATCATACTTAAAATTTCATGATCTTTTCCTTATTTTCTCGAAAAGGTATACTCTTCGTCAAAGAAAATTATGGTCACATATACCTAACCTCGGGACCTATCAAAAAATAATGCAATTTAACATGCAGCACAGTATATAAAAAAAACAAACAGACGAACATAGAACCTCCTCCTTTTTGGAAGTCGGTTAAATACACGGTAATAAATTATACTAGCTATATGCTACATACACATGAAATCATTGAATAAACGACACTTTGACGGGATTATTATGAGAAATTTCAATAAACCACGCTAAAGTCCAATATAACCATTAACCTGCCAGTAAAGTGTCACATTTAACAATGGAACTTCCTGTGCAAATACAGATTTAAGTCCCTGCGAATATTTTTTCACAACAGTTACAATATGGAGGGGACGCTATTCATACTTTTTACATTACCAATACTGTCATTATGTTCTGGAGAAGGCAACATCCATTTGTTAGAGGAAGAAGTTGCTGCCGCTCTAAAATCTTGTTCACAAATACACAATAAAGAATATGGAAAAAATGACAAGAGGCAAAGACGATCAGAACTAATATCTTACGAGTATAATACACCTCGCATTGATGCCAACAACAAACAGGAAGTTAATCCATATAACCATGTACGGCGCAATAACAGCTTCCTCAACCAAATATACATTTTAAACGATACTGATTACAATTATTCGGGTTACAATGTTGGCAGTAATGGCGAAAAATTTATTAAAAACGTCCCCAAACCTGCATTGGGTAATGTAAATATTACAAACAATAACGATGTAGGCTATAAAAAAGTTAAAAGAAACGATCCACTACTAAGTAAAGATGACAATGATCAGGTATTTTACTATAAGACAAGTTATTTTTGATTAAGCGCTCAATGTATTCAGCCCTTTTTTTAACATCCCACTGCTGGGCACGGGCCTCCCTTCAATATGAGGGGATCAGGCCATAGTCCACCACGCTGACCAAGTGCGGGTTGGTGGACTTCATATGTCTTTCGAAAACTTGCTAGGTTCTCTCAGACATGCAGGTTTCCTCACGATGTTTTTCCTTCACCGTAAGACAAGTGGTAATCATGTTGAAAATGATTCGCTCAATGCGCAGGTATAATTACAGCTTCAATGAATGAAAACTTCCAATTATAGTAATTTGCGCAATAATATGAAATAAAACATTTGTTAATATTTTTTAATCTTGTGGGTTTTATAGCTTTTAATATTCACGTGTGTAAAAGTCAGATCCTTTACTATATATATTTCAGAAGTAAACACGGCAATATAGAATATGTTAAATTTAAGGCGATTAGTACCCTCAAAGAGGTACTTTCTAAAGCGTACTTCTCGTTTATGGCTTGACCGAAATGCTTGAAAAAAATATATATGAATCATCAACTCTTAAACAATATTTTCATTATCCAATACAAAATTTTATAACCATCAATAATATTTTTTCTAGTGCCTCAGTCAGTGTGTATTCGCCAATTTGCAAATGGTAAGGAAAATTTTATACTAGTTAAGTGGTTAGTAAATAAAAGTGTGATTCACAAATTATAATATATTTCTCAGGTGGATTCGCAGGGAATCCCCCGTGAAGCGGAGATGTGGAACAAAGTGCAAACAACATTAGCATCCCAACAGGCACGTGTATTACTTAGAGACCAAATAAGGGCATGCTTTCAAGAACTTCAATCTGGTAAAATTCATTTGATCTCCATACTAATATTATAAATGTGAAAGTGTGTTTGTTTGTTTGTCTTTCTTTCACGTCGAAACGGAGTGACAGATTGACGTGATTTTATGTGTGGAAATAGTTGGAGGGCTGGAGAGTGACATAGGCTACTTTTTATCGCGGGAGATTAACTAATTACCACGGGAAAACACGTTATAATACAATCCAAAAAAATATTTATGATCAGAATTACTTGAAACTTGGTATTAATGCTATCAATAAAATTAAATAAATACGTGTTTTAGCATTTTTCGAAATTCATCCTATAAGAGGGTGTAATAGGGGATGAAAGTTTGTATAAAACTACCTTTTTAAAGATTTTTCGTAGTTTTAGCCGCGGGTTCTGCTAGTTAAAAATAAATTAAATTTCATTATACCACGTATCGTCGTATACTATTATTGTGGCGATGTTACAAAATTCTGACAATAATTTGCTGCTCGCACTTGTGAGCGTATAATTGGTAAACAAATATTATTTTTTGTTTACTAATTAAAGTACATACATTCATACTTAAATAAGCTGAAAGATCTACGTCTTAAACATAAATTGTGAAGAATACAATTAATTATAATATTATAATTTTTATTGTGAATAGTGACCTATCAATCATTATGTAGTCAGACCTCTATTATTTACTTACAATATCTAAGTATATTTTGCCTTTAAATCGTAATTTCATAAGAATAAATGCAAATGTAAAGACGACAGGTGTCTTGATGGCTTACGCACCAACTATAATTACGATTACTTAAATAAATATTTGCACAATATAATGAAATGTACTTAGTGTACTTACAGGATATTATAATTTATACGGGATTATAATAATCTTTGATATAGATATATTTACACATTTTTTTATAGTCTGAGCAAAGGAAAGATTTGTAACTATATTCCATAGATTTAGGCAGTTAACTAAAGATAAACAAGTCATAAAACAGGTTCTCTTTGATGCCGTTCTTTCTCGTCTCAAAATTTTTTGCGATGAAAATAATATCTTCAGGGCCGTGCCGGTTCTATGATGATGATGATGATAGGGGAATTAATATTTGGAATTGGAGCTGCTAACAAATACCCGACACTCATGTGGACTCAAATATTTCGGAAGGAGAACCTTTTTTTTGTTCGAAATTTTACAGAATTTTAGTAATTGACATAATATACCTATTGCCTTTTAGCAATATATGTAGCTCCAATAGTCTCTGAGTAATATTACGGTGATATATGGACACACGGACGGACAAATTATAAGGATTTTGTTTTTGCCTTTTAACTACGGAATCCTCTCATTAGGCTTTTACTATGTCGTTCTTCTGTCCAAGTGCATTCCCAAATACTTTGCGTTATCTTCTTGAGGTATTATTTTGTCGTTTAATGGGGGGACAAGTTTCTCTCCTGAGGGTAAATGTTACATGAGTAGATTTACTTTCATTTGCCTTTATCTTCCATCTTTTCAGCTATAACTCTATTTTGTGAAGGTGAGTGTAGCAGTTTTTGGGTAGAGTGAGTAGACAGCAAGGCAGTATTACCAGCATACGTCGCAGTTGACGTGTGATCGTTGGTTGGTCTGCTGTAAAGATAAGATAGGGCCCAGTGTACAACCGTGCGGGATACCTAATTTGATTTTGTTAAGATCCTATAGCTCCTTTATAGCTCTATCTATCTATATATATATATATATATATATATATATATATATATATATATATATATATATATATATATAAGCTCTTTTTATTTAGGTACGATTTGAATATGTGAAGAAAACAGTGTGGGAACGTCTTGTTTAGTTTAAAGATAATGCCATCGTGCCATACCCTATCATCATAATAGCAGAGCGAAGTATCCTCCCACCTCGCACATATCTATACATACATATAATAAAATTCTAACTATGCTGAATCTGGACATTAAATATTTTTTCGAAAATCTTATTGAAAAAGACATTATTATCGATACAGAGGCTGAATCTTTAGTTAGAATTTTTGTCTGTCTGTCTGTCTATTACCGCATCACGGAAAAACCACTGGAGGGATTTTGATGAAATTTGGTATGATGGTAGCTGGTTAACCGGGTCAGCATATAGGATATTCTTTACTGCAGAATGATATCTCATTTCTGAGAAATCTATACTAAACGTTAAAACATAAGTAGGGACGAACCCGAGCGGAGCGAGGGTGAGTCGCTAGTTATAGTATTTTAACATAAATCATGTCTCCATGGTCATGGTCTCCACCTTTTCGAATAATCTTCTTAGGTCAGCAGCACCTGTAACCATTATTGTTTAGACACCGTTTTCAAAATGTTGTATACGTTTTAGTCTGATTGCAACAAGATGGCCTTGAACCTGGTTTAGTTCATAGATGATTATGAAGTTTTCGCAAGTCTCTAAAGTAGACATATTATTACATAAGAGACAAGAGATTTCTACAACAATCCTCTACTTTTCTACTTTAATTTTAAATATTTTGACACTCGAAATTTTTAAATAAGATAAAATGCTAAAAAACTGATTTATACAAAAAATACATTAATTATTTAACTAAACTTTGATAAGTTAATTCGATTAAAGACGGAAGACTGGTTAGTCTTAAAATGGAACCTCGAATTACGCAGAATTTTATCTAACAATGCTAATTAGTAATTATCCTGCATAAAAAATGAAACTTAAATTTTATCATTTGCTAACAATAAATGTGTCGGAAATAGATCATTCTAGCTAAAATATGTAACCTTTAAATTTATTGTTAATTTATATTAAAGTTACTAGCGACTCACCCTCGCTTTTCTAGGGTTCGTCCCTAGGTTAATTCCCCACACAAACTTTCATCTCCATTTCCTCCCCTTTAAGGGATGATTTCCGAGATAAAAATCCTCTATCCTTCCCAGGTTTCTCAAACTATATTCTTACCAAATTTCATCTAAATCGATTCAGTAGTTCCAGTGATTACTTCCTACAAACAAACTCACAAACTTACCAACTTTACCTCTTTATAATTATAACATATAAATTACTTTATGGTAATGGAAAACATACTTAAAATACCATTATCTAAAATATTTACGGCGAATATCCTATTTTCGTTTCGGTACAGTTGATATTCAACGAAATTATTTACTCTACTGCTTTCACAGAATCGGAAGACAATGGCTGCTCTTATTCAAACAAACTGGAACGCTGTTTAATGCTTCGCTTCGCTGATAGAAAAATAAACGGGACACGTACTACCTCGTAAAATTGAATTGCTAATTTAACAATTCTGTATTTCCAAAATAATATTTCGAAGATTTTATTTACATCTTATCTAGAGTTGAGATATGATATTATAGTAATATTTAGATGTGTGTGTAAAGCAAAACAGAATAAAGTCTGTGCACTGAAACTTCTATTAATTTATAAATATATACTGTACTTACGTAAGCAAAAGATAAAGACATGAATCCGTTAATCATTCAAAATAAGTTCACATAGGTACAGAGGTAGGGCGACCACTCAATGATTTCAAAGGAATTTTGCTAAATGCAAGGGTTATCATAAAATACTTATATTCATAAATATAAAGCACATCTGTGCCATCCCGTGGGAAGTTACAGTTATAAATCATAAATATTAAACAAATATGTTGGGACATTAACACACAGCACCATCTAGTTCCATGGTATGCTACGAGGCTTGTGTTATGGATACCAGGTAGTTGATACACTACACATAATTAACTTTAAATACATACATACTATAAATATAAACACCCATGACTGAGTACAAGCATTCGTGCTCATAACACAAATGAATACCCTCAGCGGGACTCGAACCGCTGGCACAGCAAGTGATGTGATGTTCTCCTAGCCGATTCCGGCTACGGCGGCCAATCTCATTGAGACTAGCCAACTGCGCAGGAGATATTATAGTGCACAAGTGTACGCGCAGACACAAGTGCACTCTCTATTCCTGTCACTCTCATACTCCGGTGGGACGTCTGCACGACACGACCGGTGAGAGTTAAGGCGCAGGACCGACGGCTTTACGTGCTCTCCGAGGCACGGGGGTGAAACACCACCAACTTCCCAACTCCGGGCTGTTACTGAGACTTACTATACAGAAAGACTCAATAACTAAACTTGGCCCGACCCGGGACTCGAACCCAGGACCTCCGAGTGTGCAGCCGTACATGCTAGCCACTACACCACCGAGGCAGTTAAAGGCACAGCAAGTAGAGACACTACAAACTGAGCCAAACGTATCATCAAGTTTTAAAAGTAAATTTGACACTCGGTTGCGTCTGACCCGTACCCTCGCAAGCCCTTCGCCATTACCCTGCCAAAACATCTACTCTATTATACTTAAATATCTACAATGTTTAATTTATATTAACCGGAAAGCAAATAAAATTAACTGCTTTTGAAAATAAAAACATAAAACAAAACTACTTATTAAGTAAATTTTTATAAAAACCATTAATTTAATTTAATAGCCACATTCAGAATTTAAAAAAAACAATAGTATTACGTTTTACAATATAATTACTTCCTTTACATTAAAAAGGATGTGAATGAGGATTTTTATATAATTCGAGTGAACTTGTATCAATCACTTCATAACATAAAATTATTTAAAAGTAATTGGACCCAGTTATGCAAAGAACAGCCATGTGCGTAAAAGTACCAACAGAGTTATAAGCATTTTTCTGTCGATAGTTGCACTTGGGTTATGTTTTGTTTTTCTGGTTATTTTAAAATTGAACAATATTTATATAAGTAATGTTTATTTTTTATAATTATTTTATTTTTTATAATAAAATGCTTATAACTCTGTTGGTACTTTTACGCACATGGCTGTTTTTTACATAACCGGGTCCAATTATGTTATTCCAAATTATGGTGTATAAGCCATTTTTTTTATAAAATTGGCTACTATTAACTTTATAGGTATAAGATAACTGGGTAACCAGGAAATGAGAATGGTTGAGGAAAATACAAAACTGGCTTATCCAATTTAACATTTTTCAATTCATGTGGCAATATTTGTTGTGGCAATGGTTCTTTTTTCCATAATGGCGACCTTGTTTTCTGAAAAATAAATTCCAACTGAATAACTTGAGGTTCACACTAAAAAAGTTGTACAGAAAATATCCATTTTTAACCCCCGACGCAAAAAAGGGGTGTTATAGTTTGACGTCGATGATGATACTGTGGCATCGTAGCTCTCAAACGGATAGACCGATTTCGATGCGATTTTTTTTATTTGAAAGCCAGTTTGCTTGCAGTGGTTCTTAGCTATGTTTGGTTAATATTGGTCGAGCAGTGTAAGAGTATCAGCTCTTTTTCCAAATGATGTAAGGCATTTTGGCGTATGATTACTCGATTAAGTTTTTTACTTTTTAAGGGTTGTTCCTTAAACTATAAAGTATTTTTTGCGTAGGGGTTTTTTTTTATAATTATAATATGTAAGCTAATATTTATTGATATTGATTAATTATCAACTTCCTGACAGTAGGGCTGTTTTGATGAGACAAATGTTACGAGTTCAAACTTGAAATACTGTTTTGACCATCTCTATCTAGCACTCTAAGTTATAATAACATTAATTTTGAGAATATAACTACTTATATAATATAACTTTTAGGAATCACATAGATTTTCATTGCTTCTTGTCGTATCCACACATATATATCCACATCATATCCACATAAATATTATAAATGTGAAAGTGTGTTTGTTTGTTTGTCTTTCTTTCACGTCGAAACAGTGACGGATTGGCGCGATTTTTTGTATGAAGATAGTTGGGAGGGCTGGAGTGACATAGGCTACTTTTTACCGCAAGAGGTCTCATTTTCACGGGAATAAGCGATTCCACGGGAATACAACGAAAAAAAAATATCACCAGAATTACTTGAAACATGGTATTAAATATTAATGCTCTTCAATACAATTAAATAAGTAAGTTTTTAACATTTTTCGAAATTCATCCCTTAAGGAGGTAAAATAGAGGATGAAAGTTTGCATGAAACCTACCTTTTTAGTTGTTTTTGTAGTTTAAGTAAGAGCGAAGCAATGGGTTCTGCTAGTTATGTATATTTATGGAAATACAAAATAAAAAAAATATTTTCGAACTTACACATGAAGTAATATAAACTATTAAAAATAATAAAACTAACTTCTTTTGTATACTTCTATAAAAAATCATGACAAATAATATTTTACTTTATATCAATAATGAATATTTTATATGGGCAATTAAAAAAAATACTGCTCATATCAGTTCACTAATTACAAAAGTAATTGGCAATTTTATTAAGGAACATAAAAAACTTTTTTTATCAATTCAATGCACTGCCGGAGCTAGTAAAGACAATGTCAATGTGTTTAAAGGTATTGGTTGCCGATTTCCACAAACTCTTGGTTGTGATTGAATATGTTTAAACCATCTACAAACATGGAGTAAGGATTCCTGTTCAGATACTGAGATCCTTTCCTGAAAAATTAATAAAAACTTAAGTTGTAATTTGTTGAAATTCTTTAATGTATAAAATTCATTTGGTTTATGTTTAAATGAAATTTATATTGTTTTACTTACAATTAATGGGTAAAGGACATGGTACGCAGCTATATCAGTAACAGTAAAATAATTTCCTGTTAAATATGTACTCTTCTCCAAGGCTTTGTTTATTCCCTAAAAACAAAATTCAGTAGAATATCAATATTATAAAATTTTAAAACAATTTTATTGATGATCTACTTTTAAAGTGTTAACAGCAAATAATAACTACATATAAAAATGAGATTTTCTATATACAGTCAAACCCGAGTGAGTGAGAACTGGGTAAGCGAAAAAACTCTGTGAGAGTAATTGCCAGGTCCCATCATTTTATCCCTCTAAAACCTCTATAACAGAAACAGAACCTCTATAAGAGATTGTTGTTTTTCATTTGTAGACCTCGTATAACTGAGACTGCTTCTTGCCTGTACCTTTATAACCGACAGTCAAGCAAATTTAACACCAGCGATTTATAGCTTTTTTGTGGAACTAACATTGTTTTTGTGTCCTTAATTTCGAGGAATTAATATTATTTCCTAGTTAACTTTACCTGTAAGAAACTTTTTGCAAAATTAGAATTCGTTATGGCTTGGTTAGCATACATAGCTATGTGTTCTAACCACTGATAGCTGAGAAGAGTTTGCTCTTGACTCATGGTGGTACCGCTCTTGGCTGCTAATCGCAATATAATACTAGCAAGTCCTTCCACATTTTCTTTATCTAAAAGCGTAGTTAAAACCTAAAACACACACTTTTTTAAATTTGATATGGTCTTTATTAACATAAAGCCTAATTTTACATTGAATTTTATCGCACCTTGTCTGTATTATAGCATATTGTGCCAACAGGTGTATTAAGATATTTACCAACAGTTTTAACAACATCCATACTATATGTTTTAATTTAAGTTAGTGATAATATTTAATTTTTTTTAATTTTACTTTATAACCTATTCTTTGATTTGATTAAATATTATTATTATTGACTTTTTAATTTTCATTCATTTCAATTAGTGATGCGCGATTAAGAATGATTCCAGTCGAATTATTCGATTATATAAATCATTCGACTCATCCGAACGAGTTACGAAATACGAAGTTTAATAACTAACTTGATTCTCATTCGTGTCTCCTCACAAAACGTGACACTGGCAGAATGGATTGCGTCTGTTAACGCAACTATAAGCCATTATAGAAAAAAAACTAACTTGATGCTACCTGCAAGTTGCTACATTAAACACTTGGTCGGTAAGTATTAGTTGTAGCACCCTGTCTACACGACTCTTGTGTGCGTGTACGACACGTGTGCTTGCGATCCGAAGCGTGGCGGTAACATCGAAGGAATCGAGCCATTAGATCGGTACTTACGTAAGCAAAAGATAAAGACATGAATCCGTTAATCATTCAAAATAAGTTCACATAGGTACAGAGGTAGGGCGACCACTCAATGATTTCAAAGGAATTTTGCTAAATGCAAGGGTTATCATAAAATACTTATATTCATAAATATAAAGCATGCCATCCCGTGGGAAGTTACAGTTATAAATCATAAATATTAAACAAATATGTTGGGACATTAACACACAGCACCATCTAGTTCCATGGTATGCTACGAGGCTTGTGTTATGGATACCAGGTAGTTGATACACTACACATAATTAACTTTAAATACATACATACTATAAATATAAACACCCATGACTGAGTACAAGCATTCGTGCTCATAACACAAATGAATACCCTCAGCGGGACTCGAACCGCTGGCACAGCAAGTGATGTGATGTTCTCCTAGCCGATTCCGGCTACGGCGGCCAATCTCATTGAGACTAGCCAACTGCGCAGGAGATATTATAGTGCACAAGTGTACGCGCAGACACAAGTGCACTCTCTATTCCTGTCACTCTCATACTCCGGTGGGACGTCTGCACGACACGACCGGTGAGAGTTAAGGCGCAGGACCGACGGCTTTACGTGCTCTCCGAGGCACGGGGGTGAAACACCACCAACTTCCCAACTCCGGGCTGTTACTGAGACTTACTATACAGAAAGACTCAATAACTAAACTTGGCCCGACCCGGGACTCGAACCCAGGACCTCCGAGTGTGCAGCCGTACATGCTAGCCACTACACCACCGAGGCAGTTAAAGGCACAGCAAGTAGAGACACTACAAACTGAGCCAAACGTATCATCAAGTTTTAAAAGTAAATTTGACACTCGGTTGCGTCTGACCCGTACCCTCGCAAGCCCTTCGCCATTACCCTGCCAAAACATCTACTCTATTATACTTAAATATCTACAATGTTTAATTTATATTAACCGGAAAGCAAATAAAATTAACTGCTTTTGAAAATAAAAACATAAAACAAAACTACTTATTAAGTAAATTTTTATAAAAACCATTAATTTAATTTAATAGCCACATTCAGAATTTAAAAAAAACAATAGTATTACGTTTTACAATATAATTACTTCCTTTACATTAAAAAGGATGTGAATGAGGATTTTTATATAATTCGAGTGAACTTGTATCAATCACTTCATAACATAAAATTATTTAAAAGTAATTGGACCCAGTTATGCAAAGAACAGCCATGTGCGTAAAAGTACCAACAGAGTTATAAGCATTTTTCTGTCGATAGTTGCACTTGGGTTATGTTTTGTTTTTCTGGTTATTTTAAAATTGAACAATATTTATATAAGTAATGTTTATTTTTTATAATTATTTTATTTTTTATAATAAAATGCTTATAACTCTGTTGGTACTTTTACGCACATGGCTGTTTTTTACATAACCGGGTCCAATTATGTTATTCCAAATTATGGTGTATAAGCCATTTTTTTTATAAAATTGGCTACTATTAACTTTATAGGTATAAGATAACTGGGTAACCAGGAAATGAGAATGGTTGAGGAAAATACAAAACTGGCTTATCCAATTTAACATTTTTCAATTCATGTGGCAATATTTGTTGTGGCAATGGTTCTTTTTTCCATAATGGCGACCTTGTTTTCTGAAAAATAAATTCCAACTGAATAACTTGAGGTTCACACTAAAAAAGTTGTACAGAAAATATCCATTTTTAACCCCCGACGCAAAAAAGGGGTGTTATAGTTTGACGTCGATGATGATATCTGTGGCATCGTAGCTCTCAAACGGATAGACCGATTTCGATGCGATTTTTTTTATTTGAAAGCCAGTTTGCTTGCAGTGGTTCTTAGCTATGTTTGGTTAATATTGGTCGAGCAGTGTAAGAGTATCAGCTCTTTTTCCAAATGATGTAAGGCATTTTGGCGTATGATTACTCGATTAAGTTTTTTACTTTTTAAGGGTTGTTCCTTAAACTATAAAGTATTTTTTGCGTAGGGGTTTTTTTTTATAATTATAATATGTAAGCTAATATTTATTGATATTGATTAATTATCAACTTCCTGACAGTAGGGCTGTTTTGATGAGACAAATGTTACGAGTTCAAACTTGAAATACTGTTTTGACCATCTCTATCTAGCACTCTAAGTTATAATAACATTAATTTTGAGAATATAACTACTTATATAATATAACTTTTAGGAATCACATAGATTTTCATTGCTTCTTGTCGTATCCACACATATATATCCACATCATATCCACATAAATATTATAAATGTGAAAGTGTGTTTGTTTGTTTGTCTTTCTTTCACGTCGAAACAGTGACGGATTGGCGCGATTTTTTGTATGAAGATAGTTGGGAGGGCTGGAGTGACATAGGCTACTTTTTACCGCAAGAGGTCTCATTTTCACGGGAATAAGCGATTCCACGGGAATACAACGAAAAAAAAATATCACCAGAATTACTTGAAACATGGTATTAAATATTAATGCTCTTCAATACAATTAAATAAGTAAGTTTTTAACATTTTTCGAAATTCATCCCTTAAGGAGGTAAAATAGAGGATGAAAGTTTGCATGAAACCTACCTTTTTAGTTGTTTTTGTAGTTTAAGTAAGAGCGAAGCAATGGGTTCTGCTAGTTATGTATATTTATGGAAATACAAAATAAAAAAAATATTTTCGAACTTACACATGAAGTAATATAAACTATTAAAAATAATAAAACTAACTTCTTTTGTATACTTCTATAAAAAATCATGACAAATAATATTTTACTTTATATCAATAATGAATATTTTATATGGGCAATTAAAAAAAATACTGCTCATATCAGTTCACTAATTACAAAAGTAATTGGCAATTTTATTAAGGAACATAAAAAACTTTTTTTATCAATTCAATGCACTGCCGGAGCTAGTAAAGACAATGTCAATGTGTTTAAAGGTATTGGTTGCCGATTTCCACAAAACTCTTGGTTGTGATTGAATATGTTTAAACCATCTACAAACATGGAGTAAGGATTCCTGTTCAGATACTGAGATCCTTTCCTGAAAAATTAATAAAAACTTAAGTTGTAATTTGTTGAAATTCTTTATTGTATAAAATTCATTTGGTTTATGTTTAAATGAAATTTATATTGTTTTACTTACAATTAATGGGTAAAGGACATGGTATGCAGCTATATCAGTAACAGTAAAATAATTTCCTGTTAAATATGTACTCTTCTCCAAGGCTTTGTTTATTCCCTAAAAACAAAATTCAGTAGAATATCAATATTATAAAATTTTAAAACAATTTTATTGATGATCTACTTTTAAAGTGTTAACAGCAAATAATAACTACATATAAAAATGAGATTTTCTATATACAGTCAAACCCGAGTGAGTGAGAACTGGGTAAGCGAAAAAACTCTGTGAGAGTAATTGCCAGGTCCCATCATTTTATCCCTCTAAAACCTCTATAACAGAAACAGAACCTCTATAAGAGATTGTTGTTTTTCATTTGTAGACCTCGTATAACTGAGACTGCTTCTTGCCTGTACCTTTATAACCGACAGTCAAGCAAATTTAACACCAGCGATTTATAGCTTTTTTGTGGAACTAACATTGTTTTTGTGTCCTTAATTTCGAGGAATTAATATTATTTCCTAGTTAACTTTACCTGTAAGAAACTTTTTGCAAAATTAGAATTCGTTATGGCTTGGTTAGCATACATAGCTATGTGTTCTAACCACTGATAGCTGAGAAGAGTTTGCTCTTGACTCATGGTGGTACCGCTCTTGGCTGCTAATCGCAATATAATACTAGCAAGTCCTTCCACATTTTTCTTTATCTAAAAGCGTAGTTAAAACCTAAAACACACACTTTTTTAAATTTGATATGGTCTTTATTAACATAAAGCCTAATTTTACATTGAATTTTATCGCACCTTGTCTGTATTATAGCATATTGTGCCAACAGGTGTATTAAGATATTTACCAACAGTTTTAACAACATCCATACTATATGTTTTAATTTAAGTTAGTGATAATATTTAATTTTTTTTAATTTTACTTTATAACCTATTCTTTGATTTGATTAAATATTATTATTATTGACTTTTTAATTTTCATTCATTTCAATTAGTGATGCGCGATTAAGAATGATTCCAGTCGAATTATTCGATTATATAAATCATTCGACTCATCCGAACGAGTTACGAAATACGAAGTTTAATAACTAACTTGATTCTCATTCGTGTCTCCTCACAAAACGTGACACTGGCAGAATGGATTGCGTCTGTTAACGCAACTATAAGCCATTATAGAAAAAAAAACTAACTTGATGCTACCTGCAAGTTGCTACATTAAACACTTGGTCGGTAAGTATTAGTTGTAGCACCCTGTCTACACGACTCTTGTGTGCGTGTACGACACGTGTGCTTGCGATCCGAAGCGTGGCGGTAACATCGAAGGAATCGAGCCATTAGATCGGTACTTACGTAAGCAAAAGATAAAGACATGAATCCGTTAATCATTCAAAATAAGTTCACATAGGTACAGAGGTAGGGCGACCACTCAATGATTTCAAAGGAATTTTGCTAAATGCAAGGGTTATCATAAAATACTTATATTCATAAATATAAAGCATGCCATCCCGTGGGAAGTTACAGTTATAAATCATAAATATTAAACAAATATGTTGGGACATTAACACACAGCACCATCTAGTTCCATGGTATGCTACGAGGCTTGTGTTATGGATACCAGGTAGTTGATACACTACACATAATTAACTTTAAATACATACATACTATAAATATAAACACCCATGACTGAGTACAAGCATTCGTGCTCATAACACAAATGAATACCCTCAGCGGGACTCGAACCGCTGGCACAGCAAGTGATGTGATGTTCTCCTAGCCGATTCCGGCTACGGCGGCCAATCTCATTGAGACTAGCCAACTGCGCAGGAGATATTATAGTGCACAAGTGTACGCGCAGACACAAGTGCACTCTCTATTCCTGTCACTCTCATACTCCGGTGGGACGTCTGCACGACACGACCGGTGAGAGTTAAGGCGCAGGACCGACGGCTTTACGTGCTCTCCGAGGCACGGGGGTGAAACACCACCAACTTCCCAACTCCGGGCTGTTACTGAGACTTACTATACAGAAAGACTCAATAACTAAACTTGGCCCGACCCGGGACTCGAACCCAGGACCTCCGAGTGTGCAGCCGTACATGCTAGCCACTACACCACCGAGGCAGTTAAAGGCACAGCAAGTAGAGACACTACAAACTGAGCCAAACGTATCATCAAGTTTTAAAAGTAAATTTGACACTCGGTTGCGTCTGACCCGTACCCTCGCAAGCCCTTCGCCATTACCCTGCCAAAACATCTACTCTATTATACTTAAATATCTACAATGTTTAATTTATATTAACCGGAAAGCAAATAAAATTAACTGCTTTTGAAAATAAAAACATAAAACAAAACTACTTATTAAGTAAATTTTTATAAAAACCATTAATTTAATTTAATAGCCACATTCAGAATTTAAAAAAAACAATAGTATTACGTTTTACAATATAATTACTTCCTTTACATTAAAAAGGATGTGAATGAGGATTTTTATATAATTCGAGTGAACTTGTATCAATCACTTCATAACATAAAATTATTTAAAAGTAATTGGACCCAGTTATGCAAAGAACAGCCATGTGCGTAAAAGTACCAACAGAGTTATAAGCATTTTTCTGTCGATAGTTGCACTTGGGTTATGTTTTGTTTTTCTGGTTATTTTAAAATTGAACAATATTTATATAAGTAATGTTTATTTTTTATAATTATTTTATTTTTTATAATAAAATGCTTATAACTCTGTTGGTACTTTTACGCACATGGCTGTTTTTTACATAACCGGGTCCAATTATGTTATTCCAAATTATGGTGTATAAGCCATTTTTTTTATAAAATTGGCTACTATTAACTTTATAGGTATAAGATAACTGGGTAACCAGGAAATGAGAATGGTTGAGGAAAATACAAAACTGGCTTATCCAATTTAACATTTTTCAATTCATGTGGCAATATTTGTTGTGGCAATGGTTCTTTTTTCCATAATGGCGACCTTGTTTTCTGAAAAATAAATTCCAACTGAATAACTTGAGGTTCACACTAAAAAAGTTGTACAGAAAATATCCATTTTTAACCCCCGACGCAAAAAAGGGGTGTTATAGTTTGACGTCGATGATGATACTGTGGCATCGTAGCTCTCAAACGGATAGACCGATTTCGATGCGATTTTTTTTATTTGAAAGCCAGTTTGCTTGCAGTGGTTCTTAGCTATGTTTTGGTTAATATTGGTCGAGCAGTGTAAGAGTATCAGCTCTTTTTCCAAATGATGTAAGGCATTTTGGCGTATGATTACTCGATTAAGTTTTTTACTTTTTAAGGGTTGTTCCTTAAACTATAAAGTATTTTTTGCGTAGGGGTTTTTTTTTTATAATTATAATATGTAAGCTAATATTTATTGATATTGATTAATTATCAACTTCCTGACAGTAGGGCTGTTTTGATGAGACAAATGTTACGAGTTCAAACTTGAAATACTGTTTTGACCATCTCTATCTAGCACTCTAAGTTATAATAACATTAATTTTGAGAATATAACTACTTATATAATATAACTTTTAGGAATCACATAGATTTTCATTGCTTCTTGTCGTATCCACACATATATATCCACATCATATCCACATAAATATTATAAATGTGAAAGTGTGTTTGTTTGTTTGTCTTTCTTTCACGTCGAAACAGTGACGGATTGGCGCGATTTTTTGTATGAAGATAGTTGGGAGGGCTGGAGTGACATAGGCTACTTTTTACCGCAAGAGGTCTCATTTTCACGGGAATAAGCGATTCCACGGGAATACAACGAAAAAAAATATCACCAGAATTACTTGAAACATGGTATTAAATATTAATGCTCTTCAATACAATTAAATAAGTAAGTTTTTAACATTTTTCGAAATTCATCCCTTAAGGAGGTAAAATAGAGGATGAAAGTTTGCATGAAACCTACCTTTTTAGTTGTTTTTGTAGTTTAAGTAAGAGCGAAGCAATGGGTTCTGCTAGTTATGTATATTTATGGAAATACAAAATAAAAAAAATATTTTCGAACTTACACATGAAGTAATATAAACTATTAAAAATATATAAAACTAACTTCTTTTGTATACTTCTATAAAAAATCATGACAAATAATATTTTACTTTATATCAATAATGAATATTTTATATGGGCAATTAAAAAAATACTGCTCATATCAGTTCACTAATTACAAAGTAATTGGCAATTTTATTAAGGAACATAAAAAACTTTTTTTATCAATTCAATGCACTGCCGGAGCTAGTAAAGACAATGTCAATGTGTTTAAAGGTATTGGTTGCCGATTTCCACAAACTCTTGGTTGTGATTGAATATGTTTAAACCATCTACAAACATGGAGTAAGGATTCCTGTTCAGATACTGAGATCCTTTCCTGAAAAATTAATAAAAACTTAAGTTGTAATTTGTTGAAATTCTTTATTGTATAAAATTCATTTGGTTTATGTTTAAATGAAATTTATATTGTTTTACTTACAATTAATGGGTAAAGGACATGGTATGCAGCTATATCAGTAACAGTAAAATAATTTCCTGTTAAATATGTACTCTTCTCCAAGGCTTTGTTTATTCCCTAAAAACAAAATTCAGTAGAATATCAATATTATAAAATTTTAAAACAATTTTATTGATGATCTACTTTTAAAGTGTTAACAGCAAATAATAACTACATATAAAAATGAGATTTTCTATATACAGTCAAACCCGAGTGAGTGAGAACTGGGTAAGCGAAAAAACTCTGTGAGAGTAATTGCCAGGTCCCATCATTTTATCCCTCTAAAACCTCTATAACAGAAACAGAACCTCTATAAGAGATTGTTGTTTTTCATTTGTAGACCTCGTATAACTGAGACTGCTTCTTGCCTGTACCTTTATAACCGACAGTCAAGCAAATTTAACACCAGCGATTTATAGCTTTTTTGTGGAACTAACATTGTTTTTTGTGTCCTTAATTTCGAGGAATTAATATTATTTCCTAGTTAACTTTACCTGTAAGAAACTTTTTGCAAAATTAGAATTCGTTATGGCTTGGTTAGCATACATAGCTATGTGTTCTAACCACTGATAGCTGAGAAGAGTTTGCTCTTGACTCATGGTGGTACCGCTCTTGGCTGCTAATCGCAATATAATACTAGCAAGTCCTTCCACATTTTCTTTATCTAAAAGCGTAGTTAAAACCTAAAACACACACTTTTTTAAATTTGATATGGTCTTTATTAACATAAAGCCTAATTTTACATTGAATTTTATCGCACCTTGTCTGTATTATAGCATATTGTGCCAACAGGTGTATTAAGATATTTACCAACAGTTTTAACAACATCCATACTATATGTTTTTAATTTAAGTTAGTGATAATATTTAATTTTTTTTTAATTTTACTTTATAACCTATTCTTTGATTTGATTAAATATTATTATTATTGACTTTTTAATTTTCATTCATTTCAATTAGTGATGCGCGATTAAGAATGATTCCAGTCGAATTATTCGATTATATAAATCATTCGACTCATCCGAACGAGTTACGAAATACGAAGTTTAATAACTAACTTGATTCTCATTCGTGTCTCCTCACAAAACGTGACACTGGCAGAATGGATTGCGTCTGTTAACGCAACTATAAGCCATTATAGAAAAAAAAACTAACTTGATGCTACCTGCAAGTTGCTACATTAAACACTTGGTCGGTAAGTATTAGTTGTAGCACCCTGTCTACACGACTCTTGTGTGCGTGTACGACACGTGTGCTTGCGATCCGAAGCGTGGCGGTAACATCGAAGGAATCGAGCCATTAGATCGGTACTTACGTAAGCAAAAGATAAAGACATGAATCCGTTAATCATTCAAAATAAGTTCACATAGGTACAGAGGTAGGGCGACCACTCAATGATTTCAAAGGAATTTTGCTAAATGCAAGGGTTATCATAAAATACTTATATTCATAAATATAAAGCACATCTGTGCCATCCCGTGGGAAGTTACAGTTATAAATCATAAATATTAAACAAATATGTTGGGACATTAACACACAGCACCATCTAGTTCCATGGTATGCTACGAGGCTTGTGTTATGGATACCAGGTAGTTGATACACTACACATAATTAACTTTAAATACATACATACTATAAATATAAACACCCATGACTGAGTACAAGCATTCGTGCTCATAACACAAATGATACCCTCAGCGGACTCGAACCGCTGGCACAGCAAGTGATGTGATGTTCTCCTAGCCGATTCCGGCTACGGCGGCCAATCTCATTGAGACTAGCCAACTGCGCAGGAGATATTATAGTGCACAAGTGTACGCGCAGACACAAGTGCACTCTCTATTCCTGTCACTCTCATACTCCGGTGGGACGTCTGCACGACACGACCGGTGAGAGTTAAGGCGCAGGACCGACGGCTTTACGTGCTCTCCGAGGCACGGGGGTGAAACACCACCAACTTCCCAACTCCGGGCTGTTACTGAGACTTACTATACAGAAAGACTCAATAACTAAACTTGGCCCGACCCGGGACTCGAACCCAGGACCTCCGAGTGTGCAGCCGTACATGCTAGCCACTACACCACCGAGGCAGTTAAAGGCACAGCAAGTAGAGACACTACAAACTGAGCCAAACGTATCATCAAGTTTTAAAAGTAAATTTGACACTCGGTTGCGTCTGACCCGTACCCTCGCAAGCCCTTCGCCATTACCCTGCCAAAACATCTACTCTATTATACTTAAATATCTACAATGTTTAATTTATATTAACCGGAAAGCAAATAAAATTAACTGCTTTTGAAAATAAAAACATAAAACAAAACTACTTATTAAGTAAATTTTTATAAAAACCATTAATTTAATTTAATAGCCACATTCAGAATTTAAAAAAAACAATAGTATTACGTTTTACAATATAATTACTTTCCTTTACATTAAAAAGGATGTGAATGAGGATTTTTATATAATTCGAGTGAACTTGTATCAATCACTTCATAACATAAAATTATTTAAAAGTAATTGGACCCAGTTATGCAAAGAACAGCCATGTGCGTAAAAGTACCAACAGAGTTATAAGCATTTTTCTGTCGATAGTTGCACTTGGGTTATGTTTTGTTTTTCTGGTTATTTTAAAATTGAACAATATTTATATAAGTAATGTTTATTTTTTATAATTATTTTATTTTTTATAATAAAATGCTTATAACTCTGTTGGTACTTTTACGCTCATGGCTGTTTTTTACATAACCGGGTCCAATTATGTTATTCCAAATTATGGTGTATAAGCCATTTTTTTTATAAAATTGGCTACTATTAACTTTATAGGTATAAGATAACTGGGTAACCAGGAAATGAGAATGGTTGAGGAAAATACAAAACTGGCTTATCCAATTTAACATTTTTCAATTCATGTGGCAATATTTGTTGTGGCAATGGTTCTTTTTTTCCATAATGGCGACCTTGTTTTCTGAAAAATAAATTCCAACTGAATAACTTGAGGTTCACACTAAAAAAGTTGTACAGAAAATATCCATTTTTAACCCCCGACGCAAAAAAGGGGTGTTATAGTTTGACGTCGATGATGATACTGTGGCATCGTAGCTCTCAAACGGATAGACCGATTTCGATGCGATTTTTTTTATTTGAAAGCCAGTTTGCTTGCAGTGGTTCTTAGCTATGTTTGGTTAATATTGGTCGAGCAGTGTAAGAGTATCAGCTCTTTTTCCAAATGATGTAAGGCATTTTGGCGTATGATTACTCGATTAAGTTTTTTACTTTTTAAGGGTTGTTCCTTAAACTATAAAGTATTTTTTTGCGTAGGGGTTTTTTTTTTATAATTATAATATGTAAGCTAATATTTATTGATATTGATTAATTATCAACTTCCTGACAGTAGGGCTGTTTTGATGAGACAAATGTTACGAGTTCAAACTTGAAATACTGTTTTGACCATCTCTATCTAGCACTCTAAGTTATAATAACATTAATTTTGAGAATATAACTACTTATATAATATAACTTTTAGGAATCACATAGATTTTCATTGCTTCTTGTCGTATCCACACATATATATCCACATCATATCCACATAAATATTATAAATGTGAAAGTGTGTTTGTTTGTTTGTCTTTCTTTCACGTCGAAACAGTGACGGATTGGCGCGATTTTTTGTATGAAGATAGTTGGGAGGGCTGGAGTGACATAGGCTACTTTTTACCGCAAGAGGTCTCATTTTCACGGGAATAAGCGATTCCACGGGAATACAACGAAAAAAAAATATCACCAGAATTACTTGAAACATGGTATTAAATATTAATGCTCTTCAATACAATTAAATAAGTAAGTTTTTAACATTTTTCGAAATTCATCCCTTAAGGAGGTAAAATAGAGGATGAAAGTTTGCATGAAACCTACCTTTTTAGTTGTTTTTGTAGTTTAAGTAAGAGCGAAGCAATGGGTTCTGCTAGTTATGTATATTTATGGAAATACAAAATAAAAAAAATATTTTCGAACTTACACATGAAGTAATATAAACTATTAAAAATAATAAAACTAACTTCTTTTGTATACTTCTATAAAAAATCATGACAAATAATATTTTACTTTATATCAATAATGAATATTTTATATGGGCAATTAAAAAAAATACTGCTCATATCAGTTCACTAATTACAAAAGTAATTGGCAATTTTATTAAGGAACATAAAAAACTTTTTTTATCAATTCAATGCACTGCCGGAGCTAGTAAAGACAATGTCAATGTGTTTAAAGGTATTGGTTGCCGATTTCCACAAACTCTTGGTTGTGATTGAATATGTTTAAACCATCTACAAACATGGAGTAAGGATTCCTGTTCAGATACTGAGATCCTTTCCTGAAAAATTAATAAAAACTTAAGTTGTAATTTGTTGAAATTCTTTATTGTATAAAATTCATTTGGTTTATGTTTAAATGAAATTTATATTGTTTTACTTACAATTAATGGGTAAAGGACATGGTACGCAGCTATATCAGTAACAGTAAAATAATTTCCTGTTAAATATGTACTCTTCTCCAAGGCTTTGTTTATTCCCTAAAAACAAAATTCAGTAGAATATCAATATTATAAAATTTTAAAACAATTTTATTGATGATCTACTTTTAAAGTGTTAACAGCAAATAATAACTACATATAAAAATGAGATTTTCTATATACAGTCAAACCCGAGTGAGTGAGAACTGGGTAAGCGAAAAAACTCTGTGAGAGTAATTGCCAGGTCCCATCATTTTATCCCTCTAAACCTCTATAACAGAAACAGAACCTCTATAAGAGATTGTTGTTTTTCATTTGTAGACCTCGTATAACTGAGACTGCTTCTTGCCTGTACCTTTATAATCGACAGTCAAGCAAATTTAACACCAGCGATTTATAGCTTTTTTGTGGAACTAACATTGTTTTTGTGTCCTTAATTTCGAGGAATTAATATTATTTCCTAGTTAACTTTACCTGTAAGAAACTTTTTGCAAAATTAGAATTCGTTATGGCTTGGTTAGCATACATAGCTATGTGTTCTAACCACTGATAGCTGAGAAGAGTTTGCTCTTGACTCATGGTGGTACCGCTCTTGGCTGCTAATCGCAATATAATACTAGCAAGTCCTTCCACATTTTCTTTATCTAAAAGCGTAGTTAAAACCTAAAACACACACTTTTTTAAATTTGATATGGTCTTTATTAACATAAAGCCTAATTTTACATTGAATTTTATCGCACCTTGTCTGTATTATAGCATATTGTGCCAACAGGTGTATTAAGATATTTACCAACAGTTTTAACAACATCCATACTATATGTTTTAATTTAAGTTAGTGATAATATTTAATTTTTTTTAATTTTACTTTATAACCTATTCTTTGATTTGATTAAATATTATTATTATTGACTTTTTAATTTTCATTCATTTCAATTAGTGATGCGCGATTAAGAATGATTCCAGTCGAATTATTCGATTATATAAATCATTCGACTCATCCGAACGAGTTACGAAATACGAAGTTTAATAACTAACTTGATTCTCATTCGTGTCTCCTCACAAAACGTGACACTGGCAGAATGGATTGCGTCTGTTAACGCAACTATAAGCCATTATAGAAAAAAAAACTAACTTGATGCTACCTGCAAGTTGCTACATTAAACACTTGGTCGGTAAGTATTAGTTGTAGCACCCTGTCTACACGACTCTTGTGTGCGTGTACGACACGTGTGCTTGCGATCCGAAGCGTGGCGGTAACATCGAAGGAATCGAGCCATTAGATCGAACTTAGTGTGGACGGTTGCCAAAGGCAAACGAACTAATGACTTCTTTGAAGCGAGATCACATTTTACAGATCCGTCAATATTACTAGTCTCTTAGCACATTTTTAATATATCAGTCACACCAATAATGAAACCTACTCGTTGGTGTTCGTTTGGTCGGTACGTACGCAGCATAATATTTGATAATCGAAGATAACATATTTGTAAAGTGAACGATTATAAAAATACTATTTGAATCATGCTATTATATTTGTTTGAAATGCTTACAAATAAAAAAACATTTAAAATATATTTTAAAAATATATTAAAAATATTTTTTAAACATATTATTTATAAACAATAACAAATATATTTCATTTACCATTTATTTTACAATTGCATTTTTTTATATATCACAATAATATTCACTAATTTAGTGCTCTAATTGGAAAACAGGGAGTTTTCCAATTAGAAAGAAACAGACGCAATAAATTCTGCCAGTGTCACTTATGTGAAGAAGACACGAATGAGTTTTAGCGGTAATTTAGAAATTTAAAAGTTGTACGGTTTCCTGATTCGGTTTCCTGAACGGGATCCCTATTCTGAACAAAAATTTCCGTTCATGTGCGGCAGATTAGCAAAAATGTATGCGAGTGCTGCATTCGGGATGACGTCATTCGGTTTTTTCCATTCTGAATGACTCGAAACGAATGTCAGTTTTTTTTCCGTTCAGAAAAAGTACAAACGTGTGCGCCTAGCCGAATATTTTGTATGTAAGACAAGCATTCGGGTCTGAATTACCATTCAGGAAACCGTACTTGTGCGGCCGACCTTAACGTGAAATTAAGATAATAAATTATTTACAAAATTCCTTTAGTGGGTTGTGTCGGATATAATATACCCTGTTTTCCAATTAAAAGTACTAAAGCGCATTATGCGGCATAATGATAACTTCGAATGTTTGAACTACAGCAACGCTCCGCACAGTCAAGCAGTTTAAAAAGTATTGCTTTAATGTGATGCGCGCAAGGATACCAACTCATTAGCAGAAAATATAAGAATTGTTTTTTGTTCAAAGTGGCATTGCTCAAAATTTTATTTACAATTATCGTTAGTAATATTGTTTATTGTTGAACTAATTTATAAAGCTTTCGACCAGTTTGTTAAAATATAAAAAGAGTTCATTTATACTGTGTTCAAAAATAAATATAAGTATGTGTGAAGCTTCAAGGAAGCATTGATCAAAATATTATTTACATTATCGTTAGTAATATTTGTTTATATCATTATATTTATTAGTTATATTTTTTCTTTTAATACTGAACCCTTTGCTGGTGCACTTGAAAACTAATTCAAAGCATTAGTACACTTTTGCATTGTGCGCCAAAGTGTGGCATTATTCTCTGTAATTGGAAAACAGGGATATTATGCTACACCAAAAACACATTACCCTCCTTTGCGGGATAAAATAAAAAAAAATGTGATAGGATAAAAAAAAAATGTGATATTTTCGTAAGCTGTTGATTATTTGACATTTAATATAGTTGACAATTTGAGTTTTGACATTGTCAACTGTCAAAGCTATTGGTTTTCTGTACGGTGAATCTATTCATTAATCTTGTGTACTAATAAATGTTATCAAAATATTTAAAACCTAACTTAACATAGCCTATATTTAATAAATTCTATATCTTATTTTTGAATAAAAGAGGTGACAGCTAAAAATTAAAGAAACTATAAATAGTACTAATCATTGTGAACTGTAGATATATATAGATGAATAATGAAACCTATTATATCCATTATACGATAAATACTCCTAGATTTTCCTTAATGGACTCTAATAGGCCATAATCTGATACGAATTCAAGTTAATATTACCTTTTTATTTAGTCTTCATGTTGACTTTATGCCATAATTATTTTCGAGTGACACCTAACAACAAAAATAATCAAGATGATACACAAACCTTTAGTAAAAGAAAATTCGCTTTTGGACTGTTTATTCTATTTCTTGTTAGCATGCTGTGGGTGGTATCATCTGAGCTGACTATGGTATTTTTTTGTTTGTTATGTGATTTTAGAATTGTGTCATTATGCTATGTTCCTAACTTTTGCTATTGTTTACAGTATATATACAGAGAAAAAAAGCTAGAGAAACCATTTCTAGTGACTTATGTTAGGAGCTCCTTGTTGTTCATATATCTATTAGTATTATGTTTCACTCCGCCTACAAGAGATCCCTGCCAACCAGCAGATTACACGGTAAGCCAAAATATTTTTACAATATAAATTTATCATATATTCATATAAATAATTAGAGTACTAGTTTATCATGTTAAGAGTTATAATAATTATGTGAGTCAATATATTTAAACAGTCTAAGTAAATGTAATGTGATTTGTACATACTATTAACTTATATTTTATTTACTGCAGCAACTGCTAGAACCTACTGCAGAAACAGATGATGAGAATTTCTATACAGAAGCTAATAATAGTTTGGTATGTATATTTTTCATTATTAAATGTTCTTTCGTTGTTATTGAAATAATGTTTAAACAATGCAGTTTTTATCAACTTTTCTAATTGAAAAATATTACAGGGTGATTCCACCTTTGTTCCTGTCAGAGCAGGCGAAACTACAGATAGTGATGATGCAACACCTAGAGCTGTTTGTTTTAATAAAGTTGCTGAGGTATATAAGTATAAATGGTACATTTTAAGAAATCTATTTCTATAAAATATCAAGTTCAATATGATGACACTTTTTTATTGACACTAAGTATTATAAATTAGATTGGGTTTATACCTTTGTAATAAATATTATTATTATACAGTAGTAAAGGTTGTATGTAGAGGGTAATCTCTGAATCAACTGATCTAATTCTAAAGTCTTTCACTAATAGGGAGCTACTTTACCTACAAATGCTATTCTATTTTCTCATATAAAATAGTGTTTGCTGACAAAAATCATAATCATTACAATTAGTTACAAGTCAGAATAAAGTGGCTGTTGAGCTAGTTTGTCCGCTATTGTTAGGCATCAGGGATGCACAAACAATTATAAAGAGATAAAGTTTGTGAGTTTGTGAGGTGGTAGGGGGTAATCTCTGGATCTTCTGAACTGATTTAGATGGAAATTGGTAAGAAGATAGTTTGAGACCCTGGGAAGGACATAGAACTTTTTATCCCAAAAATCTTAAGGGGGTGAGAATGGGGCTGAAAGTTTGTATGGGGTACAAGCTAGGGACGAACCCGAGCAAAGCGAGGGTGAGTTGCAAGTAAATTATAAACAGCATTGTAATAACTTGATTCAGTATAATTGTTTGGTTCCTAAAAGTTTTAGAGTTCCATTAGCTAGATCTAAGTTAATGAATAGGCTATAAAATGAAAGTAGTTCAACTAATAATTCTAGATGTAAGTGTGTTCAAACAAAAAAAATCTATTTAGCTTGATAACATTGAACAATCGTCCAACTTATATTTTGTACTATCCATATTCAATGTTATAAATGCGAAAGCAACTCTATCTGCCTGTCAGTTTGTCTGTCTGTCTGTGCCTTTTCACATTCAATCCGCTGAACCGATTTAGATGAAATTAAGTATTGAGACTCTGGGAAGGACATAGGATAGTTTTTTATCCTGGAAATCATCCCTTAATGGAGTGAAAAGGTGGGGTGGAAGTTTGTATGGGGATTCAATCATTTCTCATATCTTATGGATATTAAAGTCATCATTCCTATGTATCCATAGTCCATCTATTACATACTAAGTGACAAAACGCACCTAGGAATGAATAAACCTATGAGTCACTAGTGATAAATATATCAGAAATGCTAGTATACTTATTATAATTAATTTAGTTAGATTCATTAATTAGTAATACCATCAATTGTTTACGATAACAGCTGATAAAAAAATATAAATTAACTTCTAATGTTATTATCAGCTTATTTGTAGTTATATGATTCTATGTAAATGGTTTTGGGCAGTACCAAACGTACATTCTATTACTTGTACATGAATCATGTAATTTTATAATCTATTTGAAATATATCGTTAAAAAGACCTTACTCTGTTATCATGTGCAACATTTTATTTTGACTTCTTACTAATATTATAAATTAGATGGTGTGTTTGTTGACTTTCCCTTTCACGTAAAAAGGTTGACGTATCGTAATTCATCGGTTACAATAATGTGGGTATACAAAAGCATCATGCCTCAATACGTATTGCTTTTGCGATTGCAATTAGCAACTTATGTAATAGCTTATTAGTTAGTTGAATTTTGAATAAATTTTTTTTAGATCAAGATTAAACAATAATTGCACAATAAAAATGTTACAAGGAAAGTATTAAAGCATAATTTCTATATTTATTTTTAGTGTCTTAAAAATTATTTTAAGATGTGGTACTTTAGTGTTTTTGGTACATTAACACTCAGCACCATCTAGTTCCATGGTAAGCTACGAGGCTTGTGCTATGGGTACTAGATAGTTGATACACTACACATATATAACTTTAAATACATACATATTATTATAAAATATATCAACACCCATGACTGGAGTACAAACTTTCGTGTTCATCTCATTGCTCCCAGCATGACTCGAACCCGCGACCGCTGGCACAGCAAGTAGGATCACTACAGACTGAGCCAAACGTGTCATCTAATTATATCATTAAAAAAATTATATTTATTATGATATCAGGTGCGTGTAATGTCAGCGGCTATGGCGGGTGAGGCCCTACTAGCCCGGCTGTCGTGGTCGGCGTCACTGCGCGCGACAGAATACGCTCAAAGACGTGCTGCCGCCGCCGCTACGAGGCGACACTTGAAACTCGCTCTCGTGTTTTGTATACCAGTGAGTGTTATAGTTTTTACTTATTTACATTATTTATGGACTCCATGATCGGAACCATCATTGTAGACTGTAGTGGTTCCTTACGTAGACTCTACATGTAAATAATAATGTATGTTATGTAATAGTAGATAACTAAAAACAACAGCGTTTTACTAAATGCTTATGAAATTATATATGGTACTTATAAGAAAAACACATTTTTAGGGTTCCATACTTCAAAAGGTAAAAGAAGGAACCCTTATAAGATAATTCTGTCTATCCGTCTGTCTGTCTGTCTGTCCATCTGTTTGTCCGTTTGTCACCACCGATTTTCTCAGGAACGGGTGGACCTATCAAGTTGAAATTTATACCAGATACTGAGGTCTCCAGTCCCTATTTGGTGTATAAAAATCAAGGTCCTGGGTCAACACGATAAAAATATATGAGCAAATTTAGATTTTCGCGAAAACTTGTAAGTACCAAAATTTACTACTACTTAATTTACCTTTACTTGTCCTGTAAGACCTTGCTTTTAACCAAAATTTACAATTCTATGTCAACCGGAGGTACCCTGTAGGTTTTGGGTCGAAAACCTATATGGTACTTATGTACCTAAAATCACGAAATTTGGCAAAACGCAAAGTCTTACAGCACAAATAAAGCAAAAATTATAAAAAAAGTTGAAGATTAAAGTTAAACGATTTTCTAGATTTGTACGGTACCCTCGGTGGGCGAGTCCGTCTCACACTTGTCCGTAATTTATTTTAGAAAAAGAACTAGGGTTCTGCTCAAAACAATTAAAACGTACCTAGGGACGAACCCGAGCGAAGCGAGGGTGAGTCGTTAAGTAATTAATAAATACATAAAACAAAAAGCTTATTGTATAATATGTATATCCGAGTCTTATACTAAAATTACAATTAACAGATTGCTATGTCATCTTAACTTTGAATTGTGAACGATTTTCTTACATCCCAAGACTTTCCTTCCTCATGAACAATGCACTTATGACTAATATATATATATAACTTCTTTACAGTGGTTCATTTCCAACTATTTGTATCGTCTGAGTCTGCTACATTCGTCATCTTGCTCAGCAACTCTATACACGTCGACGACTGGCGCCCTCACGCTATCCTTTGGCGCGTTGTTCGCGCAAGTGCCCGCCGATCGTTTCTCCCTATCAAAATGTATTGCTGTCCTGCTCACTACCGCTGGTTTGGTAAGTGAGGGAAAGAGACAGACACAGGTTTAGTGTTGCGATTTTTGTTGAAATATATTTTTTGAAGTGAAACTTCTTTAGAATCCTTGTGATTTGAAACTCGATGAAACAAAAATGCGACACTAAAAAGAGACACATAAATATATAAGACACATACTTAAGCAGTCGAGAGAATGAGATAGAATACATTTATTTGTTGCCATGGTAACCGTTGTTATTGTCTGACAAATATATAATATATTCTTTCCGTATATGATATTCTATAAATATAGGATATATATATTAGAAGTATAAGTATAAAAAATGTCCTTGAAAATGCGTCCAATAAGGCTGGCACTGCGGTAGCGTAGGATACATTTTTTAATTTTTTAAATATTTTTTTTATTTATTTGATAAAGTAATTAGAGTAAGATAGAGAAATAAACAACGACCGGATTGGACACTTCGTCTATAACAGTTAAATTTATAACGTAGTTTTTCGTACGCCAGCGCCATCTATTTTCAGCATACAGCTGGACACTTTTTAACTTATCTCCCATATAAGTGATTCCTCCTTATCTCTACCCTCCATAGATCTAACTATCGATGAAGCTCGAAATAATTGAAATTTAAAATTTAAAGTGGAAAAATTTATATGTTAAATATAAAATATAATATATAAATATAAAAGTTGTATTTATAATTTAAATATTTTTTCAAGTAAAATATTTATATATTGCAGGTAGTTTTAGGAGTTACAGAGAGTCATCAAAGTAATTGGACAGCAGTCTTGGCTGCCTTAGGGTCTGCACTTTGTTACGCCGTACATCTTTTATTATTTCGTCATGAGTTGAGGAAAGGAGATGGAATCAATTCATTTTTACTTGTAGGTGAGTTGAAAAGATTAAATATATTACTATTTTTATGATACAATAAATATTTATTTAATACCTTATTATTTAAACTCTATACTTATATATTCTCCCAAAAACTATTTTTTTTATTATTAAGAAAGGTAGATTTTTGGTTATTCAAAAGCATTTATATATCCATACTAGCGACTCACCCCTGCTTCGTTATAACGGATACCTAGGTACGTTTTAACAGTTTGTATGGTGTAAATCGCTCGTGCTAAAACTACAAAAAATATCTAAATAAGGTAGTTTCATACGAACTTTCATCCCCTGTTTTACCCCCTCATATTATGCTAACACATGTACTTATTTAATTTTTTTTGAATAGCATTAATACCAAGTTTCAAGTAATTCTAATCAAAAATATTTTGTTGGATTGTATTATAACGTGTTTTTAGTGGGAATAAGATAATCTCACCCGGTAAAAAGTAGCCTATGTCACTCTCCAGCACTCCAACTATCTCCACATAAAAAATCACGCCAATCCGTCTCTCCGTTTTGACGTGAAGAAAGGACAAACAAACATATTTTCACATTTATAATATTAGTATGGATATACGAGCGAAACGGGGTGAGCCGCTAGTTATTTTTACATATACAAAATGATATGTGGGCGTGTGCGGTCGCAGGCGTGGTGGGGTGCGCGTGCGGCGGGCTGGCGTGGGCGGTGGGCGGCGCGCTGGCGGCGGCGGGCGCGGAGCGGCTGGAGCTGCCGGCGCCGCGCCTGTGGGCCTGGCTGCTGCTGGACGCCGCGCTGGGCCCGCTGCTCATCGAGAGCTTGTGGCTCTGGTATGTCTCGTTGTCACTTTATCGATGTATTAATAGCATGATTTGAATTATCATGTACTAGTATATTTTCTGAATACGCTTCTGAATGAAGATGTAATTATGATCAGGTCTCTTTGACAGTTTTTTTTTTTAATAACATTATTTTTATTTATTATCCTACATTTTGTGCAACGTAGACAAAAGTAATACGTATTTACTACAAAAGAGCTCTTTTAGCTTTGTCTTTTTTTTCTTTCGCTTTTATAATAGTATGATATAGATATAGTCATCGATCAAAAAATTACTAGATACACAATCCCATGCAAAAGTTATCTTAAAACTGTCACCAATTGTGCTTAGGTAATTATTTTAGTTAAAATAAATACATAACAATGTAAGTTAAACCTTAAACGCAATGCTTAAAATTATTTTCACAAAAAAAATTAAAAGCGCGCTCAAATGTTCAAATGAGCGCACATTCAATAAGTACATTTTTTGTCGCTGATTTTGTACCTAGTATTTTTTTGATCGATGGATATAGTAGGTATACATCGTGTTGATATTTAAGTGGAAATAAAACTTATATTATTCACAATACGTATTTATTGTTACATATATTTTAGACAACAGTGACAGGCAAAGGAATAATAATCGAATTGAAAATGTGTTAAACCTTAAATACTATATTTGGATTTTTATTTTTCTTTTTAATCAATACGAGAATAAAGCTTGCGTTCCTAATATTTAACACATCGTATATAAAAGTTATATACTAATAGAAACGGCAAAAAAAATCCTTTTAAATATTTTTTTTATTTAGATTTAATTATTTTTAATTGTTTCCAGCGTCTACCTATTGTCGTTATCGAGCAAAAACGAACAAAAAAAATCACGTTTGTTGCCCCCTTAAATATTTATTTTATTCTATTTTTTAGTATTTGTCGTTATAGCGGCAACAGAAATACATACATAACCTGTGAAAATTTCAACTGTCTAACTATCACGGTTCATGGGATACAGCCTAGTGATAAACGGACGGACAGCGGAGTCTTAGTAATAGGGTCCCGTTTTAGTTTTGTCGCAGTTGCGTACACATGTAACATTTCCCCAGGGGCCGGTCACTGACATCGGCGCAGACGGCTACGCTGTCGCTGGCGCTGACGCTGCCGATGTGCGCGTGCGTGGAGGCCTACCGCGGCCAGCAGGCGGCCGGCCGCGCCGCCGCCGCGCTGCTGGCCGCCGCGGGCTGGCTGGCCGCCGCGCTGCCCGCGCCCGCGCGCGCCTGGCTGGCCGACGGCCTCGCCGCCAGGCTCAGGGCCGCCGAAGGGTTCACGTGAGTATCGTTATAATCTAACCATCTATACTAATATTATAAAGAAGTAAAGTTTGTGAGTTTGTAGGGGGTAACCTCTGGATCTACTGAACCGATTTAGATGAAATTTGGTAAGAAGATAGTTTGAGACCCCGAGAAGGACTTAGAGGGGTGAAAACGGGGTTAAAAGTTTACGTTTTTACGTTTACGTTTACGGTTTTAAAGTACTTAGTGTGCTAGCGATCGGGGGTTCATACTAAATTTTTTTATAAACATTTGACTTATGTTAGTAATAATTCCTTCTCCACAGAGCAATAAGAAATATATCGGAACTAGACGAGCAATCCGAAGCGTTGATGTCATCAGACGAGCCCACGTAACCCACATCAAGAATGGACAACTAAAAAATTTCAAGTGAGCACAGTTTGTGTGAAAACCTCCTGTTACTCCTAGTCTTAATATGTATAGCATTTAAATATTAAGATCGTATACATTGTATTAAAAAAGGGGAAAAAACCTATTTTTTGGTCTCTTACGGTACGAAATTGAAAATAATTGAAATTAACATTTTCATCTTATTTTGCAAATTATATAAAGAAAACTTGATCTCTCATTTTATTATTATTAGTGAATAATTAGCAGATGACTTAAATATCGATTTTAAGTTAATCAAATATTTCATAGTTAGTCGAAAAGTGCAATTTATGTTGCTGTTGTCAGAATTTAAAATTTAAAAAAAAAACACCTTGAATGAACCACGTTGTTCAGACCACAATTTTAATAAGTGAATTGATATCAAAAAAGTACTTTATATCGTACTATAAAATTTCATTTAGTGCCTAAATTATATTGGATTTTGATCCCTGTGGTGTGAACCAACTACATTCATAAGTGTAAAGAAATCGACATTTAAAAATGACTCATTAGGGATAAGATTAGCTCCATCCCATGGATTCTGCTGATCTCTTCTTATATTATTAAATAATTCATTCCACTATATTATATAGTTTTTTTTTATAATAATAAGGTAACACATGCTAAAATTAATTTTCATTTAATTTTCAATTCCATTTTCATACTGAACAAAATCTTTACCTCTATAAACCTACATGTCATTATTTATTTTTCAATGTATCTGTATATTCGAGAAATCGTATTAATATCACAATATTAATATTAATAATAAGTTACAATATGATAGTGTATATTTTGTGTCGCTAAGAACCATATTGTATTAATCTATGTACATTATTTTTAATTAGATACTGGCGTTAAAAATAAAATATATAATAAATAAATGGTTATTTTCTTAACTGATGTACTAAATGGTATTGTCATATACCATCTATATTATGTAAGGGGTCTTTCATAAAATACATCAAGCAAAAATTTTTGCGACCACAACATTATGAGCGGGCCCTAAGTTATTAAGTTATTTCAAATTCAATTCATGTGTTATAATTTCTTAAATTTCTTAAATTTTAAAATGATTAAGAATAACGTGTGAAAATATTGAAATATGTACTTTCATAATTAATTTTTCATGTAGGATTGTTTTTGGTGTTAAAAGAAGTTTGACTAAAAAACGAATAAAATATCAATATAATTACTTTACTTTGCATATATAGCCTTCAAATGTTTTATAGTTGGCACATTCAAAAATGGCGTTCCTTGAAAAAACTAGCTCTTTAATAATAAATAACCATATTTCATAGACTTTATTTTATTTTATATTATAATTAAATAACTAAAATATTTCAATTTTATAAGTGTGTATGATGATTATACACTTATATTCATTCGTTTTTTTAATTAAAAGAGTTACATATGAAAAATATAATTATAACTTCATATCAAATAAATATGTTTATATAATCTACATACATCTCTTTCTTATTTTTTTTTTCTTAGTTTATCGTATTGCATTGATATTCAAATATTATATATTAATCTTGTTAAGAATATAAATAAAATCAATGTTTTCATTAATTATATCTACGGATTTTATCATCTGGTCGGTCTATTAGCGTGGTCTAAGGGCCTACGCACACACATCGCCTTCATGTATTCTACATTAGTAAATTTAAAATGTGCAGATTACTTGCATTCGTCTTAATATAAACGAGGGTCGATAACGCTTTAAAAAGTCGTCGTTGTTGTGGATATGCCCTAAGTATTGGCGGTGAACAGGATTCTCAGTAGACAGATCCACTGATAAAATCTTTAGTAGTCTTTTCAAATTCAATTATTTGTTTGGCTAATCTGAATAGGTATATATAAAAGTATATTAAAATAACTATGGACAGTGATTCATACCTATATATCTCCGAAAACCGTTGTTTCTAATAATTTTAAAGCAACGTAGCATTATCAACTAATCAGAAAAACTGCTAGTAATGCATAAAGCTTTAGAAAGTTCATCTCGAAATTATACTTGCACAAAATTGTATTATCTTTCGTTAAAATAATTAGTGTTATATTGTATATTATTTTGCTTCGTATTAGTGACCCTAAAATTAATGAAATATTATTTAATGACACGGAAATCAATTGTGTATGTCCGACATAGTAGAAATAGGTTTTTTTATTTTTGTGGTTATTAGTAAGAAATTAGGAATATAATAAATCCCTTATTAGTACTCTTGTTTCATTAAAAAATATCCAATGCCTTGTTGTTTATATACTCTGATATTTAAATTAAATGTTTTACTTCTAATACTTTTCGTAAATTTCACTTAGGCTACGTCCGCACAGGCAGGCGGCTTGCTTAGCGCCTAGCCAGTAGCTTAGTAAAAGGAACATTCTGGAATATTCGCGACCGGCCGCACTGCGCGCATGGCGCCTAGCTAGTCGCTTAGCGTGTATCTAAGTAAAAGGGTTACATACTCTATGTATCTAAGTAAACGAACGTGTTGGTTTTTTGTCACAAGGCGCGAGGCATTTTAAAAGAAAAAATGGATGAAACATTAATTGCAGCAGTTTTTAAAAGAGAACCTCTATGGAATCCGCCTAGTGAACTCCATAAAATTGCAATTACCTTAAAAAAATAATTTTAAAATAAAGAGTTAATTTTCCGTTAACTTATCTGGGAAGTAGATCAAATGTTTCTCTTGACATACGCAAATATACGTAAAAATTGTCGTCAAAATTACGCAATTACTACTCCCCATGACATGACCGTGACTTATTTGAGTCATGAACCCAACATGATGGGTAAGGCCGTGAAATGGTATATTTTAAACGTGAATTTTTAGTAAGTAGCAGCTTTAGAGCTATTTTTGAAAGTAACATCTCGTCAACGTATCGACAAGCAAATGATCAAGGTACTCAGCGACCCACCACGCAAACCACCTGCAGTGCGGCCACCGTGTCTCCTAGCAAGTAGCCAGAGCGCAAGCCTAGTGGCTTGTCTCTAGGCGCTAAGCAAACCGCCTGTGACCTGTCTGTGCGGACGTAGCCTTAATGATTGTCCTTTCCGACTAATATACTGAGACCTAACAAATCCAAATCTGTCCAGCCGTTTTTGTGTGGAGAAGTAATAAACATACAAACTTTCGCATTTATATTGTAATCTGAACGTCTAAAACGATACAAACGAAAGTAAATTTGACTTTCGTTTGTATCGTGATGACTGTAAAGTGTATTATATATTGTATTTGAGATACTTCTTTACTGATAAAAAATATTATTCTAGTATTTTTTTCATATCATAATCCATGATATAATTATTTTATTTATTTTAAACTACATAAATGGTAGTATAAAAAGTTTATTAATATTAATTATGCATTTTCAGACAATATAATAAAATATTCGTTCATTAGTTAAATAGATATATAGATATAGTTTTCCAATTAGGGTACTAAAGCGCATTATGCGGCATAATGCTAACTTCGGATGTTCCAACTACAGCAACGCTCCGATCGTCGAGCATTTTGATAAGTACTGCTTTAGGCCGGCCGCACACGTGCGGTTTCCTGATTCGGAGACTCGAATGCTTGTCTTATACCAAATATTTAACCAGGTGCACACCTATGGACATTTAACATTCGGAAAAACCGAATGACGTCATCCCGAATGCAGCGCTCGCATACATTTTTGCTAATCCGCCGCACACGAACGGAAATTTTCGTTCAGAATAGGAATGTTGGCAGTGAAAAAAATATCAATATATCGATGGATTAATATTTATTAAAATGTCAATATCGATCGACCTCAATATCCCCAGGAAAAAATATCGACATATCGGTAAAATTTTCTGAGATTTTTGGTTGTGAAATTATACTAAATTTAGTTCAATCTGGCTCTATAAAAGAGAATACTATTTTTTATATAAAATGCACATTAATTTATTGCATGACAATCTAAATAAAAACGAAGGTATTTTACCCCCTTCCAATAAACTGGTTTTTACGGCATTTGAAAGTGATTTACGCATGATGGCCGCCACATACACAAACACGAAGGCTATACAATGAAAGATTTTATAAATTGATGATTATTATTTTGAAACCGAAAATCTAGGAAAATTTGACCCATATATTGATATTTTTTTCTCGTGATATCGAGGTCTATATTGATATTTTAATAAATATCGATATATCGACATTTTATTTCACTGCCAACATCCCTAAAATCAGTCCTAAAATCCCGAATACAAAAAATCTAACGTTTGTGCTAGTCTTACGAAATTCCGAATCAGGAAACCTATTCCGGAAACCGTACATGTGTGGCCGGCCTTAGCGTGATGCGCGCAAGGATACAACACAATAACAGAAAATATGAAAAGTGTTTTTTTCTTCAAGGTGACATTGACAATAATTTTATTTACATTATCGTTATTTGTTTATATTTTATTTATGTAATTATATAATAATTAGTTATATATTATTATATTATATATGTATAGTCTATACTAATATTATAAAGAGGTAAAGTTTGTGAATTTGTGACGTTGTACGGGGTAATCTCTGGATCTACTGAACCGGTTTAGATGAAATTTGGTAAGAAGATAATTTGAGACCGGAATCATCGGTGAAAATAGGGATGAAACTTTATATTGGGAAGCAAGCTAGGGACGAACCCGAGAGAGGCGAGGGTGAGTCGCTAGTTTATTATATAATTTATAATATCGACGATATGTATTATTAAATACATTTAGTTATATTTTTTCTTTCAACACTGAACCTAGTGCCCTCTGCTAGTGCATTTGAAAACTAATTCACTTTCCAATTAAGAATTAGCACACTTCGGCATTATGCTCGGTAATTGGAAAACAGGAGCTACACAACCATATAAAAAAACATTAAATTTTTTATAATTGATAAACATTAAACAACAATTAATTTATATAATCTACAATTCTACATAGACATGGGTAACTCAATGAATTTTTATGAGCTGCAGGTCAGCTCATGAGTCATATGCTTGAACCGGAGCTGTGAACCGGCTCACAGTTCAGCTCAATTGATGTTGTATGGGTACTTATAACTATAGATTTACAGCTAATTTATGACTCTGTTCAAACAAATGACGTGTATGATGTACCTAAATTATATTTGTATGCAATAAAGCAGCATTTCGAAAAAAGTTATTATAGTCATATTTTTTCGTTCTTACACAATTATATGGGAATGATAATTTCATGCAATTATATATTTACGTCGCGATGAAATGTCATACCGTCCGTCGCAGAGTATAATAATATAGATTATAGACTATAGTACAGGTCCGTCGGCTCGGGTCCATCGAAATAGCTGACGTTAGGTGGCGCTGAAGTGATGCACGGAGCCATATTAAGTAATATTGAGCTGTGAACCGATTATCTAGCAACTGAGCCGCAGCTCAACGGCTCTAGCTACTGTGAACTGAATATTTGAACCGGCTCTGAGCTGAGTTACACATAGTGAATTCTACATGGATCACAAGTTGTCAACTGTCAAGTTATAGGTTATAATTTATATTGTAATTTGTAGGTTATGTTTTGTAGAATTTGAAGAGTAATTTTTATGTTTAGTAAAAACTAAGAAAGCAATGCGAAGATAAAATGTATTTATGCTATAATAAAATGTCATTTGTTATAAAATTAACTATAAAACAAGCATTGCCTGTTGCCAAACGTTCTTGTCCGATTATCCAAAATATCTACAAGTATACTACTAAAGCAACAACATCAAATGAAAACGTTTATGATAGCTTTACTGATTGGGAGACTTTGAATAAAAAGAAGAAAATCAACAAAGCCATGAAAGCATATCTAGATAGAGCTAAAGAACACGATGAATTCATGAAAAGGCAGCATTTTGAATATAATATTGGTAAAAGGCATCTCGCTAATATTATGGGAGAAGATCCAGAAACATTTAGTCAAAAAGATGTTGATCGCGCTATCGAATATCTTTTTCCCAGTGGTATATACGATCCCGCAGCTCGCCCTTTAATGAAACCACCAAGCGAAGTTTTCCCTGCACGCAAAGCCGCAGAGTTCGACGAGGCAGGCAGACCACATCACTTTTTGTTCTATACAGGAAAGCCTAATTTTTTTAAACTTTTGTATGACGCAGCTGAAAATATTCAGGCTTTGCAAAGTTATGAAGATAAAGTTAATAGAAAGAAAGAAATTCCAAATCCTAATGAAAAAATTGAACTGGGTTCTACTGTTTGGTATACAAAAGACGAGCTAGAACAAATGTTAGTGGAAAGGATAAATGAGTTGGAATATGAAAATTTCAAATTAGTTATGGAAAGACTTGTTACTTTGCCATACTCTTACAGATTTAAAGAATTTATTGAAAAGTATAGAAAACCATTAGCTGCTCAAAGATTTGCATTAGAAATCCCAAAACCCAGTTATGATGAAAATGGTCGTGCTTTTATTACAACATATGAATGCTTGAGGAAAAAAGCGAGGGGAGATGTCACAATCTTGTCACCTGGTACTGGAAAGATTACTATAAATGGAAAAGATATAACTTATTTTGAAGATGTGCAGTCACGTGAACAAGTTATTTTCCCATTAATATTTACTGGAATGCAAGATAAAGTAGATGTAGTATGCAATATTGAAGGTGGAGGTCCATCAGGGCAATCTGGAGCTATAAGATGGGGAATAGCTTGGGGTCTCCGTAGCTTTGTTGATAAGGCTATGCTTGAATCCATGCAAGTTGCAGGTTTACTTACAAGGGATCATAGGAGACGTGAACGTAAGAAGCCTGGTCAACCTGGCGCACGAAAGAAGCCTTCTTGGAACAGAAGATAATTTTAAAATCCAATTAATTGCTTTAGTTATTTTACTCTAGTACTAATTAATAAAACATAGTTAACAAAATTATAGATTTTTTATTATGAACATTGTAATTAATTTTTTTTTAATTTCCTTTTCATCATCTTCTTTCTACCACCAATCTTCTTTTGGAACATAGTATTCTTTCTTTCTTTATTGTATATCCTCTTTTTCATTAATGACTTCAGCTCCCTCCTCTCTTTGGGTCCTTCATTTTCGTTTTTCTTAGCAAAGAAAAGCAATCCATCTATAAATTAATTACAAAACATTTAGATAAAATATTTATAATTATTTAATTAATAAACATTGAACAACAAACTGTATCAAATACCTGATTTATAATAAAAATAAATTATATATGAGCAAAATTAATGAACATGAATTTCTATCAACTCAACAGTTAAGTAGGATTTGTATATATAATTTACCTTTTAACCTAACATCACCTGTGGAGAAAAATAATTTTTCTCTCCACACTGTTTTTGTTTCAGCTTTTTCTTGAACAGTTTCTTGTACATTATCATCCTCATTCTCTGATTCCGAAGAGTCATACACAAAGGGATTCCTTTCACCAGGGTCTAAAGGATTTTTTACTTTTGGATCCTTTTTAGCTGTTATTGAAATAAAGTCCTTGTCTTGGGCTGGTTGTGTATCTGCTAAGTATCAAAACATTAAAATAAAATTTACAGTAAAATTATGTATAAATGAAATTATTTTTGGAAGAGATAGTAGTTCATTATAAAAGTACACTCAAATTATAAATGCAAAATTTGGATTGGAGATAAATATTCTGAATTAACTCATAGATTTCTTCTTTTTATTCTTCAAGCAAAAGTTTTAACATAATTAAATTAGTAGTAGTAGTAAAATACAAATTTACCTTCTTCTTGGACATCATCTTTTCTAAACAAACTTCTCAAACTGAATTCATTTGGTTGTGTTATAGCTTCTTTCAAAGAGTCACTTATTTTGTAAAATTGTTCTTTGGATACTTCAACTTTTTCAACTACTGGCTCTGGCACAGCAACTTGTTCTTCTACTATAGGCTCTTTATCTTTTTTCTTTTTTGATTTTTTTGTGGATTCTGGTTTCATTTCTACAGGTGCCAAATATTTAGCATGTTCTGGTTGCATAGGATCAAATCTTAGCATACCGAACTTTGCCCTAAAAGTAAAAAATATATCATTTTAATAATGATTATCATGCATGATTGAATGATGCTTTTATTTAATTTCCCCCAACAGAATTTTGGATTAATTTGCACATGAGATAACATATTAAATGTGTGTGTAAATGTATGAAAGTGTGCACTCTTTATTGCTTATACTCTCATAAACCAGTAGAATTATTCTAACATTTGAGACCACCAACCAAATAGAGATCTGCCACAGAATCTGAGATGTTACATGCTTTCTGAAACTTAGCCCAGTGTTACATCACATTGACTTCCAAAGTACAAAGTTACTTGTTATTGACTGAAAAAACCAAACACTCATTTACTCTATCCTGGATTCAAACCCTAAAAATCTCAACCTCAAAATCTACAGCCTAATGTGCAAGCCACAAGGATAATGAGGCACCAAAACTTACTTGGCTTTAACAGTAGATTCAGCTGGTTTCATTCTGATAGGGATGCCAAGAACATCTTGTAATATATTAAGTTGCTTAGACTTTTCATCTGCCTGCTCTAATTCTACTTTTTCTTGTTCATCTGTATTCTCTTCATCTTCTACAAACCTTTCATCCAGTACAAAACGTTTGTCTGCTTTGTACATTGACTGCAAGTCTAAAACCTAAGAAAAGATTATACCTAATCATTAAAATTGAAATATACAAAATATTGAAATATATGAAATATTTTTAAAAATATTCAATAATATATAATAATGACATACTTTTTGACCTTTCTTGCCTTCATATTGTTCTTTAATTTCAAAATTTATTTCATCATCACTAGCTTCATCATCAAATAAACTTGTCTTACTATTTATGTCTTTTTTATTGGTACCATTAAATATGACATTGTTTTCTGTAATGTTATCTTCTGTATCTGAAAATATTACTTTCTTATTTGGTTTTTTGTCCTGAAAAATAAATTTAATACATTTAAATTTATTGACTCAAATAGATTTGTGTTTACATAGAAAATATTAGCTAATAAAATACAATAGCTCATTTCACAAAATTTACTAATTGTAAACTAACATAAATAACGCGTCATTAACAAGAAAACTTACTAATTAACAACAACACAACAAACTTACTATACTAATAAAGCCTGATTTAATTATGTTTTTTTTCTGATTAAACTCCTGCCTTTTTTTCTTCATAGATTCCATTCTTTTCTTGTCAGAGTTTTGTTTCTTTTCATCAACTGGAATAACACTTTCTATTTTATCTTTTCCTTCACAGTTAATTTTTTTGCTAAAGTGAATATCTGATACATGTTTTGGTTCTTCAGATACTTTTGGTTTCTTTTTTCTATAATTGTTATCTAAAGAATCTTGGTCAAATTCCCTTTTATGAAAATTATTGTTTCCATTTGTATTATATCTCTCAGACTCCACTTCCATATGGTCAATCTAAAAAGTAAATTGGATATGAAATATTCCTAATTATATTCTCATATAGATAGTGCAAGACCTCAAGAACTACCAGTGGGCAACTTACCTGCTGAGAGGCTGATGCACGGAAACCCTCCATTTACGTGCACGTAGATTACTTCGGCCCTATGACGATCACCGTAGCAAGACGCCATGAGAAGAGATGGGGTGCTCTATTCACATGCTCGAGCTGTACACATTGAGCTCACTCCTTCACTCTCCACTGACAGCATGATCATGGCACTACGACGATTCGCCGCGAGAAGGGGAATGCACATAGTCAACTCTCGCCCCTCACCCACCTCTCCGAGAACCCTGAAGAAGATGAGAGAGTATTTGCCCACTCTACTACCAAGGAAGACCAAAGGAAGAGTCAGCGCCACAGATTTGCATCCTGCATGTGTATCCTGGACCAGACGGGCGGACCAGAGTCGTCGACGTCGAGACCAGAGGAGGTGTTCTACGGAGGCCCAGTTCGAGAGTGGTGCTGTTGATTAGATTTATTATGTTAAAATAAGTTCTAATTAGTGTAATAAGGTTAGTTTAGAGTATTTTTCGTCCGAAACAGATAGTATCAAAATGATATTCATAATATTACATATAAAGTAATAAAGTATTACAATTTTTACATATTAATATTTAATTTACTCATAAATTACCTTTTGAGGTACATTTTTCTGTGATTGTTCTCTCTCTCTTTGCAATCTTTCCAAAAAACTCTCACGAGCTCTAGTCACATATAACTTATTTCCTTGAAAATCTTCATTTGAGAAATATTTGATACCTAAGAATGACAAATTATTGTATATGGCTATATTTATATTAAAAGAACCATAGTATGTCAATAATAAATAACAATTTTCGTATTTCAGAGTGAAGTCTTAATTTTGACTGAGTGGTTAGATTAGCATAAATAAGATTTAACTTACATGACTCAATATTGAAGTTAGATGCAGATATCGTTATGAAAGCAAATTTCTTTTTATCATTTTCAATACCAGGTTTACTTTTCAAATCAAAATTGGTTATGTTTCCGTATGAAGAAAATGCCTCTCGTAAAGCATTTTCATCTAAGTTATCTGGTAGATTCCCAACAAATAATCGAGTTGCAAAGGCCATACCTGGCCACACAAGAAACCTTAACAAAATCTAATTTTGGTATGTAAAATTATCTTTTTCAAGTTTCAGCATGAGTTTTAAGCAAAAGGTGTCACTTGTTAATTTGAATTTTGACATATGTCTATGACAAATGTCAAAAACACGTGCAGAAACCATAGATATAACACAATAAAGGCCGGACCGCATTACAGCGGCGCTGCGCAGCGCTGCACAGCGCGGCACAAAGCGTCGAAATATTATTTCAATCATTTTGTATGGTGCATGTCGCACTAGAGCGGTGCTGCACTGTGCGTTGCTGCACGTCGCGGCATAGTTGCCTCCGAAAGAATATTTTGACGTGCAGCGCCGCGACCCGCAATGCAGCGACGTTCAGTGCGACATAGCAAGCGGCGCGTCGCTTCTTTCTTTTGCATAGATTGATTTTCTAAAACGAGTATGCTGTTGCTTTATATGTGGTCATCCAGTGCAATATTTATAGAATTTTGTCTTCGACAAGAATGTCGATTATCTGCACGATTTCACACGTACTTCAGAAACAGTACGTGTGAAATCGTGCAGACATTGTCACACAAAGTCATTAAGAAGGCGAGTAAACAAAAGAAAAAAAAAAATATTTTAAATTCTTATTTTTTTGCTCTTCCATAATTCGTTCTTCTTCTGCACTCAACAAAGAAATAATGACCAAATCCTCGTCACTATCGCTCATCGTGTAACGTTGCTCGCTCGCGAACTGTTATAGAAATGACGCGAGCTGACGCTTAGTACAGTTGTAATGCGATAGGTACAGTCGAGCGACGTGAAGCGACGCGCCATGCAGCGCCGCTCTAATGCGGTCCAACCTTAAATCATGGATGACAAATAAAATAGATGAATTAGAACCCTTAAATGATGTCCCGATAAATAGATACAAATAATAACCAGATCCCTTTCTATCTCTTTTCATTTTATACGTTAAATAGATAGAACTAAAACGTACTATATAATGAATTGACCATTTTTAGTGGGCAATAAGAATTGTACGTGATAATACATAAAAGATTTAACTCATATTAAAAGTATAAAAAACGAAAATTCCTTATTAATTAATAATTCTTTGTTTTGTCACATATAGGCATGCCAATTGGGCACAATAATTTGTCATTTTAATTAAAATAAAAAAAGGCCACGCTTGCTATAGAGCTTGACAGCTGAGGATCGTAGTGATCGCGATATCTGCCGGGAGGAAAAGGCAAAATTCTTCCCCTTTGATATAGGAGTTAGCACCATGGATGACAAATAAGTTAGCACAGACATATTATTATTATATTCTGTGAGAAATGTTACTCTACTCCATGGACTTATTGTTTGTTTAATAAGTCCATGCTCTACTCTGTGAATAATGGATATCGGGATATCCGTTATGCCTCGAATTCAAATTACGTAGTAACTAATACTTAATCTGTGATTCAAACAGAAATCGACGCTCGCTGAACGCTTTTTAGCGATATTTTGTGAAAGCTTTTTATGACATTAAAAAATTAGTGTTAGATTGTGTAAATTAAATAAAGTAATTTAAAATAATTAGTGTTTAAAATGTCTGATAGTGACGAAGATTTGATGCCTGAGAGTGTAACAAGACTTCAACATCATGCCGTGAGTACTCACTTTGTATCATTTTTTTTGTTATTTCTATCTGAAAATATACAATAGACGAAACTTTTTTAAACCTGACTAATTATTTGAATTATGTTACTTCTAATAATCTAATTAAACAATTTACACAAACACGCGACGATCAAGTTTTGTTTGTTTACTACGTCATTCCATTTTTACGATTTTAAATACTTAAACTTGATTTAATATATGTAAATGTCTTCAAAACTTAATTCTTAGTAATACTCAATAATTATTTAGATAAAAAACTGAATGTAATATTATTTTATAGTAACTATCTAACTGTAAATTCCAGTTTATGAATCGGAGGGCGCCAAACATGAATAATACAAACATTACAAGCTTTAGTTTTGGTAACAATACGATGACTTCTACATATACATCAAAATATGAAAGACAAAGAAATGGCATGCAACATTCAAACCAAATGAATATGTATAATAGAAGAGAAACATCACCAATGTCACTTAAAAGTTTTCCTGATTCAGGGATGCAACATTTTCCTAACTTTCCCAATCGCATGACTAGCTGTAACCGATCTGTATTCAATGGAAGAAGTGGATCACCCATGTCTACAAGAAGTATTGGTCTGTATAAATAAATTTGTGTCTTGCACAACCAAAAACGAATGCTAGAATATTTTTTGTGAAAAAAATATCATATTTTACCTAATTATTTTTTAATTTAAAAATTTTTATGTTTTCAGATTCTAATGTGAGTGCTGCTGATATTGTAGTAGCACTGAAAAATGTTAAATTTAATGAAAAGGATTTAAGATTAATAAAAGAGGCATATAATAAATTTATAAAAAAACGAACTCGGAAAAGAATAGAGAAACGAAGAAATTTAAAATTATTTTTGAAGGGCTATAGACGAAAATCTGGAGAGGATTCTGGAGAACAAGGAAGTGATTCCTCAATAAGTAGTGATGATTGTAGATCAACAAGGACATTCTATAAACAAAATAGATCCAGGTATGGATCAAAATCTACAATAACAGATATAACCCATTTTAGATCTACTTTACGAGAAAGTGATATGTTTAGAGACTGTACGGAGAGGTTTCAACAAACAAAACTCAGAAATATGTATGCTGTAAATAATACTAATGTAAATCATGCAGATAATGATACTATTATTCATCAAAATCATAAAAAATTTCAAGAGAAACCACAACCAAATATGTCAATGGTTACTCTTAAAGATAGATTTACAAAGAGTGCCAACTCCTTCCTTCTTCCATCACAGAGATTTAACATGTCAACCAAAAATCCAAAAAACGGAGAAAACTCTACAAATGTGAAAAGAGATGTTCTTAGAACAAAAAATAATATTATTTTAGAGGAACATAGTAAAAGTCTAGATAGTGATAGAGACGAAATATTTTCAGAAATCACAATACGAGAAAATACACATATTCAGCAAAAGAGAGTCCATGAGGATAGTGAAATTAACGGTTCTGACAAAAAGAGGTATAAAGCAGCACCACAAACAAACTTAAATGATTTAACTAGTATGACAAACAGTGACTTTAACTTTAAAAAACCACAAATGCCTGTAAGAAAATCGGGAAACCATAAAAAAGACTCGGCTCCAGAAAGAATCATTGCCATGTCGAAACCACTAATTGGCAATATAGATTTAGACATACCTAAGAAACTACCCAAACATCTTGATGATACCCAAAACAAATTACCTGTAAATAGTACTGAGATAGAGGAATCTACAAATCAAACTGAAACAACACAAAACTCTACTGATGTATCAATGAGGCCTAGTTTTATTAAAAGAAAATTGTTCACCCAAAAATTAGATGTTGCTGAGAATAATAATATAAGTAGTGATAATATTGGTGCGAACAGTCCTCAGGCAAATATGTACAGTGAATGTAGAGAGAAGAATAAAGTAAGAAAGCTGGTCGCATCACAGTCATGTTTAAGCCGAGACATTTTAGGTGATGATAATGTATTAGATTTAATTCATAAAATTGTTCCACCAGATAAAATTAATATGACTACAGCTTCTAATAAGAAAGAAGTTAACAATAGCAATGATAATGATAAATGGGATGTTACATCAGTAATATCTACATGTGATGTTGGTGATGTTAGTGACACATTCACAGATGAAGAAATATTTAAAGCACCTTGTAAATTAGATAATAGAGCAAAGAAAGATCAAAAAGTGAGTGAAAATGTTGCAGGGAATAACACGATTTTGCCCAAACCTGTGACCAATAAACTAATGACCCAATGTAATGTTGTAGTTAAAAAATTGTCACCTCTACAAAATTCAAAACAGAAACAAAGTGAAAATGAAGGTGATAAATCTAAATGTAAGTATTTAATTTTCTATTCTATTGTATCTTATTGCTATATTATTTTATTTACATATTTATATTTAATTGTATTTCATGTCATTACAGTCCCCAATAAGAGGACAGTTTCAAGCTGTATTAGGTCTTTTTGGGATACTGATTTCGAAAGTGACATGGAAGATAGGACTGCAACACCTTGGAAACCCAAGATCCAACTAAATTCAGGTACATTACATTTTTTACATTAAAAGTAAATATAAAAATGTGTTATTATTATTCATTAATAGACAACATGTCTATCTAGGTTTAGTCTAATCTAGATTTTTGTCAAATAGCAACTCGCCCTCGCTTCGCTTTGGTTCGTCCAGAGTGAAAAACGGAAACAAATCTATTCTTTCGGGAACTGTACATTTTTCCGGGATCAAAAGTAACTTACATGCTATTCCAGACTATAATCCATCTATGTGCCTGGTTATATTTTAAAATCAATTAACATCCATCCAAAATTTCGCATTTTACAATATTTATGGGATTAATAATAATAAGTTATGAACACTTTAATGCACACCACACATAAAGAAAAGAAATACATAAAGAAGAGAAATGTACATAAAACAGAGATGCACAGCAGACAGCCTTATCGCTAGAAGCAATAAGGCTGATGGGATTATTGAATGTTATTTAATAACTTACATGTGTTTAAAATTGGTCCACTGCTAAAGGCCAGTAAACATAAGCTTAGAGTGGCCCAAAAAAAAAGAATATTTTTTTTTCGAGTGTCATACGGAAATATGTTAGCATATCATATTTTAAGAGCCCCCTCAATTGCGCAACATTTACAAAAAAACCAAAATCGTTGAGCGACTTCTGAACATAAATTTTAACGATTTTTTTTTTCTTAAATTTGACATACTAAAGAATAGAAATAAGGCTAGAGAGATGCAAGTAAAATTCGAGACGATTTTCACTATTAAACGTCTAAACATGAATATTGAATATTCATTTTCAAAAGTCACTCAAAAAGTTACAAAAACTTAAAAAAATCTTGAGTGACCTTTAAATATTAAAATATCGACTTAAAAATTCCACAATCCTAATCATTTTATAGTAGAAAATAGTGAAATAACGAGAAAAAAAAAATTTCAGACGATTTTGGAATGTTTAAAAATATTGAGCGACATCTTAATTATAATTTTTTTTGAGCTGCACTTCCAAAGGTTCAGCATTCAAAGAACCATAAACATACATCTTTCATAAACATACATTGTAAAAGACCAAACCGAGATTACACATGAGCACATACAAGTTGTTAAAATCTATATATACCTATAAAACAAAGTCGGGTCTGTTACAACACTTATAACTCAAGAACGGCTGGACCAATTTTACTCACCCCAAATAGCAGAATAACTACTAAAACATCGGAAAAATTCACGACAAAAAAATTGAAAAAGAAATCTATTCCATACTAAGCGTCAAAACATACCTAGGGATGAACCTGAGCGAAGTGAGGGTGAGTCGCTAATTATTCATTAAAATCACAAGTTGAAACATTAAAAGATTCATTAAATTGTGAAATCTAGTTATATAAAGAAGTTATTTAATTCACCAATTTTAACTACTTTAATTATTTAATTATGATTGCAGGAGATAATTCTAAGATGAACTTTAGCAAAAAAAGTGCTACAAAAGGTAGTATCCTAACTATAAGAAGTTTACAGAACAAGACAGTGAATAGCAGCATGAGATCTGATATCAGTAGAGTTTCCAAAAGGAATATTGAAAGTCAAGAAAACAAAGAAAACAATAACATGCTTAATAAAAATAACAAAAATTTGAAAAATAATGAAAAAGAAGATGAAACTCAACCAAAAGAGAAGGATTTAAAAAATATAAAATCTAAACAAAAGAATGAGACTACCAAGATGAATAATGAAAAACCTAAAGCAAAACCTGCTCAAACCAAAACCAAAAGCATGGCTGCTCAAAATTCAAAAAAAGATAGTCCGTGTAATACGTCACGAGAAAGCTTAAGGCTAAGACAGAAAAATGAGTCAAAAGTCAACACCATCAGTTCATGCAATACATCACGAGAAAGCTTAAGGCTCAAACAGAAAAATGAGAATAAAATCGACAATACTTTAAATAATGATATCGTAAAACGTCTTCGGGGTAGACCTAGAAAATCTGCTGAAAATGTAGACTCGATAAAATCTAATCTTAATAAAAATAGCAAGGAAACAAAAAAGAACAAGAAAACAAATGATAAATGTGTAAAGAAAAATGCCACATTAAACCGAACGAAGGAACAAACCCCACAAAGAAAGCAGAATGTAAAGCTATTTACTACTCCCATTACCGACTCAAGTTTCAATATAAGTAATAGAAGCTTAAGAATAAGACATAGATAGTGATATATTTTAGCTCAATTTTGAATCTACTGAATAATTACTTCAGACACTTGATAGTCTGTTCATATCACACAGAAATACTTTAATATTTATATCTATAGTAGATAATTATCAATTCCGATTAATGAAACTAATACAATAATTATGTTTGTTTGTGTAAAATCCAAAGATATTTTAAAGTTTTAATAGTTTAGTATTTATTGTTTTAAAATGTCGCCTTTTCGTCTTGATGGCGGGTCCAGTTTAAAGCGATGAATTATAAAATGAAATGTCATTACATGTGTAAATAAATATTTTTAAATAACTTAAATGTATGATAGATTTTACTGATTGTTTTTTGCAACTTGAGTGCGGGTTATGGATTTTGTATTATTTTTTTGGGAAAGTACAAATCTTCTTCCTTATAAAATATTTGTAGTTTTAAATAAAAGATGAAAATACGTACTTGAATTGTGACATAAAAATGATTAATATTAATTATTATAGTTATCATGTTAGATTTATAAGAATTTGTATTATAATTGTAAAATAAATTACTTTATATTTTTTAACAAAGAGGAGGAGGTTCTCAATTTGACCCGTATTTTTTTTGTTTGACCACCAATAAATTTTTACAGTGTGGTCCGACTTCGATATTTTTTTTTGTTAGGGCAAAGTTGGTCCCACTAAAATTTGAAGAAAAATATCCACCGCTAAGTATAGAAAATAGGGGTGATTGATTTTTCACCTACTGATTTTTTTAAATACTTTCTTTTTATTTTGGTACTATGTATACACTAAAAATGGAAAAATAAAAACTAAAAAAAAGCAAACTGAAAATATCTGATTAGGTATCTATGGGAAATGAAAACTACCAATCGATAACGTTTAATCGGTTTTTTTTTATTATAATAATTAATTATCTATTTCCTTATACCAGTAATATATACAAAATATAAATTTGATTAATTACAAGATTACCTTGATACGAAGAGTCAAATAATAAATGACTCCTTTTTTTTTATTCGTGGGGAAACCCCTTTGCCCGTGCGCGGGGTATGTGGGACTCCTGTCGCGAGAAGCGCAACACACTTCCCACTAAAACAACCACGGTGATCCCTATCGCAAGAGACAGGGCCACGGGATCGATTGGCGCATTCGACCGCGACCCTGTCAGCAAATGATTCCCCCTGATCGATTTCGGCCACGGCGGCCAATCTCCCTGATTGTGAGACATTGCACAAGCGTACGTGTCTAGTATCCGAGATTCGAGGGTAAAACGCCACCAACTTACCAACTCTGGGGTGTCACTGGGACTTTCTTAAGTAAGACTTAATAATTAAACTTGGCCCGATCCGGGACTAGAACTCAGGATCTCTGGCTTTGCTAATAAAATCACTTGGGAAAACTAATAAAGAACAATAAATTGAATAATAGTTCAAAGTAAATCTAGACAATATTTGTTCCAGAAAAAATTGACTCGAGTTAGTTCTAATAAAAAAATACATACATGGTTTATAGATCAAATTTCCATAATTTTACGATTTTAGTAATGATTGAAGAATCAATTTATCTGCTATTAAAGTATAACTTTGTGCTGCCTATTAATAAATGGCGCTGTAAGCCAGTTTCTAATGTATTATCAGTGATGTGTCCCAGTTTCTAACTAGGATGATCGATGAAATTTATTTTGATATTCTGTATTTTGTTATATTTCACACATTTATAAACATACAACATAAACAAAATAATGATAAATGAAGCAAGTGCTAGTAAATCACTATGTGTAACTCAGCTCAGAGCCGGTTCAAATATTCAGTTCACAGTAGCTAGAGCCGTTGAGCTGCGGCTCAGTTGCTAGATAATCGGTTCACAGCTCAATATTACTTAATATGGCTCCGTGCATCACTTCAGCGCCACCTAACGTCAGCTATTTCGATGGACCCGAGCCGACGGACCTGTACTATAGTCTATAGTCTATGTCCTTTTCTGTCTGTATTTAATGATAATCGGGATTCAGGTGAATAGTTAAGGCGTGAAAGCGTAACAAACAAACAAACTCACTAGCATTTATAATAATTGCATGAAATTAGCATTCCCCTATAATTGTGGAAGAACGAAAAAATATGACTATCATAACTTTTTTCGAAATGCTGCTTTATTAAAAAGTACATCATACATATCATTTGTTTGAACAGAGTCATAAATTAGCTGTAAATCTATAGTTATAAGTACCCATATAACATCAATTGAGCTGAACTGTGAGCCGGTTCACAGCTCCGGTTCAAGCATATGACTCATGAGCTGATCTGCAGCTCATAAAAATTCATTGAGTTACCCATGTCTACTAGTAAATGAGCATGTCATTGTGGTGATTTAACAAGTTTTTTAAAATGATTTGTTTTTTTTTTTTATTTTAACAGCTGTTTCGGCATAGTATGTTATGAATTCAATGCCTATTAATTTATTACCTTGTTAATTTTTATATTGTTTTATGGAAAGCAAAAAAAACTACACATAATAATTATAAATAAAACACAATTATATTAATGTAGTTATTTATTTGATAAGACTTCCACGATCAGAAATCCAGAGGCTTTAATATTTGCGGTTAAGGCAATTTATGAACGCTTTCACAGTAAATAAATTAATTATCTATTAAGTTAACCAGCGATAACATTTCCCGCCAACAAGTCGTTTAGTACTTAGTCTCGCAAAATGCGCTAAGAAACTCTAACCTATCAATCAACATAACGTATTTCGATCATTAAAATATCTATAGTTAGTTACAATTAGTGCATAGTTACGATAAGTCCCATATTCGATTAAACTAAACGCCGTCATGATAGTATGGCCCTAAGCTATATTTTACATACACTTTGAAATGTCTATTAATTTTAATATTACTTCAAAAATATTCAGATCTAGTTAGCTTTCACCTCATATAGTAGAGTATTTAGGACCTTTAATTTGAATAAATTCCGTCAATACAAATAAACAATTAACAGTAAACCTCTCCATTTATAACAACCTATTAAATGCATGTTAACAGGCCAGTGGCCAAAGGCGGGTATATCAGCACGCTTTCTGCACCATTGCACGATGTTACTCATACAAACAAAAATGTCGCCTTAGAAATTCTACAAAAACAAACGGGATTGGAAATAAATTCAGTCAAGAATAAAATGCTCCTATTTATATAAGGAATGCGCTTATGTATGACACAGCCGTGTGTTCTACTCAAGTTAATATGAGAGCTGTTGCGCGTAACATAAATGATATATAGCTATATATTAAAATAAAATACTTTAATATATATAAATTGTTAGCATACAAATGAAAATATATTTTCTAATAAACGTTTTATTTCAAACGTTAAATAATTGCATAATTTTGCAATATACATTTCGATTTTAAAATTTTCTTTCAAGAATGGAATATAATAAAATAATGTATATGATCAAAATATTAATATTTTTAAAAATCGGACTCAATGATATCTTTACCTGTAATGTCTAAAGCAATGGTTATGCAGACTGACATTACAAATAGTGTGTAACCAACATTATAATAAAAGTATATGCTAGATGGTAAAAAAACCTGATGTCGCAACGTAAGGAAACAAAAACATGTGGTATTATAATAATAGTTCAGACTTTTAGACATACCACTACTGGGTACGAGCCTTCCCTCAATACCAGAGGAATTAGGCCATAGCCCACCACCCTGACCCAATGCGAGTTGGTGGACTTTACACTACTTTCAAAACTAGTTGAATTTTCTCCGACACGCAGGTTTTCTCATGGTGTTTCCTTCACCGAACAAGCAAGTGGTAAATGTATGGTGCAACACTCGGATTTTGAAGTCCCCCACTTGTTTTATCCTAACGAGCGCATTACTAATAGGCTACCACTACTATATTCTTCACAAGGTATAGATATAGAATAAGTCCTCTTTTAAATATTAATCAAGACAACAATCTATTGTTGAAACATGATCTTTAAACGAGTCTCTATGTAACTAAGAGGCTATATTTTAAAACAACTCGGTTCATATAACGATTCTATACAATAAAACATACATATTAGTCAAATCCATAAAACAGTAAATCGTTGAATACATACAGGAACAACAGGGGTTTGGGCCACCGTCCTACATTTCCATATAAACTCACGTTACGACTTATTGGCTGTGAGATACTAAGCACTGTGTCGATGATAATAAGCGATATAATTTCGAGTCTATAATATACAAAGAGCACTATGATACGCGTATATATTTTATATTCAATATTCATCCTCTTCAGGGGGATGAGGGTTGTCACCGTCTATCTCCTCCGGGGGTGCGAATCCATCCTGCAATTATAATAGAAATTAATGTATAAAAATATATAGAAATAAAGAAAATATTAATATTTGTCATCAACTAGTACATTTTAAATAAAACTATCTTTTCGGATTTTGTCGCGGATTTATTTGTATTTTTGTTTCCCGAAGTTTCGAATGCTTTACAGCAATCATGGTCACGGGAGAGACTGAGGTGTTAGATCAAAATGATAGCATTTCTGATTAATAATATTTTTTCACTTTTTCATTTGTAAATGTATGTACACACTTCAATTATTCCTATACGATAAAATTATCCTGAAGCTTAAAACAGGCATTAGTTTACCTTGTGTTATTTAACTAAACTGAACGAGATATTTTTCTTACAGTTATATAACTGTGTTGTATAAAATAGCTATTGTATAAAAAATAAAAAAAAAGCACGCATATTCACAATTGTTACTATTTTATAGCCGATATTATATAAAAAGAATTAGTAGGTATTTATAAATATATTTATTTATTTTTTAAGAAATAGAAAGAAAATAATTGACGACTCAGTATACAAATAACATAATCTAGTATATATATGTATAAAGTCCTTACCTCAGTTGCATATAAGATTTCCAAAATCTTTTGAACAATAGGAGCGTTCTGCTGTTCTTCCATCTCTTGACAGATCAACTCTATATCCCGAAGCTTGCCAAAGTAGAAGTCCCTTTCCTTTTCAAGTCCGTCGACTGTTGCTTTTAATTCGTTAATCTACAATTAAAATTCATATAATTAATTAACACTTCATAATATCTTAAAGTTAAAATTAATATACTGGTCATAGCATTGATTATAATTTTTTTAAATATCACGAGAAGTTCGTAAAGGCTTTATAAAAAGGCTGTATAAAAGATGATAAATATATTAAACCGATTTCTGTTTGTTTGTTAGTTAGTTGGAACGCGTTAATCTCTAAAACTACCAACTTTATAGCTAATTTGTTTAGGAAAGTTTTAAACCTTCCTATAAAAATATAGGCTACAACTCATTCGTTCTGTGTCATTAGCATCATGTTAAGAATTTAAGGAGCATGGTAGCCTATACATACAAATATTTCAAAGAATCTGTTTCAAAATAACAGCTTTTTACTAAATGCATCTGTCTGTTTGTTTTGGATAATCTCCGAAACGGCCGGACCGATTTTGACAGGACTTTCACTGGCAGATATGATATAAGGAGTAACTTTTGAAACAGATTAGGGTTTCGCGGAATAAATTCAAAACCCATGAAATTGATGATGAACCCCTGAACGTCAACATGAAGTGAGTAATATTATAATTACGAATATATCCGTTCATTTGACATTATTTGATTCAGTAACGGGGGACGTGATTTTCATAGAGCCAGTTTGTTTATTCCCACGGGATATTAATATAGAGATACCTAAGCAAGTTACTGTAAGACGCGCAGGGTATAGTAAACAGCAATAAGAAGTGAAAGCGCGTCGATTGAAATAGAAAGATTTAATAAATGCGAGAGTGTGCCCATCTATATAATATGTATATGTGTTTAAAAAAATACCATGGATAGAGATGACAGATGTCAAACAGAGATTTAGATGTCCTTATAACTGCTTTTTATTAGGTTCCACCAAAGATAAATTATTAATTAAATCGTATATATCGGGGTTTCAGCATGTTTTTTATTCTAATAGATTAAGTGATTTTTGTTTACTTAAGTAAGGTTGCTAGTAAGGGAAGGTATACAGATAAATAAAATTGAAGTGTCTGTTTGTAATGTATGGAATTATATATGGTACCTACTTAGAAGAACAAAAACAATTATTAAAATTAAAAATTTTGTCTGTCTGTTTGTTTCGGCTAATCTCCGAAGTGGCTGAACTGATTTTGACGAGACTTTCACTGGCAGATAGCTGATATTTTAAGGTGTAACTTAGGCGACTTTAATTTTATAGATAGAGTTAAGGTTCCGTTAAAAAAACCGTACTACGCTACCTACTACGCTAGTAATAAATAAAAAGAACACTATTACTTGTAATAAGAATCTCTAAACATAACCAGAAAAAATATAATAATGATAAGCTTTATACCTATTTTTTTACCATTTTTTCGAATAATGATTGTTAGGTGACGCTTCCTAATTAACTTACATGTACAAAATTTACAATCTCTAAATTCTAATGTTTCAGAATTATTTTTCTATTCATAATTCCTTTAAGACATGAGAAAAGAATATTAAATATGCAGATGACTACGTTAGTTTTAAGCCTGTAAGAAATAACAATCTACGCGTGACAACACGCTATTTTACGTTGTTAAGAAATGTTTGTAGAACAAAGCCTATTGAATCAAGGCCTTCGCTTTAAAACAAAAAAGATAACAAACAGAAGTCTAAGGTGAAAATGCTGCAGTCTGCAATGCTGTAATTTCAGGGAATTAATATCATAAAGGGTATAAAAATAACTTTGCCTCGTTAGTTTAGACGAATGTATGTATTGCATTAAGCACAAATATTATTATTAGAGGAAAATATCATACAATGAGTAGGTATTTATATTTATTATTACATATGTATTCAACCAAATGGTATTGAGTAATTTCATGTAATAATATAAAATACACTAGCGACTCACCCTAGCTTCGCTCGGGTTCGTCCCTACTTACGTTTTAACGTTTAGTAAAGATTTCTCAGAGATGTGATATTTTCCTGCAGTAAAAAGTATCATAATATATGTTGACCCGGATAACTAGCTATCACCATACCAAATTTCATCAAAATCCCTCCAATGGTTTTTCCGTGATGTGGTAACAGCCAGACAGACAGACAAAAACTCTATAGATTCGGCCTATAATTATGTCTATTTCAAGAAGATTTTTCCAAAAAATATTTAGTGTACAGATTCGGCTTAGTTACAATTTTATTATACATATAGATATCAAAGGCAGGACAAAAACATTTGAAATGACATTATGGCGTATTCAAAAAATAATTTAAGAACTCAATTACACGCATCCATTAGACCATGAAATTAACTATCTAAAGTCATTTTAAAAGTAAGCTTTACCCACTTGAATGTTTTTTTAATTCCAATTAAGTCTAATTTGTAACTGGTTAAAATAATTAATGCCGTAAAACCAACTCGTATACCAAAAGGGTGAACAAGCGAAGCCTTGGCCCACATACGAGATATTTATTAAAATGCTCCACATGTTGCATAATTTCTACACGTACTCGTACTTGTTACCATGTGCCGGACCGTATCTTAAAAATGCTTTAGAATAAAATCAATACATATAATAAAATTGTAACTAAGCCGAATCTGTACATTAAATATTTTTTGGAAAATCTCATTAAAATAGACATTATTATCGATACAGAGGCCGAATATATAATTTTTAGAATTTTTGTCTCTCTGTCTGTCTGTTACCGCATCACAGAAAAACCACTGGAGGGATTTTGATGAAATTTGGTTTGATGATAGCTGGTTATCCGGGTCAACATATAGGATACTTTTTACCGCGGGAAAATATCTCATTTCTGAGTAAAAATACAAAAACTACAATGTAAGAGTATACTAATATGTAAAACCTAAGAATTTATTTTTGGTCACCTGAACGCGGGCAGAGCCGCGGGCAATGCTAGTATTTTTATAAAATCCCAACATTTTAACCAATCTTTATATTACAGAAAATTATTAAAGAAAGTCGTTTGTAAGACAGGAGAATAAGGTAACTTTTTTGAAAGGGCTTGTATCTGCCTATTTATATATCTATAGATATTTACAGAATTCTTTAAACAATGGTGGCTTACTTGATTTCCAAAAGGTAAGCTGATGGGAATGGGGGTATATTGACCTTGGTACTATTATATGGTAGGTTACATGTCAGTATTATAATTTGTTAAGCTTAAAAAATAACGTCGCATGCACACGAAGTTTCTCAACTTGAAGTAGAATATCGAAACAAAGTAATTTAAAAAATAACTGAACGGGGGTTTTCATTTACTATAGATACCTAATCAGATATTTTCGAAGTCGGTGCCAGCCGATGCAAAGCAAATCTATTTCGATACGTATAAATACACCACAAATGGATGTATAATATTTGAAATATCATAATTAGAACCTTGTCTGGTATATACCAATTAGATATTCATATCTTGAAGCGTTATCGGTTGGCACCAACTTCAAAACTTTCGGTGAAATACGTGTACTAACATACATACATATACTATAAAATTTTGTATACCTATTTGTTTCGAAGCCCTAATAGATTATCATATGTGAATATTTTGCAGTTCAAATAATATTACATACATAAGTGTCGAATTGATAACCTTTTTTTTTGAGGTTGGTTAAAAAGTAATAAAAAATAGAGCAAATCAAGCAAGTATTCTGTATGTATAGTTTACACCTGTGAAGTTAATGCGCACAACACAGAATATAATCTATACTAATATTATAAAGAGGTAGTTTGTGACTTTGTGACGTTGTAGGGGGTAATCTCTGGATCTACTGAACCGATTTCGATGATATTTGCTAAGAAAATAGTTTGAGACCCTGGGAAGGACATAGGATACTTTTAATTTATGTATATAGGGGGAAAAATGAAAATGGGAAAGAAAGTTTGTATAGGGAATCAACCTAGGGACGAACCCGAGCGAAGTGAGGGTGAGTCGCTAGTAGTATAGTTATAAAAGTATTATGTAATTGATACTAAAGATTAAAGAAATATAATGCAGTAAATATTTACTCTAGAGGCACGTGCGCAATTAATTTCAAGTGCGCCAATTTCACTCAAGCACGTTTAAGTTTTGCGCGATCTGTAGTTCAACTTCTCTATATTCTTTAAATTTTCTCGTCCGAAGACACGAAACTATCCGTATAAATTATGGCTTTACGTTAGCTTATTTTAGATTAAATGTAATAATGAAGTAATCAAAAAAAATATATAAAAATAAACAGCGATCTTTTAAATACGAAACAGCGAAAAGAACACGGATGTTTTTTTAAATTATTCTGACTAAGGCAGTTCAAGGGTCAAACCAGAAATTTCACACATCCGTACAAATAAATCGATTTCAGTTTCGCAGTAAAGTGCCATATCAGCTGATAGCCTGATACGCTATGAAGATATGGTCAGCATCTTAAGATCGTCACTATATAAATTTATATCAATATGTTAAAATATTTTTCGAAAGACATTTTAAGTCCGCCAACTCGCACTTGGCCAGCCTGATAGACTATGGACTATGGCCCGATGCCATTCGAATTGAAGGGAGGCCTGTGGTCAGCAGTAGGACATTCAAAAGGGCTGAATGTTAAAAAAAATTATAGTATATTACGAAAAAAATATATTCATATCGTGAATTAAAAGAAAATGTAGAACAATGAACAAATTATTGCCGAGTTTAGCAAATTCAACAAATCCGATAAATGTTATTATGGCCTTATTACCTATAACACAATTTCATTGATATTGCAGAGTTCGGCAAATATCTTTATAGTGATCAAATACATCGTAAAAGGCAATGTTAACAATAATATTATGAAGCTCTATAATTTTTGCTTTTATATCTTCATGTTCTGTTCATTATTCGTTTATCTTACTAATATTATAATATTAGTACCTGGGCTACCGATATTTGGCCAAAAAAAAGTATAAAACTTTGTATCCGACCGGGATACGAACCCAGACACCTGTGGTTGTCAAACTTGCGCGTAGTCTGTTTGATCACGATGCTTATGTCCTAGCGTGCGAATTAGCGACCATACTTTGCGTGGAATGATGCGAAACAAAACCCCATGAAAACTCGAAAACACGCGTTTTCCCAGGCATAAAACTAATCTAGATCGATTTATCGCCCTCAAAACCCCCGTATACTAAATTTCACGAAAATCATTGGAGCCGTTTTCGAGATTCAGAATATATAGATATATATAAATATATATACAAGAATTGGTCGTTTAAATATATATATTAGATAGATAATAAATGTGAGTATAGATGGATGTTTGGTACTCAATCACGCCAGAACGGCTGAACGGATTTGGATGTTTGGCACAGAGATAGATTATAATCTAGAATAGGACATAGACCACTTCGATCCCGGAAAAATGTACTATTCCCGTGCGATAATTTGATTCTGTTTTTCTAGAGGGATACCCTAGCGAAAACACCACAGATGGGTAAGAAGGCTAAATCAACATATACATGAAGGATACACACATCATTGAAAAAATAAAAATTACATCTTACCTGTATATTAAGATCGTCAATTACTTTTGAATCCCCTTTCGCACTTTGGTTTAATCTCGATAAATTAGTGGGCGGAGACCTAATTGTGTTGTTAGCTTTTCCAACTGCAAAAATAATTACACTCATTATAATATATTTGAATAAATACATACAACTTTATGTCATAATATTACAGTATTTTATCTTTATTAAGAAGAAAATTTGCTAATATTAGAATTTAAGTAGAACACAATATTCATATTTTATTTCATTTAAGAAATAAATAAACTGGGATATGTATTTAAGGGTAATTAAAAGTAATAATAATAATATTACATATATTTACATAAATATACAAAATTAAAGGAAATAAAATAAACTGAGAAAAATGAAATGAAAACCAAAAAAAGCATAGAACACAGTATATAAACATAAATATGAAAGGTGTTAGTGCCAAAGGGTCGGTGTACTACATAAACCTAAATAAATCTTAAATACTTAAAAAAATAAAATTTAATCTATAATTTATACAGCAATGGTTCATTATTGATGCCAATATAAAATACACATTAGTATAGTTGTATAATATCGATATAATAAATGTGATAATAATATGCAAATTAATACTGATAGAACTGCAAACTAATAAATAAAAAGAAATAGTACTGGTTTGGGGTCTAGCGGCGACTTTAGCGATGGGGGCCGCCGGTTTCTTAACAGCGGTGGGGGCGGCCCGGGGCGGAGCGCCCGCGGCCCCGTGCCCCATGGGCAGCCCCTCGCGTTGCGCCATCGCATCGTACTCCGTACCCCCGTAGTTAGCATCGAAAAACTTCTTGAACCATTGCAAGAACTCAAAGTTATCTTGGAACCGACCCTTCACCAGCCTGTCAATGGGTACTATCTACGAAAGAAAAAAAGGAAAGTAAAATAAAAAGAAATAATATGGGGTGTCACTACCGGTGGGAGTGCACCGATACCGAGATTGAATTGAGAAGTGATGTGAGAGCGTGATGCAGTCAGCCTAACGGTCTGTGTGGGGAGTATGAATGATAAAGGAGCGGGATGCGTACTGCCCGAGTGCGGCGGCATGGCGCGCCGGGCCTTGGGCGCCGGGGCGACGCTAGCGCAGAGAGGCACGCCGCTGTCGCAAGCCCCCGACCCAATTGTTATCCCACCGCGGGCCTCGAACGCATCATACTCCCTTCCATCATAGTTGGCATCAAAAAATTTTTTAAACCACTGCAAAAACTCAAAATTATCTTGGAACCTTCCCTTTATCAGCTTGTCCACTGGTATTACCTACAAAATTACACCAAATGGGTACTCAAGAACATAATCCACTGGATTGTTACCAATTAAATTAACTTCAGCCTCAAACATGTTATACATTGGAAATATTTCCTTATATATCATACCTTACACTTGCATACCCAATTGAAAAGTGACTAACTAAAAATTCAATGGAAACAATACTGATAAGAGAGTGCAAAAAGCATATATAAATAGATATGAGTCATTGGCTATATTTTGAAACATAACTCTTAAAAGTAATCTGAATTATTATATTTATAATGAAAAATACTTGAAAATAAAAATTATTAAGTCACATTTTCATTATAAGAACCTTATAATAAATGCCTTAAAATAACAATAAAATCTGGACAATATTATTTAACAACAAAGATCCGATGAACAGTTATATTAGCAATTTAGTGACAGTACCTATTTGATTTTTATATTTACCAAAATAAGAAAAACCTGAATAATTGTCAATTACTAAATTTGTTTGTTACTGTACTTCATACTACTTAAATGCAAGTCTCAAAATTAAGTAAAAAGGATTATTTTTTATTACATTCTATTGAATATATTGACACTTTTCATAAATACATATATTTAGCATTTTTCATGGTTAAGTACCACCAAATGATGGGTACATCTGTATATTAAAACAATATTTCGGTAAAAGCATGACATTTGGGTATTCAAAAGAAGTAAAATATTTTATTGTTGAAACACAGGTATATAAAAAATATTTAATAATTACCTTATCTACAGACATTTTTTTGAAAGCAGCTTGTAGAATTTTGAAGTTTTGTATGTACTCATGTTCTAAGTTTGTCTTGAATTTGATTCGCTTCATGGGAACACTGCCAGGAAATAACATATCCATAAACTGACAATATGCGGCGCCAGTACATAATTCTTCAATTTTAGCAAAGTTCGATTGAAGACAGTCATTCACCCACGCCAGCATATCATGCCTTGATAGATTCTCAGATGTCACATTTGTAGAGTATACATTCACTGCCATCTTGAACTATTATTATTAAATTACCTAAAACAAATCCAGAGAATGCACTTTTATAATTACACAGCATTCTCGCGCCGGCTAGCATTAAAGCAATGGGACACATGAAAAGAAAGCTGATCTAAAAATAGGTTGCAATGCATGTTGACCAAAGTATCAACAGCATTAAATTTCTTTCACAATTACTTTTAAATTAATAACTGGAAACATTATTAATAAGATTTTAACAAACATATAGAAACTAACAAAAAAATTAAAGCCTGGGCTAACGGCGGATGCGGCTATGACAGACGACGACTCATCAAAATCTTTCAAAGTTATTAATGATAATACAACACAATAAAATACTTTTTCTAATGCAACAAACCTTTTGAAATCAAATTCTTAAAATTTCGATATACACTAGAGGTTTCCAATATTGAGCAAAATGTTTAATACGTTAAAAATGTTGACCGAACGTTCGCCTTCTTGAGATTAGTCATAGACAAGACATTTTTTTTTAAATTTATGTAGGATAAAGCATCACTTCTAGAGAGTAATATACATCACTTAAAAATTAAAATCTTTATCATGCGTCAGGCACTTAGGGTTACATTAAATTTTGCTTTTAATTACAATTATTACAGAATGTTATAAACATAATTAAGTGTATTTATTTGGTAATGTAAATACTTTATGGCATATTATTAGTATGCTAATTTTTTGCCATTTATTCTTATTGATAGGCTTATGAGTTATGAGTATTATTTAGTAGGTAGATACTCAATTCTTAGCGATCAACGCTTTCACTAGCGATCTACCGCAATTAACGAATTTGTCTATTACTTAAAAAAATCGAACCGACGTCGGACAAAATCTGATTGATTATTTAGCTAATACTTTAAGATTACATTGTTTACAAGCACACGTATCTTACTTAAAGACCTTAAAGTAGATAAAAGTTCAACACAAGATAAACCTTTAAAAGTTAAATATTTTGGCATAACTTAGGGTTTTCTAGAGAGGTAACTTTATTTATGGTACAAAATATTTTTTTAGAAGTCTTTTTTTAAATAGTGGCTACATTATTTTTCGACCTGGCAGCTTTGAAAATTGCTCTCAACGTCAAACATTGAAATGTCAATATTACTCTATTTATAAATAAACGATTTGCATTTTGCGTATCCATCTAATAAACAGCATCATGAAAAGTATATTATTTCTCCTGTGGATTTCGCCGGGAAAGCAGTGCTGCGTTCAATTGAGTGTAGTTAAAAAAACTAGATTTAAATTTCTTACGAACAAGCTTCATAATATTAAATGAAATAGAATAATATAATGGAATTTGTTGGCTTCTAAATAAATTTTAATCTAGTATTAATAAATAATATCATTGAATCACAAAGATGACACAAGAAAACGAAAATGTTACTGAAAGCTATCCAAACATCAATTCGGCCAGTGAAGCTCCAGCCGAGTCTAGATATAGAATCACTATGGAGTTTCCATTATTTTTTACTATGTTATCAGTTTCTTTGTCTGGTAAGTAATTGTTCGATGCAACTTTTAAATAGCTTCTTCTTAGTGAAATTAATATTTTTTGTAGTGATATACATACAACTTGCGGCATAAATGCATTTTTTTATATTTTTTATTAATTTTGTTTTTATATACATCTTGTGAACATATATAGAATTGTAATTAATTACAGGTGCAGCTATAAGTAATATAATCCTATACCGAACTTGTGTTCACTCTTTAAATCACACTTCAGAAGAATGTCAAATGTTCTTATCACCAACAAAAAATAATGAAAGCCAGGAACTAGAGCAAGAAGTGCAAAAATATGCAGCATTTGTGTCTATGGTTAGAACAATTATAGATTCAGTTGCACCTGCTATTTTGTCCTTATTCCTTGGGGTATGGTCTGATACTCATGGAAGAAAGCCTTTAGTTGTGTGGCCTTTGTTAGGTATGTTCTTTTAATTTTTTACATTTTTGTTTTGATAAAGTATAAACTCAAATATCTACTGTCTTGTATTTTTAACATAAAATAATTCATATAATATCAATTAATCAACCCAATATATTAATTCATTTAATAATATATAACTGTGATAAAAACTCAAAAAATAATCTTTCACATACAACTTAAAAAGTATTGACTTTGTTTATGTCAAAATTAAATCCAAACATCAAAAATTATAGTGAAATTGTTGTTAATGACACATAGTGATGTGAATCATAATGTTGTTCTTAATATATTCAAATATATTTAAATTTTATTACAAAATAATTTATTAGTTGGTTCCCACTAGTAGAAGTAATAAATATCATGTGAATTCAACTTTTTATATTTATGTTTTTTTTCACATAAAATTGCTGTATTATCTACTTTTATTTTTTAAATTATTTATTTACACTATATGATATAACATATGACGTAAACTCCAAAACATCCAGAAACCATTGACTGTAGTGAGAACAAAACTATATCTGAATAACAGGCCAATATTAGCCCTATATACATTACTAAATATATTTTTATTAATATAATTCTATACTAGAAAATTTATTGAAAAGTGCAATATTTCATGTTTTAAGAGGAGCAAGAATGAGTCCATGATATAATATACAACAGCCTATTGTATGTTATGTACGTATAACATAATTATATACAAATTAATGTCAAGACCCAATTAACTGATTGGTACCACCTACACGTCACACTGCCGTTTGCAAAATTGAAGGCACAGACCTTCAATTTTGCAACTGATAAAATTTTAGCATTGAATTAATATTAAAATAAAAATCGAAAATATGAAAATATGTGTATGTCTGACCCAACACCTCAACCTCCTTAGCTTTACAGATTTATCTTGTTTGACAATGCTTACGACTTTGGAAGCTTAAAAGTATCTCAATTTTAAAAACTTTTGTGGACGTACTACACACCCCCCCCCCCCCCCCCCCTATCTTTTAGTTTAGTTTCAGATTGTCATGAGGGTCATAATATAATAACGTAAAGATAGTAAATCATCAAACAATTTTAATAATATTGAATACATCGAAATCAAATATAAATATCCAAATTTAGAAAATTCATATGTATTTTACATTCACAGTACTCTAGTTAATAAAAAAAATAATCTCTAACCAAGGCGAAGTTATTGTAAATAATGATTAATTATTTACTTGATTTCTAGAGCAATGAGAAGCAAAAGGTAAACGCTCTTACAACGTAATCAATGTATCGTAATTTTCTTTATAAATTGTTAATGCTTAGTAAGTTTTAATTTGCGACCTATCATTCTATTTCTTTGACCCTAACTTTAATCTAGGCCAAAACCTTAAAGACTTGTATTCCATAAACCTTTTAATTTAAACGTTATTTGTGAAATGAAACGGGTAAACTCAAGGTTTTACAACCAATATAATTTTGAAAAGTCCGTTTAATAAAGTTATATTTTCACTTACTGAACGACAATAAAATATGGCCGAAAATATCCTATACTCGTATATTGGATCCCATCAAAAGCGACAAAAGCCACGTAGAAACCAATACATATTTATTGGTTTCTATGGGCTTTTGTCGCTTTTCATGGGATTCTATTGGAGTTTTTCAACAACCCTAATCCCGGTAATCAAAGTATTTTGATATGGGGAAAATAGCCATATAGATCTTATCATGGGGTAACAATTCTTAAATTAGAGGCAACACTTATAAAACAACTCAATTATGTTTTTAAAAACACTTGTTTTAGGAATGTCAATAAGTGGAAGTTTAACTGTAGTCTACACTGTGATGAGCGATTTGGGTCCTTGGTGGTATATAATAACTAGCATACCAATGTCTTTGCTTGGCGGTTTTACTGCCCTGTTTACTGGTTCTTTCTGTTACGTAAGCGACATTACAACTACCGAAAAGAGATCTCTTAGGTAACCATGGTCTTTAATTTCGAACTTTCAATGCTAACAAAAGTTTTATTTTATTATAGAGTCCATTGCTTTTAACTACATCTTCTGCTATACCTAAGTATTTTTAAATTTTTAGTCTTTTGCTAGTCACTTGTGAGCCTTATGTGTACTTTCAAATTATGTTCTATATATATATCAAAAACTTTACAAGAAGCTTTTAACAGGTCGCAGATATAAGAAAAGCATTAAAACCTTTTTTTTTAGGATGACCATAGTCGAAGCGTCGGTGTCAGCGGGTAGTGTTACAGGAGCAATATTAAGTTCGTTTGTACTGAGAGCTGTAGGGCACGTATATTTATTGGTCATATCGACTCTTCTTTTTGTGATCGCCTACTTATTCACAAAAATATGCATTAAGGAATCATTGCCTCAAGCTGTACCGGTAAGTTTTTTTAAAATGTTACTTTAGGAGTTTCCAATCTAATTTTTGTTTCTTACAAAGAAATTTGTTTATGAATAATAGCATCAATACATTATATTACTATGTATATATATAAAAATTTTCGATATTACTAAATAGCTGTTTAAGCTATAGAAAAATAATTTAACTTGGCATCTAACTTAGCATCTGTTTGATACATATTGATATACTATCTAGTAAGCTGTGAGCTACTTATTATCAAAGAAAATGTATATTGCTATTTATGTATTTCTCGTAATTTAAGCTACTCGCACATGTAAGGTTTCCTCATTCAATTTCCGAATACTATGTACATACGAGCTAATATCCGTAACAATCGCCAGAAATTGTTTTTGTAAAAAAATTGTCCACTTTGTAGGAAATTTGTGCATTCGAGTGCCTGATTATAGAAACTAATTCAAAAGTTCGTTCGTCCGTTTCAAGTGTTATCAGCCTTATAATATGAATTTATAGATTTTTTTAATCATTTACCTTTGTTACAGGGTGGAATAACTTCGGTACTAGATTTTAAACTTATAAAAGCCATGATAGTAGAATGTTTTAAAAGAAGACCAAATTATGGCAGAGCACAAATTCTGTTACTAACTGTAGCTAACAGTTTATCTATATTCATTATGTTTGGCCTCATGAGTTTAGAGTATCTGTACACGCGGCAAAAGTTACATTGGGCAATAAAACAGTACACCATGTATTCGGCAACGCATACCACGATATCTTTCTTTGGTTCATTCTTCGGGGTGATGTTAGTTCAAAGGCTGTTCAAAGTGAGCGATTTGGCGTTTGCGATGACTGCATTTTTATCCGCAAGTGGCGAATATTTGGTTAAAACATTTGCTACTGCATCTTGGCATATGTATACAGGTGAGGTTCGAAAATTGATAGATTTTTATATAGGTATCTAGTTATTTCCATTTCAGAGAGGGAGAGAGAGAGAGAGAATGTAATGATAGCTTGCTCTATTTTTCGTTAAATTCTAAACGAAACTCTGATTTCGTTTTCGAGTGTTATTTTAACGCTGAAGTTTTCTAACTCTGGTCAAGTTACATTTTCTAAACAACTGGAAATAGGAGATAGTATTTTTTTATTAAGGGCACAGTTTTGGGACATTCTGTATCAATTCCCATTTTTTAACGCTGAGCATTTATATAATACCAGTGACTCACCCTCGTTCCGCTCGGGTTCGTCTTTAGATACGTTTTAACAGCCAGTATAGATTTATCAGATTTAAGATATTTTCCCGCCGTAAAAGATATCCTATAAGTTGACTTGGATAAGCAGATATTATCATATCAAATTTTATCAAAACCTGTACAGTGGTTTTCTTATGATGAGTTCTCAGACAGACAGAGAAAAGTTCTAAATACTATAGATTCGGCCTCCGTATCAATAATAATGTCTATATCAATAAGATTTTCCAAAAAAAAATATTGTACAGATTCGACTTAGATTTGGTATATTTTTAATCACGCTAGAATACCGTAATTCCATTGGTTTCACTGTCATGGTGTTTTCACAGTGGTCATAACTTTCGGCTAAGTTAATATTAATATAAAAGATTTTATGATATGAACCAGGTGGTTAACACCTACTATGAGTCAGTCTGAAAATCGTAGAATATCTTTAAAACTAGAATGCTTGCATAGTACCTAGAGTCACATTTAAGCAATCCATATATTCACATCTATATCTAGACAAGTTCTAATGCCCTTGAGTTAGAAATCTATGCTTTATTGTAATATATTTAAGGCAAAATTAATTAATTATATGTAAATATTATAATTAAAGATATAAAACGTGTTTTGCTGCATTTGAATAAGAACACATTTCAAGGTAACTTGACTAATACTGTATTTACTAGTGATTTATACCCACGTTGTGCGTCCCAAGATGCCTAACAGTCCATAAAGCAATTGAAAGGTCAGTTTGTTCCTGACTTTTATTAAAACTATTATCGTTTTTGACAATAAACACATTTTTATCGGAATTAAAAATTTAAAAACTCCCTACCGTCTTGGATCGATTTTCATCAAGTTTAACTAAGAACACTCCTGACTAATTCATCTATCAAACAAAAAAAAACAAAATCAAAATCGGTTCATCTATTCCGGGAGCTACGATGCCACAGACAGACACGTCAAACATAACACCTCGTTGTTTTTGCGGCGTATAAAAAATAGCCTAGAACTCGGCAGTAATGAAGCTTCCTATTAGTGAAAGAATTTTCATAATCGGATCGGTAGATTCAGAGATTTCCGCCATACATACAAACTTACAAACTTGAACTCTTTATATTATAATCTACATAAATAAAAATGAATGTTGGTAAGTGCATAACTGAAGAATGGCTGGACCAATTCGGCTAAATTTTTTTTTCGTATGTGCGGTGTTCCTTAAGGTTCACGGAAGGTTTTAATAAAGAGCAAAAATGAAAAATTAACGAAAAAAAAATTATATGGCTAACGCTGGCTAATAACTATTTATATCTATTTAAAACGTATCCAGCGACGAACCCGAGCGAAGCGAAGGTGAGCTGCTAGTTAGAAATATAATGAAGTTTAGGTCCCAAAAGCTTGTGTGCGGTTTCAATGTCATAACTGAGCATTTATGACAATGTAACCGCAATCATATCCAATGTGGTCGTAACAAATTTCAAGCTATTATATGATGTCATTTCTAAATATGAAACAAAAGCAAATTAGCTGTCTCGATATGTTTCAAATTTAAATATATATTTTTGAAAAACATTCTTGAAATATTTTAAAAGGATTTAAAATTTAAAAAAAAATGATAGATATTACACAATTGTTCTGTCTGGTTTAGAAAAACTAAGTTCAAAAAACGTTCAAAAATGTACTTATTGAGCCATAATATGTAACATTTTATTTAAATGTTCTACTGGCTAATTTCTGCGAGCCATCTGCACAGAAACGATATTGTCTTACTCATGATAGCATGATAGCAATTAGCAAAATATTTCGTTTAAAACTTTATACGTGATACAGTGACCCAGACACCCTTCGAATTTATGATAGCACGTCCCTAGATGCCCTTCACATCTATACATATAATAAAATTGTAACTAAGCCAAATCTGTACATTAAATATTTTTTGGAAAATCTTATTGAAATAATCATTATTATCGATACAGAGGCCGAATCTATAGTTTTTAGAATTTCGGTCTGTCTGTCTGTGTGTTACCGCATCACAGAAAAACCACTGGAGGGATTTTGATGAAATTTGGTATGGTGATATCTGGTTATCCAAGTCGACATATAGGATAAAAAATACTAAAATTGCAATGTAAGAGTATACTAATATGTAAAACCTAAGAATTTGCTTTTGGTCACCTGAACGCGGGCGGAGCCGCGGGCAATGCAAGTTTATAATATAACGTGTTTTCAGTACTCAGTAGAGACGATTTATTCTGATGTAATACAAAAATATCATTATACCGTTAACAAATATTTGAAAAATTTTATTATATCCTAAAATCTTCACAGATAAACTCTCTTTGTATTGATGAAAACCATATGAAAATTTGTACAGTAATTTCTTAGATTTGCGCGAACAAACAAACTATGCGCAGCGGGTGACTTCAATGATATTTATACATACCAATAAATAGAGTGGTCTGTTTGTAATGTCAAAATAACAGCTTTTTACTAAAATATACCTATAATATGAAAGTATATACGGTACTTATAAGAAATGTTTTTTTTTTAAATGTTTGTCTGTCTGTTTGTTCCGGCACGCACTCGAGCGAATCGAGGGTAAGTGGCTAGGTTTTAAAAACAATCTATTTATGTAAGATTTTGATTTCAGCCGCCAGTGTATCCTTGTTTCGAGGGTTATCATCGCCGTTGATTCGTTCGCAACTAACTAAAATCTTGCCTCCAGCGGATATAGCGAAGGTTTTCGCTCTAATGTGTGCGATAGAAGGCGTCAGCCCTCTGATATCACCAGCAATGTATAATTCATTATATGCATACACGATATCGTCGTTTCCAGGAGCCATATATGTTCTGAGCAGTTGTATTGCCTGTGTTTGTGCCATGTTTTTAGGGTAAGTGTTGCTTTTTTTATATTGAAAATTTGCTTTTCTTATATTGATAATTAAAATCTTTAGATCGCCCAAAATGTCCATTCTTTTTGACTGCACACAAATAAAATTCTTTTTAAAAGAGTAATCAAAGCGTTATTTTAAATGATTAACTATTTAATCATTAGCGAATACAAGCGAATAAATTTACGTAATTCATCAATACGATTAAGAATTCAACTACAAGGTTAATTTAAAAAACTTCAATTTTGTACAGCCACGATATTGTGAGTTTTATTTGTTTTGTTTAATTGTATATGGCATGGTATGCTTTAAAATATCTTTAAACAGAATTAAACTGCTTTATTTTAATTAAAAAAATTATGATCATAATAATTAAGTAGGTTAAGATAAATTACTTTTTTTAATTATTAAAAATAAATAATAAAATTTTATATCTGAAAGCTTACGTACGCGATGTGTTACATAAATAAAACTTTTTAACAAAAAAAATAAAAACCGACTTCAAACAAAAGCACTAAAAATTAAAAAATATCTGATTAGTAGTTTTCATTTACAATACATACCTAATCAAATATTTTCGAAGTCGGTGTGCTTTGCTTTGTATGGGCTGGCACCGATTTCGAAAATATTTGATTAGGTATGTATTTAATAGGTAGGCTTTAATTACTTGGCCAAAGCACACCGACTTCAAAAATATTTGATTAGGTATGTATAGTAAATGAAAACTACCAATCAGTTATTTTTTACTTTTTGGTGCTTTTGTTTGAAGTCGGTTTTTATTTTTTTGTTAAAAAGTTTTTATTTTTCCCTTTTTAGTGTAGACAATAGTAGCAAAGTAAGAATTTTAACGTGTTAGGCTTGTCAAATCAAACAATATAAGCCCAAACTCAAAGTATCTACTATTACCGTTGAAGAGTTCCACCTATCCACCTTCTGACCTTACCATCAGATTAGGTCAACAATACCGAACCACTGTACTATCAACGGAAATAGAAACACTTGCAAAGTTTCAAGTCAATATGACAATTAGAAGTAGGTTAAATTCATCATTAGCAATTTTTCCACCCTTAGGAGTGGTATTTTTTTTTAAATTTAAATGGGACCAATCTGGAAGTATACACTATCAAACAACACAAAAATTGTCCAAATCGGTTAATAAATGACGGAGTTCTGAGGTAACAAACATTAAAAAAAATATACAGTCGAATTGGGAACCTCCTCCTTTTTGAAGTCGGTTGAAAAGTAGTTATTGTGAGTGTACCTTAGGACATACATACTGTTGCAGACATTTCTGTAGGCTTCTTTAATTTTATATAAAATACTAGCGACTCACCCTCACTCTGCTCGGGTTTGTCCCTAGTTACGTTTTAACGCTTAGTAGGTATATATTTCTCAGAGATGTTTTCCCGCAGTAAAAAATTTCATCAAAATCTGTCCAGTGGTTTTCTCGTGATGCGGTCACAGAGAGACAGACAGACAAAAAATCTAAAAACTATAGATTCGGCCTCTGTATCGATAATAATGACTATTTCAATAAGATATTCCGCGATAAACGAAAGAAAAAAAATTGTGTATATCTATACATATAATAAAATTGAAACTAAGTCGAATCTGTACATTAAATATTTTTTGAAAAAATGGCGAAGCGAGAGTGAGTCGCTAGTGTATAGATTGTGGGATTTAATCGGGTTACATACTATTATAAAGACTACTTTTATTTAATGCGAAAGTTTGTATGTGTATTTATATTTGTTACTTCTTTACACTGAAACGGCTGTACGGATTTAAAAAAAAATTAAAACATAGATTACTATATATGACCTAGATTACCACACAGACTTTTGTGAGGCACTCAGGAACGCACCTGAGCGAGGCGAGGAAAACTCGCTAGTTAACAATAAAGCAGGTAAAAAACTTTCGTCTCCGAAAAAAGGTTTCAAAATGGCAACCAGTTTCAAAAGTCACATTGAAACTAACATTATATCCTTACGAGCAAAAAATGCAAAAAAATGCAAATGATTCCAGTTTTGGTCTCTGAATCATTTGTTTTTTTTTGAAATAATATTTTACATGTATTAGGTATGTAGGTAATATTCAACTTCAGGTTCCAAACGTATTATTTACGTTTATTTATTTTAGAAATTGACATCAACCTATTTATGGCTGATACATTTTATAGCTGATGTTTAGTAATTATTAATTATTGAAGTAAAACTTCTTTAGGCGTGACTGAGAGGTAAGTCAATACATTGGTGATTGGATAAATGTGTGTAGCGGAAGTGAGACTTAAATTTATTAGGTACTAATAATTAAAAAAAATATGTATTTATATTTTTATAATAATTGTCTATACATATAATAAAATTGTAACTAAGCCCAATCTGTACATTAAATATTTTTTGGAAAATCTTATTGAAATAGACATTATGTATAGAATCTATAGTTTTTAGAATTTTTGTCTGTCTCTCTGTTACTATATCACAGAAAAACCACTGAAGGGATTTTGATGAAATCTAGTATGGTGATAGCTGGTTATCCGGGTCAACATATAGGATACTTTTTGCCGCGGGAAAATATCTCATTTCTGAAAAAAAAAATACAAAAACTGCATTATAAGAGTATACTAATATGTAAAACCTAAGAATTTGCTTTTTGATTATCAGAATGCGGGCGGAGCCGCGGGCAATGCTAGTTATTTATAAAAATATACATTTATTATTAATAATTTTGTAATAATTATCTATACTAATGTTATAAGAGTATATTCCTAAGTATTAAATAGTAATCCGATAGCGTTTAGGCATTTTTTTCACTAATGAGTGATGACCCTCCGTGCTGCGGATGTCATATAAATGACAATGCGTTTGCGATAACGCGGCAAACGCAATCTGCATATTTACCTACATTAAGCATAATATTATATTGTTACAGAATATTTAGATAGAGATAAATGGTTTAAATGTGTAAGAGAATTAATTGTAGGTTATGAAAAAAGTATTTATATGAATTAATATTTTTTTTATTTTACTTAAGACTTAATTCAATACTAGCCATGCCATGTTCATGATTCGAAAAGCTAAAAATCTGGTAATTATATTGAGTGAGTGGTTTAGCCGTTTCGGCGTAAAGGAGTAACAAACATAAACACAAAACACATAAACGTACAAATTTTCACAATTATATTTTTTTATTAAAGACATATATAGCGATTTACTGGAAATATGTACTACCTACGTATGTTAGTTTTCTCCAAATACAATCTAAACTATCTGTATTATTATTACCTATTTTCATTAAAAATATTTGTCAACTTTAAACTTTTTTTTTAAGTATTGCACTGAAACTAAATATTGTTTTTATTAATTATTTTCTTTTTTTTTCTTTTTAGGATCGTGCAATTTTTCAGATGGAGAACATCATCATTCGCTTTTGAAACTTTCACAAATGAGTCATAGATTTATTGATGCCTTAATTAAGATGTAGGTACTTAATTAATGACGTAACAAATGTGAGAGTGTGATGATAATAATTATATTTATGATAAAATTTTATAGAGTAAAAAAATGTGATTTATTGATAAAGGAACATAAATATAAACTAATTGTTTCACGCTATATCTTTATAGGAAGCGCGACAATAAGGACGTAGTGATTCAATACTCTGTCCCTTATGTTAGGTACCTACCTAATTTTTTTCAATAATGTTGCAAAAAGCAAATATTGTTAATTTTTAATCATTTTAATACATTATGATACATGATCCAGTAGTCGTTTTAAGATTACTTCCATTTTTTTCTTCTATTTTAACGATGAAGAAAGAACAAATTATTTGTCGCAAAAAGTACAATATGTATACAAAAAATATATACTTAAAACATTTTTAACTAAGAAAGTACATCTAAATCACGTTACAAGTAATTATTCCAGCCTTGACTGTTTTAAAAATTGATAAAACCATCTTTGAGGTATCGACGTATTTATTATACAAATAAAAATCGTTTCATAATTGGCAAAGATATCGCATACACACAAAATATATATATATATATATATATATATATATATATATATATATATATATATATATATATATTTTAATATGGCTTATAGTTGCGTTAACAGACGCAGTCCATTCTGCCAGTGTCACGTTTTGTGAGGAAGACACGAATGAGAAAAAAAATATAATGTTACTAGCATTGCCCGCGGCTCCGCCCGCGTTCAGATGACCAAAAACTAAATTCTTAGGTGTTACATATTAGTATACTCTTACATTGCAGTTTTTGTATTTTTCCTCAGAAATAAGATATTTTCCCGCGGTAAAAAGTATCCTAGGATCGCGCGCTACATCGCCCGGTTTATATAGCTTGAGCAGGCGGTCGAGCGATGCGGGGCAGAGGGGATGGACTCGCCGTAGGCATCTCAATGCTCACCAAGCATTAAAAATGTTTCGCTACTAATTACTTCTAACAACGATATCTCAAAAACTATTCATCTGATTGATTTAGTGTAAAGAGCAATTTTAATCTGCATTAAATGACTAAGCTAACTAAAATATTCATTTGGATAAGGATTAATACCGAACTAAAGAAAATAACTTTGAAAATAACGTAATGTTTTTAATTAAAAATGTTAACATAAAAGTGGTTATTGTAAGTCAACCGTAAGAGATAGAGATATGCTATCGCGGACTTTTTTGTAGCATTTTTATAGATTTTGAATTCTCTAGTACATTACTTAACTGTATCTTTGCTAGTTTACGCGGCGTTCGCGTGGAAAGTTCCCATTTGGCGAGATTTTTTGCGACCTCTTCAACATTTGTCGCCGTATTTCAGCTAATTTACATAAAAGCATAATAAATTATATACCTAAACCTTCCTCAAGAATTACTCTTTCTATTGTTGAAAACCGTATAAAAATCCGTTCAGTAGTTTTCGAGTTTATCGCGTTCAGACAGACAGGAGGACAGACAGGAGGACAGAAAGACGCGGCCGGGGGACTTATTTTTATAATAAGTATAGATTATAAGTCCATGTTATTTTTTGAACTCGGTCAAAAAGACTCATTCAACTTTTGACAAATCAACAGTTAAACGAAAAACGTCAGTGTCAACTGTCATGTTACGTTTTAACATAAAATAGAATCCGAATAACAAAATACTGACTGCATTAAACATTAGTCGGTCGTTTGTTTTTAAACTTACAAGTGCTTGACGTATATATAGTTTGTGTCGGTTTTATTATTTGTTTATAATTATATTTTTATGTTTTGACAAAATCTTGTAATGTATATGATTTTAATGAGGAAATACAACTATTAACCTAGAGGTGAGATGTGTTTACAAAATTTAAACTTACCTTCTACTTAGATGTTGGTTATTATTTATTTAATTTAATACAATATACGTATTTATATTTAAGTACTCTTTATTCGATTTTATAGCATTTTTATGGATATGAAGATTAAATGTATGAACTTTAAGCGTCGTTGTTTGTTTGTAACTTACATAGTAACATCATGTATTTTTTATCAAAAATTGACCTTAACATGTTCAGTTGTTCACCGCGGCATGTGATAAACATTTTATTTATACTATTTTAAAGAATAGCATAAAATTATATATAATTGACTTGTTTTATAATAAAATACAGAAATAACATTAGATTAGGTACATAATCTAAAAGATTAAATATTGATATGCACTACAAATAAATTGTAAACAACAGTTATAAAAGTAAATTCAATGATTTAAGAAGCTTTATTTCAGAAACTATCCTGCACAAATTATACAATTATGTTCATAACCCCATGTGATTATTTCATTTTTATCATTAGGATTATATAGAAAAATAAGGTTAATATTAAACATCGAATTTTTTTAAATATAATAGTGACATCAAAGTAATGAAAAATAACCTGTAATTTTTTTAATTAAAAAAAAAAATTTATTGAGAGTAATAACATCGTGATTTTATAAATGTTGGGTTTTACAAAATTACATTATAAATGCTATATAGTAATTTTAAATTATTTTAAACATAATTTTAAGAAAAAGAAGAATAATGGTTTAATCAGGTTTTTTCCCGAACGGCTTTTAAAGCTAATCCTATCGTATTCTTGTTTATTAGAAAAAAATTATGTTAAATGGGATTGTTTTGCTATACGTCTTTATTATTGCTAACGTTATTATTATGTTCTTATCTAGTGGTTTTTTTAAGTAACTCTTAAAAATATGTTGATGGATTGAGAATTCATCACAACACAATACATGTATGGTCTTGATCAGCGCTGCCAATTAGCGGGTAATTTACCCGAAAAGCGGGTAATTTTAGGCGATTTTTGATGGCGGATAATTTTGACGGGTATTTACATTGAGCGGGGTCAAATATGGTATTTTAGTTTAGCTGATTAATTTGATATTTTTAGTATTTTTCTATGTTTGATTTTATAATTTAAAGCTGTTTAATTGAGAACTGATTACAATGACTTCTTTTTATAACATTAGTACCTTCTTTTACTCTATATAAAACACTAGTGACTCACCCTCGCTTAGCTCGGGTTCGTCCCTGGGTTGTTTCCCCATACAAACTTTCATCCCCATTTTCACCCCCTTAAGGGATAATTTCCAGGATAAAAAGTATCCTATGGCCTTCCCCCGGTCTCAAACTATCTTCTCACCATGTTTAATCTAAATCGGTCGGCTTACAATTCACGAACTTTACCTCTTTATAATATTAGTATAGACGAATAAGTTGCGGGATGAACCGGATATTTTGAGGTTTATCGGTCGGGTAAATCAACGACTGTTATCTGGCAGCCCTGGTCTTGATATAAATATATTTAAGTATAATGAAAATCATTTTTATACCTATAACAATTTTGCAAAATATACAAATAAATATGGAACTCTCATTTTATTGTGTTTTTATTTAGCCTTGAAAAAATAAGACCATATTTCATTATAATAAAGATCATGACTATACATATCTTCATTTATTTCCTTATAGGTAATATGTACAATGATTCATTTGTGATTCTGTAATGTAAAATAGGTACCTAAGGTTGGCTTAGAATAAATAATAACTGACAGAAACAATGTTCATTGGTAATATAAAATGATAAATAAAAACCTCTGAATATACTACAACAGGCAATGGAATTTATAGTTTTTACATCTATGATTTGATTGCGTTCGTCAAAACGTTCGCGCTTACTTCGTCATTGAGTCACGACAATAAATGGCAGATAATTATATACTACGATAACAAAGGACTCGCTAGTCGCTAGTAGTGATTTAGATTTCAAAGAAAAACATTATTATCTTGTCAAAATAAAAATATTAAGTAAGTAAAGTTATTCTATAAGTTTTCACTCTAACTAGTTCACCTTGATTTAAATTATCGGACTTCAATATTGGTAGTAAACATGGTTCTTGGTAAATTTCAGAAATTTCCTAAAAACATACGTCATAATGCAGAACAGTGAAGTTGAATTGCCATTACCAAAAAGATCTATTGCAACTACAATAGAATTGCCATTATTTATAAATATGGTAGCCGTATCATTAACAGGTAAGTGAAATGCTTAAATTACTTAACTATATAAATTACTGTTTCATTTATTTATTTTTTTATTTCAGGTCCTGTAGTAAGTAACATAATCTTGTATCGTACGTGTGTACACTCCCTAAATTACACACAGGATAAATGTAGGCCGTATCTTTCCCCTATTAAAAGTAATGACACAATAAATATAGAAGAAGAAGTACAAAAATACTCTACTAATGTGTGGACTGTTAAAGTAGTAATAGAATATTTATTTCCTGCTCTACTGTCGCTGTTCTTAGGGGTATGGTCTGATACATATGGCAGGAAGCCTTTGATAGTATGGCCGTTATTAGGTGAGTTCATTTTTCAAATAAGCGCTCTCTGGGGAATCTTATATAAAACTTGACGTTGACAGTATGGGAAAGTGGGGTAAAACCGGGACGCTAAGAGAAATATTAAATTAAAAATAAATATTTCAAACATTATAAAATAACTTTATTAGACTTCGTTTACTTTAACTTATTAATTACATATTTAATCAACAAGATCACTGTTTTCTTTTTGTTGTATTGTAGGTAAAAAAATGATCATTTTCAAAACTTAACTTTGTACGGTTTTGCCCTATACCTGGTTCCAAAACCGGGTACACCCACTTTTTATACTCGACTTTGCCCCTTAACAAGGAAGTAATGAAACTCATTCAGTTCATCTTGGTCCTAACCAGTACAACCTTCATGGGCCCATTCCTTCACTTAAGACATTGCAACCAATCATCACTTGTCGTCTGAGACCTTTTTCTTTATGGAAATTTTTCGACAAGCGAGGCGATATTCACATTTTCCGTCTATTAGTACTTCTAAAATGGAATTTTTAATAAATTCTTTACTCCAGGATTGTCGGTTCGTCGTTTTTTTATAATTTCGTGGTATTTTGTTGTGAACTGTAAAAATTCATCATACAAAATAATATCACCCGATTACCCCGTAAGGTTTTACTTATACCAAGCGCACCGAAGAGAAACAAAGGAATTTAATTAATCTTAAAAACATATCGTAATAAAGATTCAACCAATGTTCGTTTACCATTAATACACACATAATCTTTACAATAGAAACAAATTCTACTTACCTTGACATACGAGATTATAGAATACCTTTAAAATCCGTTTAATTCTAAAATTATATCAAACCTCCGTAAAAACTGTTTTCTGAAATATTTTCAAGGAGCATGCACGTCATTTAACTTTTGTGACAAACTATTCAAGATGACTGACTGCAAGTAACCAAGCGCGCGACAATTTGAAACACATTAGAGAGTCTTAGTACCGTGTCCCGGTTTTACCCCCATACCCGGTTTTCGATTATTCTCCCCTACACTTATATTTGGTTAGTATTTTTACAAGATGCTATATAACATTATGCTACACAGTGTTTCATTTGTTTTTTTATTTAATCTATTTTTTTCATTTATAAATGAAAAACTTAAAGATACTACATTATGGTCTCTGAAGACTAAAATAAGCATATATCTTTCATCATACGCATTTATATTATTTAAAAGATACATTACGTACGCTTCAGCAATTAGCAAAGCAGGCGGTGACGGCTAGTTATTAATACAAGCCTATTTACTTATTCAAGTTTCATTGAAATTTATCTAGTAATGAGTGACAGATAGATAAAATTTGTAAAAAATATTCATTTATTTTCGTATTATAAAACGAACGAACAAGCTTAAATTAAGATAATAATTATTTTAACATACTACTTTAAATAATTATTTTAACATACTATTCATTTTATTAGGTATGTCACTGACGGGAATTTTGATAGTAGTTTACAGCGTGATGGATAATTTAGGGCCTTGGTGGTACATCCTCACATCAGTGCCATTTTCTGTTACCGGTGGTTACGTGATTCTTTACTCTGGCGCGTATTGTTTTGTCAGTGACACCAGCTCATCCGATAGTACAACCATTCGGTAAGTTACATTGTGGTTAATTAAAAACAAAATACATCATAATTGTGTACAAAAAATCTCATTAAAAGTAATTGAAAATATCTATTTATGATATCATTACTTTTTATTCAACCTTTTTTTTAACGTTGGGAAATGCATTTACGCACGAAGTGTGGGACTCACCGGCAAAGCCAGTACTACCCACTAAAACCCAACAAAAACCTTCACCCGTCTTAATGGGGCGTCGCAGGATCGCTTACGTATTCAAGTACGACGCACGGCAGGTCTGCCGAAGCAGACCACAGCAACCATGGGGTTAATTCAACCTAAAGAAGCTTTATTGAACGCCTAAATTGCGTGTAAAAACATCGAAATAAACTCAACTGTACCTACTGTACAAAAGTATAAATTACTAGCGGCTCACCCTCGTTACGCACGGGTTCGTCCCTAGGAACACTTTAATGGTTAGTATGGAATATATATAGACTATAATATATTATATTACTGCTCCGCTCACTTGGGTAGTAGCATGATGATATGTAGCCTATAGCCTTCCTCAATAAACGGGCTATCTAATGCAAAAACTATTTTTCAAAACGGATAAGTAGTTCCTGAGATAAGCGCGTTCAAACAAACAAACAAACAAACTTTATAATATTAGTAAATTATTATCTCGATCTTATATATCTCTATGTTAAAAAGGTATAATATTTCCACTCTATATAAATTTTGAAAGATATTCTGTCATGTGTAATGTTAATTCTTGCCAAAATATATTGCGATCAAACTGCGGTCACTTGCGGTCATTGTAGGTTGGCTAATTTTTTTTTCTTGCATCTGGTCGTTATTTTTGGATGCAACATTTAAATGTTATTGCCCTTATACAAAAAAGAAAATGCAATTTTGAAAATGAATACTTTTTTTATTTTGGTCCCTAAAATTGAGAATTTTTGGTTTAAGAATGACGATGGTCGATGCAACTACATCACTGGGGAGCGTTGTGGGAACCATGCTCAGTACTTATCTCATATTGACGATTGGAAATACATATTTACTTTTAATAACAGCTGCGCTCAATGTGATAGCGTACGCTTTTACAAATATATGGATTATGGAGTCGTTAACAGGGGCGTTACAGGTGATTAGTATTGTTAACATAATAATAATGTCATATAAAATAAAGTTAATGCATCTTTTAGTTTTAAAAGTTTGTATTTATTTGTATATTAGTTGATTATAAAGCACATATTCAATTAGGTGTATATATATATATATATATATATATATATATATATATATATATATATATATATATATATATATCTTTTTTTATATATATATATAAAGAATATTAATTACCAGCACTGGTATCGGGCTCCCTTGAAAAACAAGTGAAACGGATTCAAACCCTGGGATCTCGCACCTCTGACATTTTCACATGCGAATTCTTTTCGAAATTAATACCTACGTCCTACTGCTTGCTATATCTGAGAAAACCTATCTAGTCCTCAAAAGACATTGAAGTTTATAATCCCGCATTTGTCGAACCATGGGGTCTCCTCACGAACATAGAAAAGTTAATTAAAAAAAAAGTCAATAGATGACGTTACATGTATCGATTGTTATTAAAGTAGTAGCTAACAAAAGGTAAACACTAGATCGCGAAAATGTGTATTATTGTTTAAAAAAATATTCTAAGTGAAGGGAAACGAAATAATGCGCTCGTAAACCATAAAAAGCGTAATTTTACTGATTATTGAAATACCAGCATTCAGGTGACGGGCTTGTAATGCATATTCATAGATGGCGCTTTTACTTTTTTTGAATTGTTCATCACGGTTAAAAATTATTATAATAGCATTTTTTTATTCCAATGCAAGATGAATTTTACAACATTTACCATACGTTAGTTTGCAAATATTTATAAAATAATACCGTTTACTATTTGGCTATCAACGACATCTATTATCTATTCAAGCAAACAAAAATAACCCGAAGAATAGCCCGAATTGGCGATATCCAATTTCTTTGTATGGGATAAAGCACCTGTACTAGTATAGTATTATGTGATCTTTGGCCAAACGTAGTAAACTGTGGCTATTTGGCATTAATGGGAGGCCAATACTCAAGAAAATAAAAAGCTAATTATTATATTTTACTAGCGATTCACCCTCGCTCCACTCTCGTTCGTCTCTAGGGTGGACACCCTTATCACTTAGGGGTATGAAACATAGTTTACGTACTATTCTCAGACCTACTGAATATACACACCAAACATAGGAATCGGTCAAACCATTTCGGAGGAGTTTTGTTACAAACACTGTGGCACGAGAATTTTATATATTAGATATACTATATCCCAACGAAAATAGAGTAAATAACATTAATATGTTTTTCTATCTCTTTCATATCAACAGAATGGAGTATCACGAATCTTCGACTGTTTACTTGTAAAGGAAATGTTTGGCGAATGTTTCAAAGAGCGCCCAAATCACGGAAGGGCACAAATTATTCTATTGTGTTTCATTAGATTGCTATTAGTTATGATTTTATTTGGGACAGTCTCCCTAGAATATTTGTATACGAGGCAAAAATTGCACTGGTCTTTAAGAGATTATACGGAATATTCAGCGACCAGTACCATTGTCGGCTTGGCCGGTGGATTTTTTGGAGCGATCGTATTACAAAAGTGTCTTAATATAGGGGATATTACATTCGCTACCATAGCCATAATAACGTCGACTGTTGATAGCCTAATGAAGCTCTTTGCTGTAGAAAAGTGGCAAATGTACCTAGGTGAGTTTAATGTATCTAAAAATTACAAGTATTTCTTACCTCACTCTGCTGTTATGTGAAAGTTTGTATATGTATGAGTTTGTATGTCTCTTTCACGCTGAAACGGCTGGACGGATTTGGATGAATTTTAGGACACAGGTAAATTATGACCTGGAGTAACACATAGGCTTGGTATGATTTTCTGAAAGTGATTATCTGGTGTAATATTAAAAATATAATAGCCACCTAAAATATATACCTAATGCCCTCAAAATGTATGGGGACGTGTAAATGTAGATAATATAATGTTACACATTTGCATTCACAGCGCAGTGACCTGTCGCCTGACCAGTGACCACTGCAAGCCAGTTTAACACGTTTTAAGTCCCGAATCTTGTTGGTGCATAACTTAAATCAAAACATTTCTGTGCTTATTTTTATTTTCGTATCCATATATTTTAACAAAAGTAGGTAGTTATATAAACTAGCGACTCACCCTCGCTTCGCTCGGGTTCGCCCCTAGCTTGCTTCCCCATACAAACTTTCATCCCTATTTTCATCCCCTTAAGGAATGATTTCTGATATAAAAGTATCCTATGTCCTTCCCAGGGTCTCAAACTATCTTCTTACTAAATTTAATCTTAAATCGGTTCAGTAGATCCAGAGATTACCCCCTACAACGTCACAAACTCACAATCTCACAAACTTTATCTCTTTATAATATTAGTATAGATAAACAATTACTCTCATTCTTATTTTGAATTAATGTCAATTCAAAAATCTATATATATTCAAATACACTATTCCAAGCATTTTATTCAACTTTAATAAAAATTCAGTATGTAAGTAGATATGTATAACACTTGATAAGTGGTAGTTATATTTGGATTTTTTATTTTAGGCTCCAGTATATCGATGTTTAGAGGCCTTCACGGCCCTTTGATAAGGTCGTTTTTAAAAAAAACACTTCCACTAGAGGATATATCCAAAGTGTTCTTCTTAGTATGCATGGTAGAGAGCATCGGCCCACTGGTAGCTCCTGTGCTATTTAACTCGGTCTACGCCATGACTTTAGCGATTTTCCCTGGGGCTATATATGTATTGAGTACTGTCATGTTCGCATCGTGCTTGGTTATGTTAGGGTGAGTATATATAAAATTAAAATAAATATGTTGGAACATTAACACACAGCACCATCTAGTTCCATGGTAAGCTACGAGGCCTGTGTTATGGATACCAGATAGTAAATACACTACAAATATATGACTTTAAATACCTACATATTATAAATAAATACAAACACCCATGACTGGAGTACAAACATTCGTGTTTATCACACAAACGAATGCCCCCAGCGGCACTCGAACCCGCGACCGCTAGCGCAACAAGTAGGGTCACTACAAGCTGAACTAAAAGTGTCGTCGTATGATAAATATTATGTAATAATTATGTAACTACCTATGTTTGTTTAGTTATCAGATAAAATAAAATGTAAGTAGATATATATCCTCCATTCTACGTGACATTGTCTGAGTAATCTGTGTTCGATTGGCTTATTTTAAAACCATTAACAGGAGAATTGAATTGAATTAAAATTTAATTTTATTAGAAGAAAGGATGAACATTTTGTACATAGTTTGTACTGATTGGTAATTTTTACGCGAATGAACTATTATCATGTTAAAGTAACAAGCCTGCGGCTCCGCCCGCGTTGAGCAAAAACCAAATTCTTAGGTTTTACATATTAGTATACTCTTACATTGCAGTTTTGGTATTTTTTCTCAGAAATGAGACATTTCCCGATAAATAAGATAGATTTTGTATCACTATATCATTGTTTAATAATACCTATGTAGTATTCTTATTAACTTTAGCTGTTTAGTTATAAAAGGAAAATTAAACATAATTGCTGCAATTAATTTCATTAGTAACGCGAAACTTTCCATGGTATTTTTTTTAAATATGTATGTACGGTTATACCTAGCTAGTAACTGTATCTATCAATATGGATACTATCTATTCTATATTTTTATCACACTATTATAATTTCAATTTGTGAGCATGTGTGTATTTATTTGTTAACCGACTTCCAATTCCAAAAAGGTGGAGGTTCTCAATTCGTCGGAGTCTTTTTTTTATGTATGTTCACCGATTACTCGAAGACGCCTGAACCGATTTGGAAAATTTTTATTTTGTTTCAAAGGGTATACTTCACAGGTGGTCCCATATAAATTTTATCGAAATCGGTCGAGCGGTTTTTAAAAAAAAATCAACAATAAATATTTTTTTAAATAAATTGTTTCATCGAATATGTTTACTAAAAAACTTTGTTCTAACCAATTACCTGCTTATTACGTCTACACTAAAAATGCAAAAATAAAAACTTTTTAATAAAAAATAAAACCGACTTCCAGGCACTAAAATGTAAAAAATAACTAAACGGAGGTTTTCAATTAGAATAGATACGTAATCAGATATTTTTGAAGTCGGTGCCAGCCTACAATATGGAACTGTGGGACGTCACTCCCACATTCTTAACAACTCAAAACCCTCTCCACTGTGTGTGTTTTATATACTTTCCCATGATACACACACCCTTACCCATTCACTCACACGTACCCTTTCTGGGGAATGCTAAAATAATCTAAATCGGTAAAGAATGTGCGATTATGCACACCGAAGAGGTTTTTCTTAGTTTTTCATATATAAAATGGCGGTTGCACCAATTTTCGTTATAATATTCGTGATTAGATCAAAAAAAAGAAAGAAAAAAGTACAGATCGATCGGCGATATAGGCTTTTCGGAAGTACACCACTTTTCTCTTCATAATATTAAAAAAAATGTTATTTAACCTACTACGATATATATTTTTTTATGCCCATTGCAGATTTGTGCAGTATTATAGCAGGAATAGAGAGTCGGTAAACTATCTGCCAATCGACAATTCTACCGGTATGTATATTTAAAAATATATAGTTTTAATTATTTTATTTGCCACCCTTGCAGATTATAGAATGGGATTAGAAATGACGGCATGGCGTGCCAGCATATCACGTTTACTCCATGTATTTAGCCCATTTTAACATCCCGCTGTTGGGCACGGGCACCCTTTACTACAAGTAGTTTACCGTATTGCGGATTGGCGGACTTCACATGTCTTTCGAAAACTTGCTAGGTTCTCTCAGACACGCATGTTTCCTCACGATGTTTTTCCTTCACCGTAAGACAAGTGGTAATCATGTTGGAAATAATTCGAACATGAAAATATCAGAGGTGCGAGACCCGAGATTTGAACCCGCTTCACTCGGTTTCCCAAGCGAGCGCGTTACCACTGGACTACTATTGTTTTTAATCGATATGTTTCGATAATAATGTTGTAAGAGTAAATTCACATATGTATGTGTTACTATTTTGTATTCATATAATGTTATTTTATAAAAAATGATGATGTTGGAATTAGACGACATTTGGAAATATTTCTAATCATTGACAAAATTTAGAAAATACGATTAATTTTTTGAGATGCAATAACAGTTTTTCTGTATAGTTAATTCAAAAGTCATGGCCATGAGAAAAAAATAATATTAAATGTGATAAAATTAAATATTTTTACCGGCGAGTGCGAGTAAAGACGGGGATAGTGTGTATGCTAGAGAAGTGATTATACTCAACGCCATTTAAAAACCCATTCCTTATATTAGTTACAACGGTAATAATAAATGCGAAAGTATGTATGTGTGTGTGTATCAATCAGGCAGTTGTTGCCCAGTGGTAACTTATCAGCTTGAAAAAAATCAAGTGAAATAGGTTCAAATCCCGGGACATGCATCTTTAATATATTTACATATTATTCATTTCCAATACGATTACCATTTGTCTTACGGTGAAGGAAAACATCGTGAGGAAACCTGCATGTATAAGAGAACCTAGCAAGTTTTTAAAACATGAAATAAGGAGTTCGCTTGCCGCGCTTAAGCCTAGTTCGCATTAAGCTAGTATTTTAGTCTAGTAGCGAGTAATTTAGTAACTAAACGTGTCTGAACACTAAAAATTTAGTCGATTAGTTTAGTAAGTAATTTAGTCGAGTCAATCCATTTTATTCTATTTTTTTGGTGAGTAGCAGCCCCCACCACGCGTCCGAGCTCACTAGTTCACCGGCTAAACAAGTACGAACCTGTCGAATTAGTCGAGTTCATTAGTTGCCGCCATAATGTCGTTTCGCTGGAGCGAAGAAATGACTTTTAAATTTGTTTCGAAATATGTTGAACACGAATGCTTGTGGAATATTAGGTCCTTGCATTATAAAAACAAGCATATGAAACATACCGCATACTTAGATTTGGAAAAAATAATGAATATACCCGGATTTGGCGAAAATTAAAAATTACGATCAGCTTAATCAGTTTATTTACGCGTTATTATTGCGTTGTAGGCTATTATTTATTGCGTTGTAGGCTGTTCATCTTGCAAAACACCACTCACTTGTAAACTGTACTCGACCAAAGTGCGAACGATTTTTGGTGAGTAGCGAGTAATTTAGCTACTAAATTACTCGCTACTAGACTAAAATACTAGCTTAATGCGAACTAGGCTTTAGGCAAGTGCTAGCTTGGACTATGGCCTGATCCCCCTTTTAGTAGAGGAAGTCCCGTGCCCAGCAGTGGGAAAGGCCTTAATTACTATTATTTATTCTTTATGAGGTTTAACATTCATTTATTTCTCAAAAGAATACGATTTACTTACTGAGAAACATCAGTTTTTCAGTAAGTGAATTGTAATATAATATTAATGTAACATTGTAAACGGGCAGCTAATATTTATATAAAAAATAAAATATATATTTGCGGGTAAAACAAACTATTTTATGGATTAGAACTCGGAATAAGAATACTGGCTTTAAGTATAAAATTTTAATTCTTTATCTGCACAAGATATTAGTATAGATTTCTCCTTTCAGATACTTAATTGTTTACGACCGGCTGTTGCGTAAGTGATGTTATTGCGTTTCCGATTCTACATAAATATTTCATTAATTATCAAGAAGATTACTCGTACAAGGTTTTAAATCATATAAAATTTTATTTTGGAAAGACTCCTTCAACCTTCTAGCTCAAAATCTAATAAGCTTCAACTGGGCCTTTATGTATTATTCTTATTATATTTTGATATTTTTACAAACACAACAATTTACTCATATATTTTTACTCAAGGACTTCTCATTCAAATTAAAATAAGTATATACCTACATTTTATTATTATCATGACTTACGATCAACATTTTATTTTTAGATTACATATTATTAAGATCATAGTATTATTATTACTGGTGTGGTGTTATATTTTTTTGTTTTATTGATGTATTTTGAAGTTTTTTTTTAATTTGATAATTAAGTATTATTATAGTAGATAATTAAAATGTCTGCTATTTTTTAAACAGCTGTGATATTTAGGATTATTTAACGTGATATAAGTGTCCTGTAACAATGAACTAATAAAATTTTAACCCAAAGATAAAACAATCTAATCGAATAAGTTTAGAAATAGAAGTTTTACCATTACATGAATTAAGAGTGTAATTGTTAGTTTGAAATATTTAGAAACTAAGTATACGTCATAGATAGAACTTAGATGTGTAAAAATTCTAAGATTTTTATTTCTTCTATCTGTATAGAGCTCTGCATATCTTTGAAGCCACAAGCTCTAATATTTACTAATATTTCGATTTCAAAGCTTATTTGTTAAGATTGCACAGTATCGAGTAAGGAAATCTATTCGACATTTATAAGATGAATTTATTGTTTTTTTTTTTATAAATTTATATAGGTTAATAAATGTTTCTATATATAAATACTTTGTTTTTTCATTTGCATATTGAAAATATCAATCGACACTAATCGTTTATTAGAACAGGTTTTTATGTTTTGAGGAGGGGATATGTAAATTGGTTAAATGACCCTTTGCATTTCGAACACGAATGAAGTTTTAGGTAACTTTTAATAAAACCATAGCGTTCCAATCTCGATCAAAATCAAAAAAATAATATTATTAGAATTTTCAAAGTCAAGTCGTCCTTCAAATATCTGCTTACCTGATTAAGAGATTTTGTATTAAATATTTAATAGGCAGGTACATTAACGTTTATATCGGAGACCTAATGAAATATGGTCAAGGTTACTTAGAAAACATATAATTTTTTAATAAAAAGAATAAAACTATTCTATGTCCTTCCAGGGTCTCAAACTATATCTTCACATCAAATTTCATCTAATCTGCTTTAGATCAGCGGATTTTTAGTTTATCCGTTACAAATAAAAATTCATTATTTTTTCTCTTTATAATATTTATAAAGATTTTACACTATTTTGGTATACAGAATTAAAAAAAACAGTGTCACATTGAAATGGTTTATTCATAAAGTAAACGAAACAAGCGCCTTACAAACTAAAATTTGTCTTATGTTATTATGTAATACATAGTTACACATTTGTACTTTTGGCATCCAACTCAGGACGTTTGTTTATAGGACTTGGTATGTTATAGCTCCTTTACATTATGTTGTACCCTGCTCAGTAGTCCGTGTAGATAGATCGCTTTTGAGTTATAATAATAACACCTCTGGTGTTTAACAGAAATAAGTCAAACTATTCTACTTATAATAATCATCACAGTTTTTATATGTTAAATTGTTTGTTTGTACATTTACATATATAAATGAAAAATAATATTTTTTTTTATAATAAACTTATAATGCGTGCATGACGCTTAATTTCAATGCAATGCGATGTTTTAGTTAGTGTGAGATGATGTGAGATTCTCTATCTATTAAAAATATAAAATTTAACATTAAACGTGTCACTTGCAATGTATAAGATGTAAAAAAAACGTCTAACAAAGTATAGACTTAACATTATGTGTAACTATGTTAAAATTTAAACTGAGCAACTTCAATAAACATCACAGATTTGCATAAAATATCGCTTCAAAAAAAGATTCTTTTAAAACAATCTCAAATCGGATGCGACAATTTATAGAAAGAAAAAAAAATTAAATCAACACACTTAAAAGTAAAAAGAAAACAAATCTTCCATGAGTAATATAGAACTAAGATAATAAGTACAACTAAATGGTTATTTTTTTAATCAAAGATGTTGTGCAACAAAGTTATAAATGATGGAGCACTTCGCAATTCAATTAGAACTTACCGTTAACTCTTATCCTACAATACTTGTCACAGATAAACAGTCTTCTAGAAGGTTTAGGGGTACACTTACTGGTAGTGGCACATTATTAATTAACATACAAAAACTATATTAACATATTTGTACCTGCGTTTTTATTATAATATATATATATATATATATACATACAAAATAACATAATTGTTCTCATGTGTATCTTAAGTCACTATATATTTTGAATTTTCCCTCAGTCAGTTAAGTCTAGGCAGAGTTCTACAACTTAAAACTAACAATATTTTTAAAACATAGCAAAAAATAGTTAAGTAATTCGACATTGACTGTTCATATTACATTATAATTTTTTGTGATATGTAATATCATGCTACAGTGACAAAAAGTATAGAAATGGCATTCGTAAATTAAAAATGTGCCACTACACATACATAGATTTGAATCAAAAATAGTATCTATGTATTTTCATACACTTATTTAACTGCAGACATGTATTTTCTACAAAAGCGCAATATTTTCTTTTACATTGTAAGGGGAACACCTATCAATCATACAAAATTCACTGGGAAATGTCACATCAATAGTTTATTTTATTTAAAGGACTCAAAATATATGTGCAAATCAATAAAGTATATAACTACGTCACATAGATTCTATATATAAGGTAGACACCGACTGTTGCACCATTTATATCCCAAAGATGGTATTGTAAGGGGGAGATGGGGGATTATTCTAACATGTTACATTTAGATTTAAAATCACAATATTGTCACTTCCCACAGTCTATAGCACAATATAAAGTACTGCGGGTACACATATTATATCAAGAAGTCCATTGTATTTACCACTCCTCCTCCGGCTCCTGGCCTTGATCCACTGGTGTGCTTGTGTTATTGAAATTCTGAAATTAAATGTATTATTAAGAATATTAGTAAATTTAAAGAATGGTTTTTTAACTCTCATATGTTACATACATGCAGATGAATTTTAAAACACTGGGTGTGTTATATTAAATACTAGCATTGCCCGCGGCTCCGCACGGGTTCAGATGACCAAAAACCAAATTTTAAGGTTTTACATATTAGTACTCTTACATTGCAGTTTTTGGTTTTTTTTCTCAGAAATGAGATATTTTCCCGCGGTAAAAAGTATCCTATATGCTGACCCGAATAACCAGCTATCATCATACCAGATTTTATCAAAATTCCTTCAGTGGTTTTCCCGTGATGCGGTAACAGACATACAGACAAAAATTCTAAAAACTATAGATTCGGCCTCTGTATTGGTAATGTTTATTTCAATAAGATTTTCCAAAAAATATTTAATATATAGATTCGGCTAAGTTTAATTTTATTATATGTTTAGATTTGTATATACATAGATATTAATAGTGGTCAGTAAATGAGATGTTAAATTGAGATAGAATTCAGAATTGTTTTCATTTAAGAGAATAGAGAGGGTCATTTTATATTTCTCTGTCTATTTTACACCTTAACAATTATTATTAATATACAACTTAACTGTCCGAAAAATAGACACAGTAGTTAAACAATCGAAAGGTTCATATATGACTCATGGGACTGGGAAATGATTAAGTCATAATCACATGGTACTAAAAAGAATGCAATAGCCTACATTATACATACCTGATTTATTAATGTCCTCTATTTAGCAGAATAAGTAAGCAAAAACAAAATGGTCAAATATTTATTCATATTTCCCATACAAAAAATATTTTAATATTAAAAATATTTTGTACATAAAGATATCTAATTTAAATAAAATATCATTTCGTTAATATTAAATTTAGTGGAACAAATTACAATGAATTTACCATATATAGATGAACTAGTTAAGTAGTATCAATATAAAATACACAATTTATTGAATGTAAAAGAAAAAATCCTTTCACATGTTTTTAACATGATAATAACAATTATTTATTATATTCAATGATTTTTATGCTTACAGTACAGTACACAAATATTTTGTTTGTTGATTATTTTAAAATTATCACAAATTACCTATATATTTAACAAAATACTCACCCTAATATCACTGCCGCCATATTTATTATCCTTGTATGTAGCAGTGCCGCCGCCCTTCAGGAAATCGGGCACGGGCTGGTCCGCTTGACGCAGGATCTTTGCCAAATCCGCTACTAGAGCTACATCCTGTTTCAGTGAATTATATAAACATTATTTATTACGCAACAATTTCTTAATAACGTTAATAAAAAATATTATATTAATTACCAAGTAAATATTATCTAAAATTATTCTAAAATAAGTGACAGAGAAAAAAATAATAAAAAAGAAGTTGGCTTCTTAGTATGCATTTATGCTGGAAAGAACAGAACAAACAGTATCCAAGAGTGGGACTGAGAAATCCTACCATTTCATTTGTAGGAAGGACAATGTGACCATTCAATTATACATAAGCGTAATAATAAATGTTAAATACTATGAAAATCAACCGGTTATTAATAAATTTGATGATATTGTTAATTTAACAAGTTCGGAGAGAAGAGAGAGAAGAGAATAGAGAAAGAGAGAGAGACAGAAATGTAAAACAACTTGTTAATAATAAATTTGAGACAGCTATTTTAACATGTTCCATATCAATCCACAATTGTATCTACCACTATCAAATTTTTGTAGAAAAAATAGTTGGGCGTCTCGTCAAAACGAAGCTACTCGTGAAGTTTCAGTATGTTATTAATTAATATTATTATGAAAAACCCGTGTGGTACTGTAGACTATAATAAAAGAGTGTTAAAAATTACCTGATCTGAATCAAAGAAGGACACAGCCTTCCCGCGGTTGCCGACGCGGCCGGTACGCCCGATCCGATGCACGTATTCGTCTATGCTCTTTGGCAAATCGTAGTTCACTACGATGTCTACATTCTTTATATCTGGAATAAACATTTACATGTAACTAAATAATTTTAACTTTTTAAGTCACATTGCTGGGTATTAGAATATTTAATATCAAGTGGGAATAAGTGTATAGTCCACCAAACAGGCAAATACGGGATGGCATACTTAATAAGCCTAGGTTTTCCGCGACATTCTATGCATTTAACGCCGTATTGTTTTAATGTCATGTTTGCGTAAACCTATTTTTGTGATAGCAAGTTATTTTAATACTGGGCACAAAGGGAATCTTTTCAAAAAAAAAGTAAAGCCGCATTACGCTTGTACTGTTGTGCTTACAAATTACATAAGGACATATTAGATTTGTTGGTATCTAATAAATAATGTCCCAAGTGTGTCTGTATGTTATTCCTTTGCATTAAACAGCTGAACAGATTTGAATAAAATTTAGTATACAGATATGTAATGACCTGGAGCTGCTGTTAAGAACCTAGACGAGTATCCGAGCGAACCCAGGGCAAGTCGCTAGTAATACACATAAGCAATTTATGAACCTCCTGGCTCCCGCAACACAGTTTTTAACAAGCGCAGGGGCTAGGGAAATCATTATCACCTGTGTATGTATAAAACTATGTCCATAAAGAGCTTATTATTATTATTAATGTGCAATTATTAACAATACCAAGTCCTCTGGCAGCGACAGCAGTAGCGACCAGTATACAATGTCTGCCACTTTTGAAGTTCTCCAGAGCCTCCTCTCTCTCCTTCTGCATGCGGTCGCCGTGTATAGAGGACGTGAGCATCTGCTGTTGCGAGAGGAGCGCCGCTATGAAGTCCGCGTTGCGTTTCGTTTCCACAAATACTAGCACCCGTTTGCCATCTGGTGATAAATTATAAAATGAATAAGTTTATCGGTGACCAAGTTAATAACAAATAATTGTAGAAATATGGTTATTACTTTTTCTTAATATTACAACTATAATAACTATATATCAGCAATAAATAACATTTATATCAAACAATTTAAGAAAGCAATTTTAATTTTCTCGCTGGTTCTTCTCAGCAGAACTGTTTTCCAAGCTGATTGTCATCATGTCTCACATACATACTAATATTTTATTTGAATAAAATATATTTTAATTTAATTATTATTTGTTTTTTAAATTTCCATGACTAGTGTGTTAAACACTAATCAAAACCCAAACAGCACAACAAAAACCATGATGCTCCTGTGCACTGCGGATTAATACGCGGTAGTTAATTACACATACAATTATTATGCATCTATTAAAGTCAAATAAGATATCGCCAACTTGCGTTGATAATATTGTATGAAAACATCAGTGATATTTTGATTATTAGGAATGCGAAATTTTGTATGTGTGTATGTTTGTTACTTCTTCATGCTGAAATGACTGAATTTAGATGAAATTTACTACATAGTTAACACTGAATTGGAATAACACTTATCTATTACTACACTACTATTGTCAGATACCACCGAGCGATACCGAGAAAAGCGAGGGTAAGCCACTAGTATAGCTAATTATTATCTATACTATAATATTATAAAGAGGTAAAGTTTGTGAGTTTGTGAGATTTTTAGGGGGTAATCTCTGGATCTACTGAACCGATTTAGATGAAATTTGGTAAGAAGATGGGATGAACCCAGGCGAAGCGAGGGTGAGTCGCTTGTTATTAATCAATTACTTAATTTAGAAAATCATATCAGTCTCTTTTCATGTCCAACAATAAATTTCGTATAATATCGTAATAAATCACTCACCATTATCCTCGATCAACTTAGTAAGCATATTCTGCTTCTCATATTTAGTGACCTGGTGGAATATCTGTTCCACATCCGTACTGGCACCACCCACTACTCCCACAGCCACAAATAGGTAGTTGTTGAGGAACCGGCCAGCTAAGTGCTGGATATCCTCGGGGAATGTTGCTGAGAACATCAGGGTCTGGCGATCCGTCTGTTTAGAATTTTATTATACATTATATTACATATTTCATAAATAAAGTGATTTTTAACCTTTAACATAAATTGACTAAATTTAATATTGACACTAATTAAACTAAAACAAGTCTTTTCTTTCAAATTTAAATTTGTTGGTCTAGTTATAGACCAGGGTAAAAGCCTTTAAAAATAATAAAGTGAAAAAAAAAAAAATAGTAGGATGCAACCCATTAGAAAAGGAGGGGAATATTATAAAAATGAAAGGAAAAATAATTTACGGGCTATCTGAGGTCGGGAAGGGGATGGGGGTCCGTTTTTAAGGGTAAAAAACGGGTTTTCTCGATTTGCGGCAAAACTAAAAGTCTTATCGAAAAAAGTCATATGGCAAAGTTGTAGGTAATAAAAAGATCTAAAACATTTGTATTTACACTTTTTTCACATAACCTCAAAATTTATGTGAAAAAATCAAAAAACCAAGTTTTTGGTTTTTTATTTTTATCTTTTACAAAAAAAAACAATTTTTTTAACGAAATTTGGTGAAAACATACCTTTTTATGTCCCAAATACGCTGTAATTTATTTGATTAAAAATATTTATTTTTTCACCTTATTTTGAATTAATATCGAAAAAGCACCCTCATTTTCAATCGAAAATTCACCCGTCAAAATATCAGCTTTTTTCAAAAACTTGGTATGTTTTCTATTCGTTGAAATCTCTACTTTCCGATGGTGAAAAAAAATTATATGTTACTATAGTAAATCTTCTGAGAAAATGCAAAAAACAAAAAACTTTTTTTATTTAATACACTTGCTTATCATCTGCCTTATTGCAGATGATACAAACAGATTCATGCATACTGATAATCTGAAAAGACAAAATCGAATTAATAATGCCTTCACTATTTTATCGTGAGTATTTGTATAGTTATTGTATAAATATATAAAAAATATGTATAGTAAATATATTTTTAATAACTAACTTTTGGCCGATTTTCATGTATATTTCATATACTTTATTATAGATTTTTAATATATTTATAATATATTTTTTATACATTTTGACATTTATTTCTTTAATATTTTTAATTCGATTTTGTCTTTTTAGATTATCAGTATGGATGAACCTGTTTGTATCATCTGCAATAAGGCAGATGATAAGCAAGTGTATGAAATAAAAAAGGTTTTTGGTTTTTGCATTTTCTCAGAAGATTTACTATAGTAACATATAATTTTTTTTCACCATCGGAAAGTAGAGATTTCAACGAACAGAAAACATACCAACTTTTTGAAAAAAGCTGATATTTTGACGGGTGAATTTTCGATTGAAAATGAGGGTGCTTTTTCGATATTAATTCAAAATAAGGTGAAAAAATAAATATTTTTAATCAAATAAATTACAGCGTATTTGGGACATAAAAAGGTATGTTTTCACCAAATTTCGTTAAAAAATTTTTTTTTTGTAAAAGATAAAAATAAAAAACCAAAAACTTGGTTTTTTGATTTTTTCACATAAATTTTGAGGTTATGTGAAAAAAGTGTAAATACAAAAGTTTTAGATCTTTTTATTACCTACAACTTTGCTATATGACTTTTTTCGATAAGACTTTTAGTTTTGCCGCAAATCGAGAAAACCCGTTTTTTACCCTTAAAAACGGACCCCCATCCCCTTCCCGACCTCAGATCGCCCGTAAATTATTTTTCCTTTCATTTTTATAATATTCCCCTCCTTTTCTAATGGGTTGCATCCTACTATTATTTACTTTGGTTTTAAAAATTATCGACCCTGGTCTATTAGTGACAAGTTAATAATCAAAACTAAATTAAAAAAAAAACCCAAGATTTTTTCTATTTTTCCAAAAAACTTAATTTCAATTGCCTTCAAAATAAATATATTCTGCTGTACTCACAAGCGCTACCATAGTGGGGTGCTCCATCATCTTCTCCACACTGGACATGAAGCCCATGTCGAGCATGCGGTCTGCCTCATCCAGTACCACGAAGCGAATGCTCTCGAAGGAGACGCGGCTGCGCTCTACGAAGTCGAACAAACGTCCTGGCGTGGCCACTAGGATGTGACATCCTCTCTGTGACATTGTAAAATGTGTAATTAATATAAAAAATAGCAGATTTGTAAATTGAATAATAATTCTATACAATGCCACTTATGTGTTCATACTTTAAATCAAAACAAATCAAAATATAATTTATTTAAATAGACTTTTACAAGTACTTTTGAATTGTCACTTGATACAATTGTAACATTTAAATTAAATGTCAGTCCATGAGGAATCTATCACCAGCTCCAAAGCCTTTTCTAATGAGAAGAGCCATCGAGAAACTCAATAGTTCTGATATACTTCGTTTATATTAGATTGATAAACATATTGTGTATGAATTGTTGTTAAAAATACCATATTGTTATGAGTATGAGTTATTAAATATATAATTTTATACAAATAAAATAATGAAAACAATACAAAATTTTGATATCTATATTAATGATATGGCACTTACGGATATATTATCGCCTTGATGACGCACAGCGGTGCCCCCATAGGCAACTGCGATTTTAATCACTGAACCATACGAAAATTTCCTAGCTTCATTAAATATTTGCAAAGTCAATTCTCGAGTAGGTGCCACGATAATGACCTGAAAAATATAATTTTATTACCTATATATAAATATAGTAATATGAATAAAAAACTCAGCTATAAGAGTAATTATCACGTATGAAAGGGACTATAAAGTTGTTAATAAAATTCATAAACAAACCTGTGGTTGTGCGCATCCGTTTGGTCCAATAACTAACTCTCGGGAGTCTTGTAAAAGTGTGTTAATAATAGGCAGAAGGAACGCCGCCTAAAATTGAAGAAAAAATATTTATTAAATAACATAAAACTTAATATAATTTTGAAAAGATGTAGAAAATCGCAAAGCCAGCCTCATAAGTTGTCTGTGAGAAATCCCTTAGTCAAATGGCTATTATTATATAAAAATAGTTTGTACCACAGCTCTACTCTCGTGGTAAGCACGTCGTTGTAAACTAGTAATGTATTAATCCAATTTATAAATGCAGGATCCGGGAATGCAAATAAAAGCACTTAATGGACTATTAATTATTCTGTTAAAATTACAGAAAACAATATATATGCATGTCTTGCTTTTGTGAAAGAACTGTATTGCAGATTATTTGAAAATATCCCTCATATAACGTATTGTAAACGCCAGAATTAGTAACAGTAGCTCCACTGTACACAACAAACTCGACAAGTCGGTTTAAAGTCAAGACAATAAAAAAAATCATAGAAAATGTACATGACGTTCTAGCAAAAAAATCAAGGGCAATATTAAAAAAGGTGTCGCAGTTGTTTGAAACATTTTTAAGTTTACCTTAGAATTATAAGATTTTGCTGGCAAAAAACTGAATTTATGATCATGAGAATTTAATATACAAATCGTTATTGACTATAATTAACATTATAGATGTTAAAATTTGAAACTAAATATGTTCAATAAATGTTGATTTTTACTGAACTTTTTATTGGTACATATCGCCAAAGATTAATCTAATTTTATTCTGTACCGGGACTTCGTCGTGGGTGGTCTCGTGTCCCGGAACTTTGAAAATGGGGAGACTTCCCAAACCCTAATAAGTAACCAACTCCATCGTAAACTACCGTCAACTTAATATTAGCCTAATTACTGAATAATTCCTATGCAATTATAATATCTATTATGACTATTAATACTACCACTTACAGTTTTCCCAGAGCCAGTCTGAGCACATCCCATCAGATCCCTGCCTGCCATGATGATGGGTATGGCGTGTTTCTGGATGGGCGTGGGCTTCTTGTAGCCGGACTTTAGAATGTTGTCCAGCACGTATTTCCGTAGATTCGCAGATTCGAAGCTATCTATTGCATTTGGCGGATTCTCTCCAGTCACCTGTTTGTAAAATCAATACATATGTATATGGCAAAGATAGCTTTTTTTAAAATTCCTTTATGTTAATAAATGTAAAACAATGGTTTTTTTATGTGTAATACAAGTAATATAACATGTATTAATTAAAAAAAAGATACTATTTAGTACTTAGTCAATATAAATGTAACAAAAATTACCTTCACAGCAATACAATCGAATTTGTCAAAATTAATCCCAGAGCTGATGCTGCTACTGAATATTTCCGTTTCATTGGTGGTAGGTTCTGGAGGTACATATGTTACTGGAGGTTTCTTTGTTTCTTCGTCGCCATTAATGGCTTCACCCTCATCACCCGAGTGTCGGGAACCCCCTCGACCCCCGCGCCCTCTACCACCTCTACCTCCTCGACCGCGTTCGCCTCTTTCTGGCCGGTCCCCTCTATCCCGGTCTCCTCTATCCCATTCGTAATTATTCTCATCTAGGCAAAAGACAATAATACATTATAATGAATTAAGGTTTAAATCATAGTTGCAAAAAAAATCTAACGAATTTATTATTTATTAACGAAGAAACATATTATAATGCAGTAGGAGACATACATGTTTTATACTAGATTGTCTATAATACATATAATAAAATTGTAACTAAGCCGAATCTGTACATTAGAGATTTTTTGGAAAATCTTATTGAAATAAACATTATTATCGATACAGAGGCCGAATCTATAGTTTTTAGAATTTTTGTCTGTCTGTCTGTTACTGCATCACAGAAAAACCACTGGAGTGATTTTAATGAAATTTAGTATAGTGATTGTTGGTTATCCGGGTCAACATATAGGATACTTTTTACCGCGGGAAAATATGTCATTTTTGAGAAAAAATACAAAAACTGTAATGTAAGAGTATACTAATATGTAAAACCTAAGAATTTGGTTATTGGTCATCTGAACGCAAGCGAAGCCGCGGGCAATTCTTGTAATATATATTCCTGGCATAATACTATTATATAAAAAGGTAAAATTTGTTTGTAATAACGTATATGATTGTGTATTTTCGCCGAGCTGTAGCGTTTTTTTAGCAAGTCTAAAAAAATACTACATCATTTTAAACTAGTAAATTCAAAAAAAAACTTAAGAGACAATAGTTTCTTAATGTTAAAAATGATGTGTTTACAATACAAATCCAGACTGTAGCAACATAGAATGCACGCACATGTTTTTTTATCTAAGCAATGGTACACTAAGTAAGCTTTTTGTGTTTGTAATCCTCTTATGTTTTTACTCCCCTACAAAGTAATCACTTGACACATAAATTTCGACCAATGAAAAACAGATGGTTGTTTTAAAAGTGTTGAAATATAATACACAAGTGTTAAAATTGCCAAATATTTAGTTAAATAATTTAAGTGGGTCTCAAATTCAAGTCTCACTTAAAGAATGTTTTACAGAGTGATTTTTTAAAATAACTTGTCTTGTGTCTATCACAAAAAGGGCACTGTTTTACCACTTATGTGACTTAACTTTATGCATTAGTTTCTTCTTTTAATCTAATGATCATGGAAAAATCCTACTTAATATTAATTTCCAGAGCAAGTTGCATATCATCAAACTACTGTTATGGAGCATTAAAAATATGCTTTTCATAGTTTTAAGACATTAAACATACAAACAAACAATCAAATATACTAGCATATTATATCTATGTTAGAAGCTAGATATAACATGGAATTTTATTTTAAAAATTAGTTTGGGGATTCATGTATAATGTTTATTTTTTAAACTTAAGCATAGTATTCTAATTGCAGAATCTGTCAGTTAATACTTTTTCCATTACAACAACATATTCTTGTATGGATTATATGGATAATCCCCTTTAGCATTGATGTAACATGTAATGTAGGATTTACATAATATAATAGTTTTAATTAAATTATTAGTTATCTAAATTGAGATATTTAAAGCATATATGTTTTGATGAAAGTTATTAAAGTTTTAGATTCTTAAGTAATAAGCAGCATTGAAACATAATTTTTATATAGGTATTTTTTATAAATTAAGATTGGGTCCGACGATCCCATAAATAAATCAATGTCAAACTGGATAAATGTAAGTCAGATCCTTGATAGGCTACAATCATTATTCATTATAAAATGTTGGGATCAATATCCCAATTATCATTAACATTTAACAATGTAAAGATTTATCAAGATATGCGGTATCCTTATCAGCATTAAACCAATTTTTGTAATGTTAAAACTTACTAATATCAACTATCACACTTTTAATAGTTGATATTAGTATTCAAATTTTACTAAGGACTGGTTCAATACTACTTTATAACTTTGGATAATGCAATATCTGTATTATATAAAGAGGTAAAGATAAAGCAGTTCAGTATGAACTTTTTTTTCTCTAATTATGTCAACAGATTTTTTATTTTTATTTTTGTTTAGTAGCTGTTGACAAGCTTTAGTGTTATAAATAAAAAAAAAGGTTTTTTTTATCAATACGTGAATAATTGTAATGTTTTTCTCAAAATTTGAATAATGATTATTTATGGCCGAATTTAGACCACAAAGCAAATATTACTTATCCATTCTCATTTCCATAAAATGGCATAAATGATGAATAAATAAAAACAAATAGTATGTAATAGTTTAGTTATAGTTAAATCCTTGGTTAAACTATTATTAAACAATTTTGGTTACAAATATATTAATGTATATTTTATACTTTAGTGTTTTATACTGTATCTATAAAATATAAAGTTTATTACATAATATAATATGAGTAACTTATTAGTTAAATTATTATTAAAAAGTAAAGTTAGTCTAAGCAACAAAATGTTTATTTGTTTTATGTAGAAAAACTAAAATGATATTAATAGTAACACTACCTATAAGACAGATCCCTCAAAGTTAGTAATAAAAATTTTTTAGGGTGGCGAGTAATTAACCACAAGCATTTCAAATACCTACATCTATATCTCAATCACTTAATAGGATAATACAGACTCATATAGGTATATTTACATACAACAAAAGTTTATTACATCAAAAGTGACAATAACATGCTATTGGTGATAGGAAAAGACAAATGTAATTAAATAATGTTAACTTACCATTATCATTATCTCCCCTATCTCTCGCACCGCCTCTGCCTCCGCGACCACCTCGACCCCGACCTCCTCCTCTACCACCGCCGCGACCACGACGCTCACCATAACCATTGCTACCAACTTTATTAAAGTCTGCAATTTTATACATTTGTTTAGTATACAAATAACAAAGCATAACTTTGTTATTGAGAAAAAAAATAGGATATTTTTTCAAATCAATTTTCGTTTTTATTATCTAGGAAGTTTTTCTTGAATGTATCTTAAATTCGAAATTCATCAAAGGATAGGAAAAAATATTTTTTCTATAACGAAATCCCCTTCTTTACTTATTATAAACTGTTATGGGTATTTATAAAAAACAAAAACACAATGGGTACTATATTACTTACCATTACTTTCTTCTATAAAAGTTGGGAACCCTCTACCCCTTGACAAGCTATGGCCTTCATCAATATTATCATTTCCATAGTTTGTGTTTGAAGGAGGTTGTACAACCTAAAAATATAGGTTAAAAAAAAGTACATGTATGATACACACATACAAATAAATAATATACTTAATTGTTTATTATTAATCTAGCTCAGATACCACACCACTAGTAAATTAAGTAAGAGTTTGTGAAATGATGATCACGATTCTCCTTTTCCAACTAATCTCATGCCGGACAAAAGCGTCTGTACAGATTTGAATGATAAAAATATGAGATAAAATACTTACAACATCACAAGAGTCGTCCCAGTCATCGTCCATCTAAAAAAAATTAAAAGTTATAATAGGCAATGGTATAAGCATTTCAATTAGGTATAAATTTCAATTATAAAGCATTTCAAGAAATAATGATTTGCTGCACTCAACACATCTTTATCTTATTGTCGTACTACCCTACAATTGTTAATATCATTTACATGAATATATATATTGTATAATAACTAAATTCGGTTTACATAACAATATTACTTTATCAAGAAAAACATACATGAAAAAATAAATTAAGCAGCAGTTAAAATACAAATATATAGCGTAACCGGCATTTTAAGATTTACACGTGCAGTTAGCAAATAGTATTAATTTAAAATATAAGTTAAATATAAATAAAACAAATTAATCTCACCGTTCTAATTATGTAGAGAATACGAAAAAGTTGTTTATATTTTTTATAAAATTTAAAAATTCTGCAAATAATGAACAAAGACGTTCATCGATAAATGGCGGCGAATGACGAAAATTGGTATAAGAATAAGTTGCCACAGAAGAAATAAAATATTTGAATCGATTTTAAAAAAAGATAATTTGAAAAACTACATTTTAATCGAGATATCTTAAATGTAGTGTAATTTGGGTACAAAGTAAAAATAATATAACATGTACATGTTTACAATTTAAAAAAAATCATTTCTTATTTTTTTTATAGATATTAAGCGTGCCCATATAATATTTTTACAATTTCAATGGAAAGCCCCCTTTATTAAAGGCTTTTTATTAAACAATGAAAATATCAAATTTAATATTTATAATTGTATATTTTCTTCGTCAGTTATGAACTTACAGTGAAATCCCGCATATTTTTTAAGGAAACAAATTCACCTCTAATGTTAGCATACTTTAAAGTTTAATGTACTTATACATGGTTAAAATTAAAGAAAAAAGATTGTGTTACTTATAGAAACATTATATTATGATACGTAATGTGCGATATAAATTATGCTAACATTTTGTCACAACAACAGTTATGACATACAAATTTTGTTTCATACATTTTCGGTTCAGATTTTGAGAATAATATTAGGTACACCCTTATAAAATATTGTTCCTAAAAGGTAGTTGTTAGTTTAAATTGGAAATCTTTTACATGAACATCGAAGTTTGAACACATCGGCTCTTTTTTTCTTTTTTTTTATGAGGACTTTTTAGATAAACTTATAATATATAAATAATATTATCTATTTTCAAAAACATAATTTAGTTAGCTTAATTGCTGTACTTAGTTTGGTATTGATTTTTATTGGCTCAATTGAAATTTCTTGTTACTTCATCAAAATTATCGATACTACCTTCAATTCTCAAATTTCAACAATGAACCTACATAATATGTATTTATTATCTGTGTTCTAGGCATATAGTCTATATAGTATAGAGTAATGAGTATAGACTATAATCTATAGTCTATAACTCCAGTCTCCAATGCTAACAAACTAGTTGTGGTGACCTTAGTCGGTTTATAAATAAACATTTTACTTATTTCATTGATTTATTATGTGCATTATTTATCTCCATTGTAAGAAAAGATGAACGAAATACAGAAAAAATATTTTAATGTTATTTCGGAAAAAACCAAATAGAGCCGGTCTTATCACTTGGTGCCTTGTTTTTTGTGACTAAGTTTACAAAATAAACCATGGCAGCGGTCGAGACAGTTAAAGTGGCGGTGGTGATCGATCCTACGCCTAATATTATACCTTGCTCAAGTACATTTACGGCTGAGGAGCTGTGTATAGTTTTGTGCAAGAAATATAACATTCCACCACTGACGCGTACGCTGTTTGCATTACGGATCAAAGGCTCCGATTATTTCCTCAAAGATAACAGCAAAGTTCTTTCAAGTTCACGAGATTATGAATTGAGAATACGGTTCAAGGTAAGGTCTACTAATAATGAGAAGTGACCAATTGTTTGCTTACATACATAATATGTAATTTTTTTTTTGGGTATAAGCATCAGATCATCTGAAAATAGTACAAATTTTAAGCTTTATTGTAAGATATTTATCTTACTCTTGTTGAATTTATTTGCAAAATAAATAAAGTGAAGTGGTTCATTATTTTCATATTCTTTGTAAATTTAGTTATTTGTGATAACTTATTTGTTTATGTGACTTAATAATTTAAGTCATGTAAATATTTATATCTTAAAGTTTACTTTTTAAAAGACATCCCACAGTTTATCTATTTTATTAGTGGTTCTTTAAATGTTTAAAAACATCAAATTTTCCATTGTAATTCTTTTTTGTGTAAGTTATCTGATCAATATGTTATACTTTTTATTTGTGTTCTTAATTTTATTTAAACATCTTTAAGTAAAAAGTTTCAACTGGACCCTTCATAATATTGTTTGAATAAAAGGATTAAATACCTGGACCGAAAGTAAGAAACTATATCCTTTAGTGTAAAAATAAATGATATAAGTAGTTAAAAATAACATTTTTTAAATAGGTTCCACGTCTTGGACTTTTGATAACAATTGATGAGACTACATATGATTACTATTTTCAACAAGCCCGAAATGATGTAAATGAAAACAAAATACCTGAAATAAAATATCCTGAGCATAAGCAAGAACTGCTGGGGCTTGGTATTGCTGATATGTAAGTAAACATTTTTTTAGTTTAAATTTTAAGCTTTATTATAATCAATATTATCACATAACACTGTGACACTTCTGCCAAGATATATTTCTGGATACTGATAGGAGACTGCTCTATGTATAACTCCATAAATACATAATTATTAGAACAATAAAAATATGGTAAAAGTTGAAAAAATTGTATAGTGTACTTGAAGTCTGTGCTATTAAATGAGACGTACAGTTTACCCTGATAATTGCTGGTCCATAATGTCTGTCTCACTCTTATTTTTCTCTGTAGTTTATGTCTATTAAAATTATTATTAGATTTCCGACTGAAGTAACAGGCATTCTTTTATAATATGTATATAATTTTCTTAACAATGTCTTGCAACCCAAATTTCAATGTAAAATCCTGTATTGTATTATTTTATTTATTTTGTGTTGTGTGTGGCTATTGGCTAGCTTTGTTGGCTGCAGATAAAGATGTCTTAAGACAAGAGGATTTCTGGAAGAGTCATTGAGTATTCTGTTAAAATAATTAGCAGTATTAGCATGAAATTGAAAACTTTAAAGTGTAAAACACAACATCTTGAAAAGCATCTAATGTCGGTCTTTCTAGTCTGTGTTTTAATATAAATGATCATATTTCGAGATTCATAAAGGTATCTCATTTCTTTTGATATACAATTTTTATTAATTTATAAATATTTATATATAATATTAATTTCATCTACATTAATGTTACTTATAGAAAATAAAGTTTGTAAGATTGTATTAAGAGGGTAAATTCTGGAACTATTGATCCCATTATGAATTTTATTTCACTAATAGGAAGCTATATTACCGTCGAGTGCCATAGGGTATTTTTGATTCCGATAATAAAGAATATGAATAAATAAGAAATATATTAACTTAATTGAAGTAAAGAAAAAACCCGTTGCATTACTTTATCAGTTATTGTTGGGCACATAGAGAATCAATCGAATCGAAGCAAGGCAGGGGTGTCGCTAGTACGTAATAAAAAGGTAGACCTACTTCAAAAACATTTAATGCAGTATTTGTTCCACCTTTTGGGTTAGAGTTTTTCTTAAAATTTACATAGGATAATGGAGTAATCGATTTCTGGGGCTTCTCAATGATAAGCCATGAAAACCACAAAAATTGATTCGCAATTATATTCGACGAATTTAGACGATGGCATCACATCGTTTTTTGTGTGTACATAAAACTACAAAAAACATAAATCTAAATTAAGTAACTCCTTGTTTGAATTTGATCAATTATACCTATGATATATAGGTACATATGTAGATTCATAGACGATAAACATATTATAGTTATATTAAATTTTATTATCTTCTTATAGTTAGGTTGCCTTTGAGACGATTTGATCGTAGGTAACAACTTTCATTCATTATAATATAGTCATTATATGTTAATATAGTTTCCCCATTATAAATAATAGAATGATTCAGATATTTTATCAATTGTTATGTCAAAAGTTCAACAAAACTTTGATAAATAATATCGAGTTTTTACTAAATGTTGGTTGGTGTAATAGATATATATTGTTTATACTCTTTGTAATTTTGTATATTTTACTCAAAGGCAATAAAAGTACATTTTTAGGATTCCGTATCACAGAATCTAGACAGAATCCTGTAACTAAGCTTGTATAATGTATATTTGTTCGTTCTAAGTTTTAAACGCAATATCTTTAAAACAGGATATACCGAGATTTTTATTATATTATAAAGATTTAAGGGGCCTTGGTGGCAGCAAACGTGTTTTTTTCATGTATAATAAAATCTTCGAAGTGATTTTAATTGAATTCTCATTATTGACGTATTGATTTAAAACTTTTTATATATGAGAAATTTGAAGGTAAATTTAATAATTTGTTGTGATCGAGCTGATGTGAAGATGCAGTTGTGATGTAGATAGTGGTAGACAATGTCGGATTCAACTTTAGCGCTGGCCCTGGGCATGGTAAAAAATGCCGCCCTATTATCGAAATTTTGCATAAAATGGGTAAAATTTCGATAAACTTTTTTTTTATTTTTTTTTTTAAAAGTATAAAAAAATATATTTATGATTACAATTTTTCTGAAATTTACTACTTATTTTTTTTTAATTATTTATTTTTTGGGAAGTAATAAAAGCATTTTCGGCAATAAAAAAAAAAAAAAATCCACCCTCCGAATTTTGTCCCCCCCTAAAAATTTCCCGCCCTGGGCACTAGCCCCGATTGCCCCTAGTGTAACTCTAGCGTTAGTGGTAGACCCTTAAATGTTACTAGTCGAACCTTCGAGTTTGGGCTGACTTTATACATGCAAACGACTCTCATTCATTTGTCGGTTTTGTACGACTAAACAGCACAATTTTGGCGTGTTGTTAAATAATGGTTGTAATTAAAATCGTATGAGATGAGTATGAACACACCATAAATATAGGTGTAACATGAAACACAATGAGTGCTAACAGGGAACCCTTTGTACACTAATCGATTCGTTCTGGACCGATTATACCAATAAATTGTGATAAAAACCTACTACTGATTAGAGACAAACTTTTGATACATTATTTTTTATATTTTTTTATGTATATAATAATTAATAACAGGGAAATAAGTATTTCTGTAATCGATAATTTTTCAAAGTTCATGTAACATTATGCTCAGGAAACAATAGACGATAAAGTATCATTATGTCAAAGAAACAATGGCTCATAGCCGTTATTAGTGGCATTTGTCTACGTAACGAAATTTTAATTATAAGTAAATTTTATTGCAATATAATAATAAAAAAAATATTAGAAAATAACATCACAACTAAAAATTTTAGGATGCCGTCGCCAAGTTGCTTGTCTGTCGGTTTTCTACAGACTGTACTTCGGGTAGTGCGCCCACGAGCCCCATGGTCTCATACCGCCATTGCCATTCTTCCATTAAAACACCAGACGTACTGCAGAATACCATCCTCTTTTGGTTGATATTCCGACCACTCGCACTAAGCGCTATTCATCATCTTTTATTATGCGCACAGCCAAGAAATAGAATGTCCTGCCTGCGTCTGTTTTTCCGAGTGCGACCTGAAACTATTTAAGGCGCGTGTTAACAGGCTTCTCCTGGGCAAACTCGTTAGATCATAGACTTTATCTATGCCTTCGAGCTAAGATGAAGGTCAAGAGTAAGCCCGTTTTTAATTTAAAAAAATGTTTGTAAAGCAGATCCGATTCAATATTTAAGAAATCAAATGAAAAACACACAAAACAGCCAAATGTCAATTAAATGAAGTTATATAATTTCATATAAAACAAAACATATCTTCACCCTTGAGGCCGCTGACTATCTCCATACAGAAAACCTTACCAATCAAAACTCCGTGTGTATGAGCACTTTAATTTAACGTGCTTTTTTATTACGAATGAGATTTTCCCGTGGTAAAAAGTAATATAAAATGTCACTCTCCTGCCCTTCAACTATCTCCATACAAAAAAAACGCATCAATCCGACGCCCCTAAATTCGATGTGAATGAAAAACAAATATATTTCATTTATAAAATCAAGTGTAGAATATTTAGTATTTTTAAGTATGTATATTATAAAGTAATAGAGAAATAAAACTTTTTGTAAGTTTTTATTTTGTGTGAATTTTTACACACAATATGTATTGGTAATCTGTTTAAAAGGTACTTTCTTAAAATAAGAATAAAAAAATCATTGGTTTTATTAGTTTTTTTTTGGCTATAGGATTCTTTTATCATGTCTTAGTCAGTAGTAACTAGTAATGGCTTAGAAACTTGTTATATGAGAATCGATTTTCGGAAATTTAGGAAATTTGATTAGATTGATATAAATTATTGTGAACAGCAAATATATCTTCATTCGTGAAAAAAAGTATAAGCGTCAGTATCCTGTCGTTACTTGCCTAAATTAAACTTTATAACATCAACAATCATACAATTACAGTTATCATCATATCATTGAAGTGGCACTCGTAACGGATGCAGTTACCAACTGGCAATGTACCTAATATAAATGTATCAATTCTGTTCCTACGCTCATATTGTTATCTCAGGATTTCGTCTCGCATTCAACATTTTCTAGATAGTTATTGCTCGTGCTTTTTAAAATGTACGCAACCATACATACGTTTAAAGATGCTGCTTGTCCATCTAAAATTAATTTATAAATATATATTAATTTTCTTCATTATGATGTTAGCGCGATGCCTATTATGATGGACAATGTCCTAAAAAAGTTTTTATATTTTCTATCGTGCAAATTAATGCTAATTTTTAAATTGAAAATAGCTACTATTAGAATGTTTAAGCCAGAGATACAGATGTATACGTAAATAATGATAAGAACTAAAGAAGATAGGTAAATTAATTTATTTTATTATTAGTCATACATAAAAATCAATTAAAAAATTCGACACTGATTTCTCTTGTACAGGTAATTGCCTAAATTACATACTGAAAGAACTTTTTTTCAGGACTCGTGCCATATTAGAAGAAAAATTGCCTTTAAATGACGTTGTTCGGAATTATAAAAAATATATTCCTAAGGTGATAGTCAGAAGACACGGGCCCTTTCCTAAGAAATACGCCCATGATTATTTACCACAGCTGTGCTCAGTTGGTCACAACGTGAAGTGAGTATGAATATAAATATATTTCAATGATACAAAGGGAAAATAATAATTTTAAATCACTTGATTTATAATGATTTATAATTGCTTCTATTAACTTTAAATGCATATAATATGGGTTTTTATGAATGAGATGTCCATTTCTTAATTGCTATATAAATTTTATTTAATCACAACATTTATCTTGGGTTATCTACTTAATTTATGAGACACGAGCTTTACGCAGTATCTCTTACCACATATTAAATGATGATGATCACTCCTCACTGTGTTTATTTAAATGTGTTATTGTTTTGTTTTACTTTGGGGGTTTTCTATTTTGTTTTTAATTATAGGTATTTGAAAAAATGGATTTCATAAGAAAATATTTATTTCTTCCAAAGTTGGGTGTAACCAAATTGATAATTACATACAGATAAATACGTCATTATATGTGATAAAAAATAAAAACAATTACGTGGAATAAATAAAATTAAATAAATATTTTTGAACTAAAATCATGGCTTCGATGCTTTGAGTTCTAGCAATATTATGTCGACATCAGTTTGAAACCCTAAGTTAGCATTATAATTAAAACAAAACACATCTCAGATGCCTAAATCGATAGCCGTTTAAGGCTATTGAGCGTGGTAAAGGAAAGACAGATATACATGCTAAAGAAATGGCGTATAAAAAAAAATCGAAAACATAACCCTCTTTATGATGCAGTTAGGCAAAAGCTTTCTAGTTTTAATATAAAAATTGAATATTACAAATGAAGATTCTGTCTGATCTTATATTTCCAAATACTTTATTCGCAGTTACGTAAAAAATCTCTATTTACAACAATTATACGGGCTAGCACCGAATTATCTCTCGGAGGAGTTCGATAACGTGCTGTGGCAAAATGGCGGCGATGTTGTGCCGGTGCGAGTGATTGTCGCCCCATTCCACCCCCACCATCCAGGGATACGACTGTACAATACTTTGAAGCGAGATGTAAGTTTTAAATATGGATGATTTAATAATGTTTTTGGATGTTTTTACTAATAAAAAAATGCAACAAGAAAATATTTAAAAAACTGTAACCTGAGTACGGAAAAGGTTACTATTTAATAGTGGGAAAAAATTCAAATCCTTTAACTGCTTAGGAGTAAATAAACTTGACTATATATATAATTGTAAAAGAAAAAATTATATTACTCGGGCAATAACAACGAGGTGATTAAAATTTCATTCATAAAAATCGACTCAATAGTTTAGGAATTACACACATACATACACATACACACACACACACTCAATACACATACATAAATAGTAGGATGTACTCAATTCAGGTCTGCCCATGTTTTAGCAAGCTTTTATTTAAATTCATAATTAATATGTACATACATTGTAGGTGGCTATGTGCAGGATAAATCTCACAACTATGTAAATTTTAGATTAGATTTGAAATTTTGTATAGGTACAAGTTTAGTTTTGGTAACAATACACGATATATAAAATATAATCTTTTAAAATGCAATATGCTGGCCTCCCATCACCTTCAACATATCGTAAAAGCATTTAAATTTAAATATTTTATTCGATTTATTCGTCTTAATGTGTGGACTAAATAAAACTTATTGTTAATATATATGTTTTTAAATATTTAATGTATTTTTTTGTGTGTATGTTTCATAACAAGTTGTGGTATTTAAGTTTATTTACACATTAGACTATTTACATGTGACGGGTGGCCGAAAATTTCTCAGATTCCTGACAAAGATCTGATCAAACACCCCTTACCATTCAAAAACCGAAAAAAGAATGACATCCCACAAAACTTATTTAACAACTCGACTTCGATAACCATCAACAGCAAGATTACTTTACCACTTGTTATTACAAATATAATTTATAATAAAATTACAAAAAATATACTAAATAACAATTCATATTAACAAAAAATCTTTTATAAACTAATTAAATTAATTAATTAGTAATCTTGATAAATTTTGGTGGAAATCATAAAGTAACTTTACAAAATCTATTCTGATTGACTTAGAACCATTTTACATCAAAATATCATGCTTATTATAAAAGTCTATCAAAATATATCCTTAAATTAATTATAAACTGTAAATCAGATTTTATTATCCTCTTTTACTCACTAATTTTACAATTATACGTTGGTTTAAAATTCATAGTATTGATAAAAATTGTTACCAATATTTTAAACTAGATGGCAGAATAATCGCGCGCCCATAAACACGTATTTAGCCTTATTATTAGACTTAATTACACGTTTTTTTATATATCTCGCGAATCGGTCTATACTATTATTAATGCTACAGTCGATATGTTTGTGCATATGTTTGTTACTCCTTTACTCTGAAACGGCTTGACGGAATTGGATGAAATTTTATATATTGATAGATTATAACCTGGAGTAACACATAGGCTACAGACTGTGTTTTGGGATTGGGATCAGTCGCTAGTAAAATATCTTTTTTTGTTACAGTGGTTTCATGTATGCGCTATTGAGGAGCTGATATATTTGACAAGAAATGGCGATAATTGTTTGGAAGTGTCCCGTAGAGGAACGCCACTGTTTTTCAAATTCAAATCTGAAGAGCAATTGTCGTCATTTATATCCTTATGTGATGGTTATTACAGGTGAGTACAATTTACTAAAGCCACAGACTAATGATTTAGTCAGTCGTCTCAAATTTTTATACATATATGTACATAATTGTTTTATTTCATTGATAAAATTTGTTATAGCTTTATTTAAAATACCAAAGTTTATTTCGAGAAAAATTATGATAAGTTTCCTCTCAGGATATCCTTTATTCCGTGTGTTAATAAATACTAATTCGGAATATATTATATTTGATAGTGATTGTTTCTTAATATTTGGTAGTTTTATCCTTATATTTCGTAACACGTAGAATGTTATAGCGTGTCACTTATAAATGCATTATGCAAGGTCTTAGCGTTATACAAATTTCGAACTATTTGTGTTATAAAACTTATAGGAGTTGTATGAAAACGAGTTTATTAATAAATTGATTTAGTATTAAAAAATTCCAGGTATTATATATATGTTCCATATTATATTTATGTTCCATATTATATTTATGTATATATATACTACATAGTATAAAACAAAGTCGATTCCCGCTGTCTACCTGTCCCTATGTATGCTTAGATCTTTACAACTACGCAACGGATTTTTATGCGGTTTTTTTAATGGATAGAGTGATTTAAGAGGAAGGTTTATATGTACAATACATGCATATATAGTACAGAAAAGCCGAGAAATTCAAAGATTTTTATATCATACTAACCGTCGAAACGTACCTAGGGACGAAGTTGAGTCAAAGTCAGGTGTAATTTTTTTTAATGCAATTTTTTAAAATATATTTTTTGCTTAAATAGTTTGTATTAATTGATATTTAGATGTTAAGTGGAATGGAAAATAATATAGAAGTAAGGACAAATTAAATTACTTGATTACGTCACTAATTTTCTTTCAAATTTAGTTTCAACGATTTTAAAGTATGTCTTATCAAATAGAAAAGTAATATTATATTATAATAGAAAAATAAAACTTGAACATCTCAGTTGAGCGACATCAGTATCTATGAGGTATTTATTATATGTACAGGTTAATGGTGAAATGGACATTCAATCTCTCAAAAGATGACGAGACGCCTTCGTTGAAAGAATTACAAAGGATAAAGTGTCATGGTCCTGTTGGGTATGTAAAATAATTATATTTATATTATTGATATATAAAAACATATAGTCCAAGATCCCAGGGCCGCCAGATGTCACGTATTTTCTGACGAACGAAATGTGGACGATTGGGTAGTGTTAATATGTACTAAGATCGCATGCCTACCTGCTAACTTGGTGAGACGGCCAATTTCCAGGTATCAATCAGGTAATCAAGGTACATTAAAAGATTACTTACCTCACGAACATTCTCATATATTTTATATCTCATATATTTTAGACAATATCGTTAAAAATAAGTCGTCAATACTCCCAAACACTTTCCGTCGGCCGTATTGCTTTGCAGACGCTTTAAAGGTCCCAAAATAATTACTTAACTTCACGTAAATTCTGATGATCCATTTTTATATATATTCGCCAGACAACTATTTTAAAACCTTTTACAAGAAGACAGACCTATCCAAGGGGCCAATCACCCCCTAAACTCAATTTTCCTATGCGCAGAGGTATTAAAATGGCCCTGGGATCTTGATCTAATAGATTCGCATTGCCTAACAAGTATCACTTCAAAAAGTGGCCTTGTCTCGCTAACGTTAAATGTAGGTTAAGTCAACCAAAGAATAAAATTCAAAAATAGAAAGTTCTAATTGTCTAAACACAAATTCGAACTTACGCACACCATATTAAGTACTTTTTTAAATGAAACAACGTGCGTTTTAATTTTGTCATCCGAAAAGCAAAGAACAAACGAGATTTGAAAAAAAAGCGTAAAAGTTCGAATTGTGCGCTTCTTTTTGAGTACACACTTTTCAGACGCTAATTGTATACCTTGAGTTTTTGTATATCATTGGTTTATATATAACGATAGTTCATTCATTTATTTTTATAAATTTATTTATGTGTATTTCAAATTTTAAGAATTATTTTAATAATAATAAAGTTATGTATTTTTTTAATAATATTTAAATGATCTATGTATATCTGCTTTTATTTGTACTTCTGATGATATATTAGATATGTCTGTATATTCACTTCTCCATTAAAATTGTACTAAGATAAGATTAATAGCTGATTTCACCAACGTCACTTAAGATTAAGGGATCCCCTAAGCATGGTTAGGGGGCTGTTAGGGGACAATTTCTGTTTCACCGACAGTTAGGGGTCACCTAAATCATAAATGTTAAAATTCCACCTAAATATTTGTACTAGAAATACGGGACTTTGACGATGGTAAAACGAAATTTAATTTAGGGGCTACTTTAGGGGAACTTTTAAGCTAGGGATCCCATTTGTAGGTGGTAGCTTATGGGATGTTGGTGAAAACGGGCATAAGTATCTTATTTATGTGTATGTTCAGTTCAAAATATTCATTTTCTTGTTTCAGCGGTGCATTTTCATATCGAAAATTAGATGAAAAGCGTAGCAAAAAACATGGCTGCTACATTTTGAGACAATGTCAAGATGACTATAATGTATTTTATTTGGACGTTTGCTCAAAGAACGGGTACAATATTTTTAAGCAAATCTTTCTTTTTTTAATTAAAATATTTGGGAAACATACAGTACAATAATACTTAAAGTTAGTCCGATATACATAGTACATAAACCAGCGAAGTTTCCACTTATAAATAAATTATAAATTTCTCTTTAATTAAACGGTTTTTTTAAATGGCTGTGTACACAACATTATTTTCTAATGTCAAAGTGCTCTTTACAACAAAAGAAAAATATTCTTTTATAACAAAAAGTACACTGAAACTAGAGTTTTTAATAATAAATAACGAATATCGTTAGCAAAGATTCTATAAAAAAAAATATTTTTAGTGAATAATATCACAAACTTTTAAATATAGAGCCTTAAAACGAAAAAAGTGATAATTCCCTATTTACTATGCTAATTGTTATTAATATAATACTTTTACAGTACAACAGAGACGTACAGATTGGAATTCATAGGTCACTGCTATGTTTTCAATAAGGAGGAATATTTCAGCATTGAAAGGCTGGTCAGCTGCCATCAGAACCCTGAAGGCAGGATATTCTTGAACGAGTGTATACCACCTTCAGAATATGGTATGTTTATTTAAGTATATATGTATATTGTATATACTTTGTGCTATTTAAAATAAATATGTATATTTGATGTGTTGTTATTGTTGCATTATTTGATTTTCGAAGTTATACTTCTTTTGGCACGCTTGGAAAAAAATATGAGAGTAAAATTTTTAAGAGCGCGCGCACACCGACAGCCCACAAGTAAAATGATGAAGTTAGCTGGATTCCTTTTACAAACAGAGAGTTGTGACATACGGGATGGAATATTTAGCTATTTTTGTTCTGTTACGCCAAAGAAGTATAACTTGTTACGTGCCTACATAAGTACACACGTTTTTTTTAAGTTATTTTTTATACAAATTTATAAATGTATAAAAAATACACTAAAGTAGCCCTAATAACACTGTACATTATTTATTTCAATTTTTATAGACAAATCTCAACTTCTTCTCTGTGGTGAACCTGTGAAGAAAGGCGTCCGGATAGATCAAGCTGAGTTGCAGGAGATATTGAAAGATAACAAGAGTCCAAGGTGTTTGCCCAATAAGGACATTTTACTTTACACAGGTAAAAGTTATATAGTTTATTATATTATAGGCATAGTAAATAAGAAGTCTATTACTTTAGATTAACTTACTTAATAATAAGAAATTTAGATTAATTACTATATGGAACACAGATTTGTATCTAAATTTACTATTTCCTAGATTTATAGTTTATATTTTTATTAAAAATACCAGTTGGCATTATTACAATAGAACTCATTCATCCAAAAAAATATAAAATTTAATGATTTGTTTTTATGAATAAATTTGTACTGTATAATATTCTTAATTCCTTTTACAGGTTCAGAGAAAGTTGGTTCAGAAAACATCACCGCCACGTACAAAGCTCTGTGGAGACTCGATGAAACTAAGAAACTTTTAGTTGCTTTCAAAACTTTGCAGCGGGATAGGGCCAATGATTATCTAAAGGTAAAAAAATATAAATTGTTTTAATTTTTTTAACAAACAATACTAGCATCTATAATATTAATCCATACTAATTTTATAAATGCGAAAGTAACTCTATTTGTTTGTTTGTCTTTCTTTCACGTGGAAATAGAGTGACGGATTGACGCAATTTTGGTGTGGCGATAGTTGGAGGGATGGAGAGTGACATAGGCTTTACCGCGGGAGATTAAGATTATCTCATTCCCAAGGGAAAAGAAGTTACAACAACTCATCATTCCTACGTATATGTCGCCTAGTAGATATATAAACTTAAATTTTCATGAAAGCAAACTCTCATATTTGTGAAAGATTAGTATATCGTATTTATTAATTAACAAATAAATATTATATAATTCGCAAGGACTTCATCGAGCTAGCGAGCAAGTGGGCGTGCGTGCAGTCGAGCGCGATCGTGCGGCTGTACGGCGTCACGCTCAGCTCGCCCACCGCCATGGTCATGGAGTACCTGCCGTACGGGCCCTTCGATGTTTACCTCAGGTATCGTATATCATAGATTCGTATCGTTCGAAAGACGGTATTCGTTGAAGTGAAATTGAATTTAAGCACCCTAAAGTTTACCTTATGAGGTCTTTTTGTCATAGTATTTTATACTATATAATGATAACAGTTATTCCGTGTATCCACAGAGAGAACTCGGACCAGATCAAGCCCCTGCAGCTGAAGAAGGTGGCGGCGGGGCTAGCGCGCGCGCTGTGGGACCTGTCGGAGGCGGGCGTGGTGCACGGCGGCGTGCGCTGCGCGCGCCTGCTGCTGGCGGCGCGCTCGCCCGCCCGCCTGGTCGTCAAGCTCAGCGGGCCCTCGCTGCGCGCCTACACGCATCGGGAGTGAGTCGGTCCATGCGAGACGTTCTATAAATGTTCTTTTGGAAATATATATATATATATATAGCTTTATTTCTTTCTGCATTTATACTTATTTATTTATTTATATTATACGTATATAAAAATTGTATATTTTTGCAACGACTTACCGGAACTCCCCCACTCCCCCATCCTCTTTACTTTATGGGGTATCGCAATATCTATATCCATCGAATAAAACAATTAATCAAGAATGTTTTTATTTCAGTATTCACTGGATGCCGGTAGAGTTTTTCTCAGATATGAATCTCGCCAAGAGGTCGGTGGTGGGTGATATTTGGGCGTTCGCTACGACTTTATGGGAAGTTTTTTCCTATGGACAGTCTCCCGCCGACACCAACCCAGTATTGACGGCGAAGGTGGTTACTGACTGCAATTTTAATTGACTGTTAAATTATTATATTTAAAAGAGCAAGTAGAGTTTCTCGCTGGCTCTTCTTGGCAGAACTGCATACTAAAAATGCAAAACTTATAAAGTTCTTGTAAAAGTTTATTTGAATCTACGCTTATATTATAAAGAGGTAAAGTTTGCGTACGGGATAATCTCTGGCTACTGATCCGATTTTGAAAATTCTTTCAATAATAACAAGCTACATTACCGCCGAGTGTTCCAAGTTATCATTGAGGAATTATTGGAGTATATTTTTATTCGGTTTGATGTGAAAACGATATACATATTCCCCAGAGTTACGAGATGGGTGATCGCTTGATGCGTCCGGCGCGCTGCCCGGGCGAGGTGTGGGCGCTGGTGCGGCAGTGCTGGTGCAGCGACCCGCTGCGTCCGCAGGAGATCATGCGGGACATGAACCACATGCTGCATAGAGGTTATTTATTATCTATACAGTCTATACAGATAAATAAAATTAAAGTGTCTGTTTGTAGTGTCAAAATAACAGCGTTTTACTAAATGCATATGGAATTATATATGGTATTTATAAGAAAAAGACAATTTTTAAAATTTTTGCCTGTCTGTTTGTTCCGGTTAATCTCCGAAACGGCTGTGCCGATTTGTCAGGTAGTTGATGTTATGAGGAGTCGCTTGGGCTAGTTTTATTTCAGTAAAAGAATTAGGGTTCCGCTCAAAAAAAAAAAAATTTACATAATCCTTTATTACACAAAAAAAAAAACACTTTCAAAGAATACAAAAATTGACAAGTAGTAAATACGTATATCAGTGTAAAGGCGGCCGTATCACTTAAAGTGATCCCCTCCAGGCAAAATACATATATTAGAAAGAAACTCGTAGGCTTGTACGGTTAAAGGCTGGTGCAGCAAAAAATAAAATAAAATTAAATACAAAAAATAAAATAAAATAAATTTAAGATAAAGATTACTCAACTCTCGCTTTATGCTATTATATAAAACTCAACATCTATGGACACTTACCGGGTGGTCGAAATTTTATTGTCCAATTTATTAGGTAGAAACTGTTATTATAATAGCTATATATTAATACGTGAAGAGATCACTTTGAACCCCCTTTTAAGCATAATATTGCATCTACGGTGGAGTATAAGCTTTATTTATAAGCTCAATTATTTACTGTAAATTGTACATATATGATTAATCATGTATTTCTTATATTTAGTATAATTGTTTTTGTTACAGAATATGTACCACTTCACGAATATGAGGAGCCAAAGATTTCGCTCGATCATATGGAACATGCAGAAACTGTATCCAGTAAGTATTTGTATTTAAACTAACTGTAAATATATGGAGACGATTTTTGTAAATCAAAATAATGTGGCAGTTAGACTTGTTTTTAGTAAAAGTATTTTCTATCAAAGTAGATTCACCATATGAATTGAATAGAAAGAATCTTACAATCGAAATGTCAAGAACGGAAAAACAAAACTGCGAAAAAAACTAAAAAATATTTAAAATGTCAAATAATTGCGTAAATGTAAGGAAATATTAATAAATATATTATTACAAACAGGTGACAGATTCATCCCAAGCGAACTGAGCGATGCGGGCAGCAACAAGTCCTTGATTTCAGTAGACAGCAGCGCGCCCTCCATGAATGGCACTATGTCCGACCAGTATGACAACCCTGTAAGATATATGCAGATATTATTTATTTATCTCGATTAACTGGCGTTCTTACTTTATTTACTAGCGACTTAGTTGCCTAACAGTGGCCTATGTGTTACTCCAAGTGATAATTTATATGTGTATCTGTGGAGAAGGGTTCATACAAGACGTCTTACCTTAAAATTATTTTGGTATAATTTTACATAAATGTATTTAATTTTTTAAATGTATAAAATATTTTTTTTGGATATACATATTCATCTAAATTCGTCCAGCCAGTCGTTAGTTCATATAGTCTTTAGGACCGATCCACACTATAGTGTCGATCACAATTCGCTCTTGATCCCATATCGGTCTGGTAAAGTATTGTTATATAAGAAACAATAATTGAATTCATACTATCAGTAAGGCTCACGTTTCGGTCGAATCACGCTCCATCAACGTTTCTTGTATAGAAATACTTTACCAGACTGATATCGGACCGAGGACGGACTGTGATCGGCACTATAGTATAGAGCGGCCCTCAATGTAGGCGTTTCGACGTAACGGCTTAGACGGGGAAAGGCTTCAAGGTAGTGGGGTATACCTGTAACTTGTTACAAGATGATACTACAGTATTTTAAACTTGAAATCGTTTTCCATGAAAATTGATATATTTTGACAATCCTTGCATTTGAAAGTTTTTCCGTTAAAATCAATACGTGATAGTTCATTAAATTCGGATTTTTTTATGTATATTGTGCATTGATATTCAGGAACTCAAGATACACAATTAGCGTCACAAAAGTGTCCTCAAATAGATGAATATAATAATTCGAAATTATGCGCTTTTTTCAAATCTCTTTTGTTCATAATAACGTATACAAATGTAAAAGATGTATACGAATATTTAACAATACAGTTAATTGTTATTTAATGTTGATTTTATTTTATTACAAATTATTAATAATTCCTCACTAAAATATTAGCAACAGTTGCAAGTGTTGGTGGGCGGAGCTAGACAGTTTTCCGTCCTTATCAGTTTGTATGGTAATGCGGGACAGAGAAAGCCCTATGCATGGTTCACTCCTTGAATAGAGTGTAACATTGTCGACGTGCAGTTCGCAGACAACAAGAGCAGCAACTCGCTGGAGAGCGTGGACGCGCTGACGAGCGCGCTGCGCGGGGGCCCGCGCGCCGCCAGCGCCGCCAGCGCGCGCGCGCCGCCCGACGACGCCGCCGCCGCGCCGCGCCTCATGGAGTCCATCGTGTCGCAGGGCAAGACCTACCTGGTCACTGTCACCAAGAAGATAGGCAGCGTGAGTTGTGTATTGTATCTGAACTGATGTTGTTAATGATGAAGTGGCTCTGTCTGTCTGTCTGTTTGTTACGTTTTTACGCGTAACTGATTGAACCAATTTTGATGAATTTTGGTATAGAGATAGATGGGACCTTGAAGAAGGATAAAGGCTTTTTGTCGCGCAAAAGTATTTTTTTTTACCTATTTAAAACTTATATAGGGACAGATCTGAGCGAAGCGAGGATAAGACGCCAGTTCTTTTACAAAAATAGTCTACGTAGCTACCGACTTTTGAGAAAGATTGTGTAGTTGATTTAGGTGTATGTTCTGCTTTGTGTTTATCTCATTAAACTATTTCGTAACTTGTTGGAATAGTAAACATAAAATATTTAATTGTAATTTTATATATGAATAGTTCCAACCTCTTTGTTAACTTGTGTGCCTACTATTTATTTTTCTATTTAAATTTGTCATGTTCCATGTCACTGTAAAAAGTATTACCGGGCAATAAACGTTGTTAAACTTTCTCTATTATTATAATTAATTTCCTACAGGTTATGGGCCCTCTCGTATACCTAAAAAGATTCAAAGTTTAATATTTACTGCTATAAAATACTATACAGTCGTTGATATTAGTAATTTGCGAATATTTTGTCGAACGTCAACCCGAATACAATGGCTATGTCTAATTTACAAATTGAGAAATTAGTTGGACGGGAAAATTATTCGACATGGAAGTTTGCGGTCAAATCTTATCTAGAACATGAGGATTTATGGGAATGTGTCGATCCCGGCACCGATGTCGACATAAAAAAAGATACAAAAGCCAAGTCAAAAATCATTTTGTTGGTGGAACCAATAAACTACGTCCATATAGAAAATGCACAGTCATCTAAAGAAGTTTGGACGAACCTACAAAATGCTTTCGAAGACTCCGGGTTATCATGAAAAGTCGGCTTATTGCGAGATTTAATAAACAGATCGCTAGATAATTGCGCGAGCGTCGAAGACTACGTGAATAAAATTATGAGTACTGCGTACAAATTACGAAATATCGGATTCGATGTAGATGACCAATGGTTAGGAACACTCATGCTGGCGGGTTTACCGGATAATTATAAACCTATGATCATGGGTCTGGAAAGTTCCGGCATTAAAATATCGGCAGACTTCGTCAAAACAAAACTTTTACAAGAGGTTAAAGTTTCCGAGTCTTCTGCATTCTTCACAAAGCACAAGAATACCTCTAATAAGAATAATGCCAAGCCAAAAGGAAAGGGCCCACGCTGCTTTAATTGCAACAAATACGGTCATTTTAAAAATCAATGCACAGTGAAGAAATCTAACCATAATACTTTTTCAGCAGTTTTTACAGCTTACAGCAATGTAAATGAAGATGATTGGTACATTGACTCAGGTGCCACAATGCACATGACAAAACATTCTGACTGGATGTATGATTTACAACCATCTCCGATTCAGCATATAACAGTTGCTAATAATGATGCAATCTCCGTGCAAAATATGGGTAAAGTAAACATTCAGACCATATACTGCAAAGATAAATGTCCTATCCAGGTAAGAAATGTTTTATATATTCCTGAGCTGAGTGCAAACCTGTTATCTGTTAGTTAATTAACCAAAAATGGCTGTAAAGTGGAATTCACTGATATAGGTTGCAATATATACAATGCCAATAAGATTCTCATAGCAAATGCAACTCTAACAAATAATATGTACAAACTTAATACTGTTACTGGGAATGCTTATGCTGTCTCATGTAAAAATAAGACAGATATTATTACATGGCATAAGAGAATGGGGCATTTAAATTTGGCTGATGTAAAGAGGTTAGAGTTATGTGCTGAGGGTATAACTATCACTAATAAAAATGTTGATGTTGTCTGTATACCCTGTTGTGAAGCAAAACAAACACAATTACCGTTTCCACATTCTGGTTCAAGAGCAAAAGCATTACTCGAAATAGTACATACTGATCTGTGTGGTCCGATGGAGACGCCATCTGCTGGTGGTGCGAAATACTTCATAACCTTCATAGATGACTATTCCCGTAAAGTTTATGTATATTTTCTCAAGAACAAAATGGATATTAAGTCAGTGTTTAAAATATTTAAAGAAGAAGTAGAAAACGAATTAGAAAAGAAAATAAAAGTAGTAAGAAGTGATAATGGAAAAGAATATAATAATAAAATATTCTCTGATTTTCTAGCAGCTTCCGGCATCAAACATCAGACCAGCACTCCATACACGCCTGAGCAGAATGGGTTAGCAGAGAGAGTTAACCGGACGTTGGTGGAACGTGCAAAATGTATGTTATTTGAAGCAAAGTTGCATAAACAATTCTGGGCAGAGGCAGTCACCGCTGCAGCTTATGTCATCAACAGATCACCATCACGAGTTTTGGATGAGGTAACTCCCTATGAAAAATGGACCGGTAAGAAACCAAACATTTCTCATTTAAAGATTTTTGGTTCTAAGGCCATGGTACATATTCCAAAACAAAACCGTCTTAAATGGGATCGTAAATCAAGAGAATTAGTGTTTGTGGGATATTGCGACAATACAAAGGGCTACAGATTGTATGATCCAGTAAATAAAAAGATTGTAATCAGTAGGGATGTGATATTTATTGAAAAATCAATGAGTGAGAATGATAATATCACACTGCAACCCATACCTGCCAAACAGTTTGTCAATGTCCCTCTAAATACAGTAAATGATAACATACCTGTTGATGATAGTTCACAGAATGAAACGCAAAATGATACCTTGTCACACTCGAGTACGGACACGTCTTTCGATAGTTGCGTGTTGAATAGAACAAATAGTGATGAAACTTATCATCCCAGTACAAGTGATGATAGTATCGACGATGTTTTTAGAACAAATATGACTTTAAGATCTCACAAGAAACACAATAATTTCATGTGTGTTCAACAGATTTCAGATCCACTAACTGTTGAAGAAGCCTTGTCGAGCACTGATGCTGAACATTGGAAATCAGCAATGGACGAGGAGTATCAGTCCTTATTAGAAAATAATACTTGGGAAATTACTACTCTTCCAGATAACAAACGTCCTTTACCATGCAAATGGGTTTTCAAGAGAAAGACTAATGAAAATGGGGAAATAGTAAAATATAAAGCACGGCTTGTGATTAAAGGTTGTTCACAAAAACCTGGGATAGATTACACGGAAGTATTTTCACCGGTTGTAAGGTATGCTTCCTTGAGATATTTGTTTGCTTTGGCAGTTAAATTTGATTTGGACATTTGTCAAATGGACGCCGTATCAGCCTTTCTTCAAGGGGATATAGAGGAGGAGATATATATGTTACAACCACCACTGTATGACAATGGTAAACAAGTATGTCGACTGAGAAAATCTCTATATGGATTGAAACAGGCCAGTAGGCAATGGAACAAGAAGCTTAGTTCTACGCTGAAAGGAATGGGTCTATCACAGAACAAGTTAGATCCTTGTATCTATTATAAAATTGTGGACAACAATAACATGTTTTTTTTAGCTGTATATGTTGATGACCTAATTTTATTTACAAATAATATAGACACAAAAAAATACGTTAAGGAAGAGCTTCAAAAACAATTTAAAATAAAGGACCTGGGAGATATAAAATATTGTATTGGTATACATATAGAGAGAGACAGGAAGAAAGGAGTTATATATTTAGATCAAAAGAAATATATACAAGAAGTGTTACATAAATATGGGATGTCAGATTGTAAAAGTGTTAAGACTCCAATAGATGCTAACACAAAATTTAAAGAAAAATCTGAAGAATCATGTACCTTACATGAAATCTCTTATCAAGAGATAATTGGTTGTCTATTGTATATTTCACAAATTACCAGGCCAGATATAAGTTTTGTTATAAATATGTTAAGTAAATACAATAACAAACCTGAAATGTCACACTGGATAGCCCTGAAGCGAGTTATGCGCTACTTAAAAGGCACTGAAAAGTATAGATTGAGTTATAAACAAAATTCGGAGGAGAATATGACTCATGGCTTCTGTGATGCAGACTGGGCAAGCTCGGAGGACGACAGACGTTCCTGTACTGGCTACGTATTCCTGTTTCAGGGAGGAACAATCAGCTGGAATTCTAAACGCCAGCCTACTGTTGCTCTGTCTACAACCGAAGCAGAGTATATGTCTTTGTCTTCATGTGTACAAGAGGCTGTGTGGCTGAAACAACTTCAAGAAAGTTTTTGGCCTTTGCTCAAGAATGAAGCAATGATCATCTATACTGATAATCAGAGTTCTATAAAACTTTCAAGTTCCGATGGCTATCATCCAAGGACTAAACATATTGATGTGAGGCACCACTATGTACGTGATAAAGTTGTTGGAGGGGTCATTTATGTGAAGTACATACAGACGAACATGATGGTAGCTGATGCACTCACCAAAGCAACGCCATATTCAAAATTGAATTATTGTGCTACCAAGATGGGATTGATTTATGTTTAAGGGAGGATGTTGGAATAGTAAACATAAAATATTTAATTGTAATTTTATATATGAATAGTTCCAACCTCTTTGTTAACTTGTGTGCCTACTATTTATTTTTCTATTTAAATTTGTCATGTTCCATGTCACTGTAAAAAGTATTACCGGGCAATAAACGTTGTTAAACTTTCTCTATTATTATAATTAATTTCCTACATAACTATTACTAAAAGAAATAACTGTAAGTATTATATCTGCATTATTTTAACCGAAAGGGAAGAAAAAGGGTGTAGCTGTGCTGGTTCTGTTTTGTGTTTCTGTTTATCTGATTCGGATACTTCATCACTATCAATAAGATGTGCAGTGTCAGTAATTCTATTTGCATTGTTTTATTCAGCCCTTCACCTCTCACTGCTAGGCACGTACTATTACTATTTATAGTATATTAATAATTTTGTTATGTCTATTTTTTGTTATAGGGTAATTATGGTCACGTATTTAAAGGCTGGATGGAACGAGACAACCAAGAATCTCAAAGGAAAGAAGTTGCTGTTAAAAAGTTAACAAGACAAGCATCTGAAAGAAACGGCAGTCTTTATGAAGACTTTAAAAATGAACTCGAAATTATGAAGGTGATATATCAGATAGAAAATCTGCCGGTTATTTATTTTTCTCAAAGACGCGATTGCCTGTAAATTAATATACCTTAAAGTTTGTCATTGAGTAAATCTAGCTTAAGTTTAGTGGATCTCTAAAAATTTCTTATGCCCGATTTCACCAACGTCACCTAAGTTTAAGGGATCCCCTAAGCACGTTTAGGGGGCTGTTAGGGGACAGTTTCTGTTTTACCGATAGTTAGGGTCACCTAAATATTAAAAGGCCCCCTAAATTTAGGTGCTCGAAATATGGGCTTAAAGACGATCGTAAAACGAAATTTAATTTAGGGGCTAGTTTAGGGGACTTTTAAGCTAGGGATCGAATACGTAGGTGGTAGCTTGGTATGGTATGGTATGTTCGGGCTGTTTTCCGCAACTCGACGACTATGCGCCTATTTTGCGTGTTGTAGGTGGTAGCTTATGGGTTGTTGGTGAAATCGGGCATTAGAGTCCTTAGTTATTTTTGTTGGACGTTACGCAAAATGTTCAATTACTATGTATCAATATAGATAAATATTTTTTTACCATTATTTTTAAGAATAAACATTTTAATGTTAAATAGATGAAAAAAAACGTGTGTGTATTTATGTTTATGTACGCAAGTAAGAAGTTATAATTCTCTGTCGTAACGGAACCAAAATAGCTAAAGATTTCATCCCGTATGTCGCAACTCTCTGTTTATGAAAGGAATGCAGCTAACTTCATGTCGCCTTTTGACTGTCGGTGTGCGCGAACATCGTAAAAATTTTACTCTCATAATTTTTTCTACACGTCCCAAAAGAAGTATAACTTCAAAATAATTTGGATTTATTCCTTGCAGTCTCTACAACACATAAATATAGTTGAAATCCTCGGCTATTCGTGGGATCACGGGTCAGACGTGCTCATAGTGATGGAGTATCTGGAGGAAGGATCGCTCAACTACTATCTCAAGTTCCAAGGCGACAAGTTGCGTATATCTCACCTAATCAAATACGCTAAAGATATTGCTACGGTAAGATATCTTTTTATTCTGTATTATTTTATATTGACTGATTAATTCTGAAAAATATTAATCGTTTAAATTAGTAGATATTTCTTAGAGTTCGGTTTCTTAGACTTCGGTGTTGCTTGGATAAAAACCCTAAAATAGGACTTAACGCTTTTTAAAATTAGTTATATTGTATGGTCAATACTAGCAACAATATATTGATCGTGCAATTTTATTATATTTTTAATAAATATAATTAATTCTATAATAGTATAACTGAATATAATGGTATAATTTTAGATCTATTTTCGGACAAAACTTTATTTACAAATTTCATTATTTTGCAGGGTATGGATCACGTATCGGCTAAGAACGTGGTGCACAGAGATTTGGCCACTAGAAATATTTTAGTGGTCAACAAATATCACGTTAAAATATCTGACTTCGGTCTCGCTCGGATCATACCAAAAGAAGAGAATGCATATAGAATCAAGACTGAACGACTGTTGCCTATCAATTGGTATGTTTAAGTTTTATAAACGGAAAATTGTACTTAATGCTATATTTTGCTTATATAAGAATTATGATAATTTCTTTGTCTTTCTATAAAAACATTGAAAGCCAAGTGAAGCGGAATCAAAAATTACCAATGTTCATGGCTGTTTCGAAGTCAAAGCACTATAAAGCTATCTCGTAGCAAGTTACAGTTATAGGTTCAACTCTAGAGCCGTATGCCAACTATCATATAAAAGTAAGTATGACATTCAGGTGCGTCTCTCCCGCACGCTCCGCACGATTGTTCTGTCTAGACAATAGCGTTAGATGACTGTATGGGGTAATATGATCGTAGTAGACTATAATAGACTATAATATACTATAGTAGACTATAATAGACTGTAGTAGACTGTGCTATTGTGTTCCCTCAGGTATGCCCCGGAGTCCGCAGTGGAGCCGTGGCACTTTTCCTCCAAAAGCGACGTGTGGTCGTACGGCGTGACCGCGTGGGAGATATTCACGCGCGCTCGCCATGAGGTGCCCAAGTTCGATGTGGAACGGCCTCGTGAGAGGGCTTCTTGGTTAGTTAGTCTTTACTGTTATATGTTACTAGCGACTCGCTTCGTTCGGGTTCGTCCCTAGCTTCATTCCCCATATAAACTTTCATCCCCATTTTCACCCCCTTAAGGGATGATTTCCGGGTCAAAATGACGTATCTTCTTACCAAATTTCATCTTAATCGGTTCAGTAGATCCAGAGATTACCCCCTACAACCTCACAAACTCACTAACTCACAAACTTTACCTCTTTATAATATTAGTATAGATTATTGTGTAATTTAATATTACTTATTAATTCATCTTGATAGTTATGGATCAGTATTCACAAACAATGCTAAAAGATTCAACGGTGTACCCTAACACATAGAATAACTTTATATGTTTCAATTCGTGACATGCTAACAAACTAGCAAACTTAAACTTAAAAATAAAACAATTTACAACTATAAATGTGTGTACGTACTGTGTAGACATTAAAATTGTCGCCATATTGAACCTTATGATTGTAGACTCTAAAAAACAATACAGTAATGATAAACACTAACAGGACGAGTAAAGAGGCTGACTAATAGGTTTCACTTAGTATCGCGGATTCAATTACCGCGCAGTTATTGTTATTCTCTCAATTTGTAAATATGGAGCTCACGATAAAAATAGAAAGAAATTTTACTATGTACTAACTATTATACTACTACTATAACTAAATATTTCTAAGAAAGTATTATAGAAGCACAGTTTTTTTTAAATTCCAGTGATAATATTTTAATTTTAAATAAAGAAAGTAATATATTTACTCATTTTTAAACGCCTGTATGATACATACACAATACAAATACTTATTTTTTGAATTTGTTCTAGTTTCCAAATCCCAGAAAGCTGTCCATCAGAAATATTTCGCCATCTTATGAAAGACTGTTGGGCGCTCGACCCCAACTTGCGGCCGAAGTTCATCGACCTCGTGCACATGTGCAAGCGCTTCATGGACGAGTACAAATGAACTTTACACCTTAATGCATTGTAATAAGGTACATTTTACTGTGATTTCCTTAACTGTGTTGTTTGTCAAACGTAAGGATTTCTATTAATTCAGATACGGTGAATCATTGTGTTACGTGATTGTTTATGTTAGAGATTTGGATATATCTGTCACGGTATATAATGAGAAGAAGGAAAAAAACAAAGTTGCCCCATTTAGTACAATTTATTCATGTAATTAGTTATCCTTTTAATCATAGACGATTATCTCAGTACACTCGAATCTCGAGTTTGGTACCTCTTTTCGTGTGCAGTTTGATTATAGTGAATTTGAATTTTCGATATTTATGAATATTGTCCATGAAATCGTTGCCATGGTATGTATATACTTATCTCTTTACTGTTTTCAATAGGACGTTAGATGACAAATCTTGATGTTATCATTAAAAATGAATGACAAATGCAATATTACAAAGATCATATTGTATTGTGTATCTTATACTCATATATTGCTAGCTATTACAAGTTATGAATAACCATGCAAATAAAGATTGAAATTAAAAATGGCGGCGGACGGTAGCAAATTATGGTTAAAATATGTTATTTGAGTAATTACGTTATAAAAATATGTTTCACTAATAATATTAATTCGTCAATTATAATTTAGTTGTTATTAGGATTATCATGTAACAATCAAAATTAGGGTATTTTGTCATCGTTTAAGATTAAAGTCATCAGTTAATTTTGAAGCTTGTGAAATAAAACAATATATGAAAATAATGTTACACACTATGAATACTATTATTTTTTTGCTATCTATACCAGTAAAAAAGAGATTGCAAATGAGAAGTTATTACAGGTGAGGCCATTTATAATCTCATTTTTTTTACGGCACGATAATAAAAGTGTTACTGTGTAAATGAGACAGCAAGGAATATTTCTATCTTTTATGACACTCTTGTCTTTATACACATATATTGTAGCTCTTCTGAGGCTCTTATGTATGCGCAGAGAATAATTGGAACACTTGTTAGCATGCTTAGTTCTTTGCTAACAAACGAATTCGAGCTTTGCGTGCATACAACAAGACTCAAATTAGTATGTAAGAGACATGCTCTAATATCTATTTCTGTAATGTATGGTAAATTTATTTACCCTTCTGCAGTATACTAGCAATATATAAGCATTAGGTATGTATGTATGTATGTATATATATATATATATACATATATATATACATATATATACATATATATATATACACGTATACAATTCATTTAAATAAGAAATGACTATTTAAACTGTCTATTAGTAGTTAAAGAGTTTCGATTCTACAAATCATGTTTGAAGTCGATCGCGCGACGCACATACAAATTTACATTTAGCGATTGTATGCGTTTTGTGGTTCCTTTGCGCATTTTCCTTATTTTTTTTTATATTAATTAATATTGTAAATATTTAATATAAGTGCAATTAAATGATACGGGAGACGTGTCCAAATAATACCTCCATGCAATTTTATTAGATCACATTAAGTTTTTTTATAGGTTTTATATTATAGAAATGATTATGTAAATCTTATGATTATATACTTGCCGATTAGGGTTGAGTCAATTGTAGGGTATAGATGTTGAGTTGTATTGTAGTTTTGTTCGGTAAGCATTCTTTTAATTGGATTTCTATTATTGTATTGCTTTGTATTTGATCCTTTTTATCGTCCAACTGCTGGGCATAGACCTCCCTTTAATACAAGGGGGATCGGGCCATAGTCCACCGCGCTGGTCAAGTGCGAGTTGGCTTATTTTCAATATTATTTTCTGTTGGGATTTGTATTATATTACAAGCTCATATTATAGGTATATACATACTTATATGTTTTGAGATGTAATATTTTTATTTGTTTTTTTTTCTAATAATCGATTAACGGTAGGTTCTGTGATGTTTTTATATGACACAAAAGAGAAAGGAAGCCTGTAAAATTATAATCTAATACATATTTTGTTGTCTCAGAAATATATATGCATTTTAGATATTTTATTATCTAGGTAAGTACTATTTGCACGCACAAAGCTACTTAAATGAATAATATATAATACATCCATCTCTTAAAATGGTCAAAAATTAAAAAAATATATATAAATTGAGCCTTAAAAGTAATGCTTAGAGTTGTTTTCACAAAAAAAAAAATAGTTCAGAGCGCGCTCAAATGTTCAAATGAGCGCTCATTCGGTGAGGACATTTTTTGTCGCTGATTGTGTATCTAATAATTTGATGAATGTATCATTATTTCTTCATATGTCCAAATAAAAGAATGTTTACGCGCATCATTGATAAAACCAAAGATGATATTAAATTATCTTTTAACATTGTTAAACTAAAGATACAATTTTATATTAAGGATAATATTATGTATATTTTATCTCGATAACTTTGCAATTTGCTGTTGTGACAAGTTAGTTTTATTGAATGTTAAATATGTTTTAAAATATTCTAATATTTACTTACACGCTGTATAGTTGATGATGCAAGAGTTTATACGTAGCGTAAAAAAGATGACATTTTGACATGCTTTTTTGAATTAATAAATTATTTCTGTATCTATTATTAATGATGTATTCTTAGAAAGTGAAAAATTTAGTATATATTTTGTTTGGAAATAATTTTTTAAAAGTAGTTTATTTGTACGAGTTTTTATTAATGTACTCGAGAATTTGACTAACGTTGGTATTGTGATTGTAAGAGACTGATGAGATAGAAAGCGGTGCTAAAATCAAGGATTCGGCCTTATAATTCATATTAAAATCCGTTATATTTCTTGACACAGAAATGTTATAATTTCTTTTAGCCATGTTTTGTCAAACCTATATTGGTTTAGTACGTTTAGGTCGTGTATGTATATGGTGTTCAAAATATGACAATTTTTGAAAATAAAGCAGTACGTATATATTTTAAAATAAATTATATCGTCAGTGAAGGATTTATTGAACGTAGAAATATTAAACGAGTTTTATATTAGTACGTACATGTGTTTCTAATTTTTTTGACATTAATAGTATGCGAATATATTGTATTGTTCTATTTATGATATATCATAATTAGAACTTCGTATATTTTTATTTTTTAAATTTATGACGTAAATATTTTTAAAATTAGTGCTTTTTTACGGAATGATAAACTACGACGGACGAATATTAAGATGGTATTTCCTTGCATGGGAAAAAGTTCAATTTCTACATCAGGATAAGGCATTTAATGTGTTTTAGATCTGTTTTAGTACAAAACAATTCATTTTTACTTACATTGTTCTTGGGGGAAAAATTTTCTTCCCTTTTGTTTGTACACATTTTTAGTATTTTTCATTCACCATCTAACTATTCTCCTCATATTTTGCAAAATTTTATTGTCCTCACAATATTCTTACGTTTTAATGTGGAAAACGTTGCTTTTTGTATAAGATTTTTATATTAATTTCAGACTGATAATTTTCAAATCAGCACCCATATAAAACAAAGGAAAAAATTATTATATAAGATAAAAGTAATTTTTTGAGAGAACGCTTTGTATTCGGATATATCAAGTGTCGAATTTATTGGACTTCACAGACTTTTATTTTTGTGAATAGGTACAATGTTTCTTGAAAAATGTCATGCAATATTGCCTCCTCAATTGGGCGTAAAGTAAGGATGGTAGGATGACAAGTCTATATATATATATATATATATATATATATATATATATATATATATATATATATATATATATATATATATTAAAATACCATCATAATTAACTTAATTTATAGATATATAGAGTTATACCTACTGCTACAAAAATGGCAAAACAACAAATTGTCAAATTACTAATGTTTTAGATTAATTATTGCCATTTAAAAGATAAACATTTACTAAAATAACCCGGCAAAGTAATTGCTTCGTCTGGTAACATGAAAGTTATATGTTAATCTACATAATGAAGCGTGTTAAACTCACTGACTCACTCTCTTCAATTCTTGCTTTTGCTTGGCACAGTAATAAACTTGTAAACTTGATTCTATAATTTTTGATTACATTTTGAACAATATTTAAGGGCCGTAATAGCAATTACAGATGTACCTATTCGTAGTTTAAACTGACATTTGCAGTACAAAATATGACAGTAATATTTAACACACAGACACAACAAGAGGTTTAAAAGCTCTATATATTGATATTACGGGCCTAAGCATGTAAAAAAAATATTTTCTATCATACAGGTGAAACATCGAACTGTAGTGTAGATAAATTATAAGCTATTCGTATATACAGATGTTGCTAATTTTATGAAATTTTGAAATGTTGAAGTAGAAAAAAAATGTGTTTGAATGGTTCATCTTAGGCTTAACCTAAAACGTTTAATGCAAGATGTATACATGTTTAGATATGTTCTCATAGTTATACTAATCGCATACAAAATTTTAAGGAAAAAGTCATATATGTGTATTTGAACAATTTTAAAATATTTGATGTACAGGTTTGGCCATTTGTGCTTTGCCTGCCTGATTAAAATGGCGCTTGTTTTGGAAAATAATTGCTGTGATATTTAATTAAAAAATATTGCGTACTCTCTCAATACACGTTCATAGCTCAAATAGATCAGTGCATGCGTTCTTTTTCATACTGTTACCATGAAATTTTATACTTCTTGGATTTAAAAAAAAATTACAAATAGTAATTTTGAAAGAAAGCAGGTGTAAAAAATTATTCACATCGATGTCACGATTATATTACTGTATATAGATATATAGATGTTAAAAGATTTTCGTGTAAGTAAAGTTTTATCGTCGTTCGTAATTTGGACTAGGTTCATTCAATGTAAAATATTTTTTTTTTATATTGATATAAATAACTAATAAAACAGTTTATCAATAGTAAACGATGTAATTAAAAAAAATACACAGCCGTCCATTTTGAAAGTGTTTTCGCTTTTGAATTTAAGATTTTTGTTAAATCATTATAATATTATAAAAGATGAATGTATGTA